ACAACCAGCAGAACAGTTTTTGCGGTTTGGCTGTGCCTGGATATTCTTGAGAGATATGCCTGTTTCCGGCTAGAATGGATTTCCATATGCTCCATCGTGGGGGCGCCAGCCTGAATCACTTTATACAGAGCTATACAGTATCGGCCGATATCTAAAGGCGGACGGGTATCGTCGCGTCAGATATCCTATTGGCAGTTATACCGATATAAAAGATTCTAGATTCTAGAAGCTTTCAGTATTGACGCTCGGGTAAGCACCCCTACGTTGCTCACCTATGCTTCTTACCATCACCCTAATCGGTCGATCGTGCTGATAGGTAAAAGCAATTTTGATGAAGCTTACCGTACTTTCCGGGATTCATCAGCCGGGCTAGGGTATGACGATTCATGACCCCACTACATACATCTATAGTTAATACCAATCTGAACTTAAGTTTTGGTCTCAGGAGTCAGGACTAGCACTCATCGTCAACCAGCCTCGATCAGCAGAAGGACTATCTTCCATGCACTTGTATAGCCCATTCCTTGACGGGTAGTCCCACGGAAACTCACCGCAAAAATAGATTAGCGAACATCATCTCATCTACTTATTATCATGACTGGATACGACCGTCGATGTCCGTCAGAAGAGTCATCTTCAATCAAACCAGTCGGTGGGTCCGCTGGCGTGCTGGATCTGACTGGTCAATAGATCAGAAATAATTGCATCTTACAATGACATGTTACCGAATATTGGCTAGACTGATTTTTCTATGTTCGACCTATTTTAGGGCTATCCATATGAAGGTATTGGTAGAAAGGCGGCTCGGCCTTGGTTACCTCAAGACTCGAGTTCTAGACGCTGATCACAATCTCTTAGCATTTGGAAGCAGACCGACTTATGTCTCTACCTATGCTATAATTAATGCATATGTCACCGAGAGCAATATATCTAACCACAACATACCGTGGGCCTATCAATCGCAATTCAAAACATACCTATGACGATTTAGCGATGTCTACCTAATTCTTCGTCTTTAGGTGCTCACTTCTATCATGCTAAGCCTCCTTCACGAAAGGATCCTTTCAAACTGGGCGAGGGGGCAGTATTCAACCCCCCTTTAAGATATGCAGCAGGTTGCAAATTCTAGACATACGACAATGTGTAGTATTTTCGTACGTTCTCAATCACGGTATAGAGCAAGGTGAAGTAGCCTCGTATAATGCTACACTGTGGTTGGTGATAGACCGACAAGTCAGCCTTGTTAGAAGTAGCCTCGCCGAGCCTCAATGCCGATCAGGTGCGGGCTTCTTATTTCGGCCGTAGTCCGACGGAACACGGAGCCGAACGGCGAAGTTAACGTTCGGGCGACCCATAGCGGATCTGAGCCTCCCCTTGTTAATATACAGTTCAGCCACACCATCTTGCAGATGCAGGCGCTGTAGGGTACTGCAATATACTTACGCAGCCCTACGCATCCCACGTTCTTGCGTCTACAGCGCCAGCATGTACTACTACTTGGAAGCACGACGCAACACTATGCAAGCCAAAGATGTTGTGCTAATAACTGCATTGCAACTGCCTGCTAGACGGTGCGACAAATGGCATTTACCAAACGAACAATATTGGCGGGAATGCCGAAGGAATACACCGAGGAGGCGTTCCCCCCTCATGTCCGATGGCGGCAAAGGACGCAGCACCATTTACACCATCACTTACAAATTGCCGAGGTAGGATCAAAATCCAAAATCGGGCTGCTACGAAAACCCGCACAGCCAATGATTACGTTCCGTTAAATCACCTCGTAATGAGCCAACTTGAAGAATCCGTTTTCCAAGTGCGTTTGTCAATAATTGAGGGCACATCATAAGTCTTACGAGGAGCTATTCAAAGGTACTGGATAGGCATCGAGGTCATGTCTCTTTGACAAAGAACCTAATACACTTTCAGGAGGCCCAAATACTACTAACAATTTTAGGATTCTGTATACCACACTGCCCATCTCTGTACAGAGAACGCTCAGTCCTAGGCTCATGAATACTATACGAGTTTATACACATATATAACGCATATACCCTCCCCCCCTTTTTTTTCCCTCTTTGAGCGAGAGCGAGAGACTTCATTTGCTCCTCTTTTCTATTCTCACCGGGTCTAATGGCCTACATAACAAGTAGATAACAACAAGCATAGTATAGAAACAGGAGAGGAAAGGAGCCCCGAATGCATAAGAAACGCCTCCTGAGTGTATCACAAAATACCTATAGACCTATAGGCTACCTACCTAGGTACCTACTTGGTACCTAACCGGGTAAGGTACCTCTTACAGGAAAGAAGCTCGGTGATGTTAAATTTAATAGGTAGAACCGAAGCATGTAATGAACGAAAACAAGCAAGCTGAAATTTGGCACAACAACGAAAAAGCTACCTACCTAACTTAACCTGAACTACAATAAGTGGCGAGAACATAACCTAGGTAGGTACCTAAGGTAGGCACTTCGGAAATTTGATAAATTTGGGGCATCCGAGTCCGACAGCGCCGCCGTGCCGTTGATGTCGGGCCTAGCTATCCTAATTTACCCATAGGTTGCCATCGAATGCAGGCTGTGGGGTAAAATGTACCCAGACCTAACGGTTCAGAGCGGCCACAAAGATGGACCTGGCTACGCAGAGGAGGCCGCTCGCGATACCGAATGCCCGCGTCGCACGGACAGATAGGCGCGGCCACGGAAGCAACATATACATACCTGCATATAGGGTATAACAAAAAGAGGGAGTGAGGCCGAGAATTTGCCCACCTGAATCATTCCAAATTCATCTACAACATATACACGCACGGATATGCATAGGTTTCTTCTCCTATATGACGGCATGACAGAATGACAAAAAGAAAAAAAAAAACCCACATCAAATTCTGCCGAGCTGAGTGGCGTCCGGACACAACGACAATGATATTCGGCGTATACACGGGTATGCATGTAACGTGCCCATTCCAAATCTTCCGCTACCACCACCACTACCATCACGATTACCGCCGACCTGGATACCGACATAGCCCCTCGGAGAGCTGGATGAGAATATAACTACCAGGGTAGTAGCTAGATATAATTATGCATTATATGTTAGTATCTAATGTAATATCCAGCTAAATACTTCTTAAGGTACTTAGGCAAGTAAGCGTATTAATTAATACTTTAGTCAATATTATATACCTCTCCCCTCCCTTTTTCAGCACCGCACTCCCGCCGGTTTCGTCTCCGGCTCAAAAAAAAAAAGTTGCATTAGGTACCTCCTACATAAGGTATACATAGATAGGGCTGATACTACCGTAGCAACCAAAACCTCGGCTCGGCTGCTTACCTACATCGTCTAGAACTCGTATCCCGTTCTCCTGCTCACGTGGGCGGGATGATTGATTGATTGAATGGAGGTGGCTGTTTAGGTTAGGTACTAAAGGTAGATGTATGTACCTAATGTATGTACGTTATTATGTACTTTGCCGTTTAGCTGTGGCTTATAATACATATATTACATTACCTACATTACATTGCATTACATCTCCAGGTTGGACGTACCTTAGATCAGGCACGTTACCTCTCTGTGCATTTTGGCGAATAGGAAGAGAAGCTACACAGAGATACAGAGAAAGGGGTGTGTATATGTGGTGGGGGTGGGTGTGCGACGGGATATATGTATATACCGACCTACATACCAGGTACCTATCCCATCCTATCCCATCTTATAGTATTGTAACTATTGTACAGTACAATAAGGTAGATGCCTACCTAAGGTTAGCAGGCAGGTAGGTAGCTACCTAAATCTAAGCTAAGCTTTGTACGATATACAATACGATACAATGCAATGCAATGCTGGGCGATGAGGTGAGATTCTCGAAACGACGACAAACTTCTTCTTTGCTGCTGACTTGTGCTTAACTAAGTCATAATCTGTCCCCAACCCATCTCCCCGCTTCGTATATCTACCTCCTAAAGATAACTACCTAAGGTAGCTACCTAAAGTGGCTTTGCAGACGGGAATCATCAGTAAGTAGGTAGGCACCTAAAGGCGGGTAGCATATAACGTTACCTGGTAAATAAGCTAAGCCAGGCCGAATTACTAGGCCGGTAAGGTAAAGTAAGGTTAGGTAAGGACTTATACGAGGTTCGCCGAGATGACTACGTAAGACCCCCCTATTTCACGAAGAAGAGTCACGTATTTCCAAGAGATCAATCCAAGTAGGCTTTGATACGTTTTTTGATATGTAGCAAGGAGGCCAGGCCAGGTCAGGCTACCTAAGGTATCCGATATCCTCTCTCTCCCTCCTTCGTATCTTCATCTGCGCCTATTTACCCCTTTTCCATGTCATTTGAATTTTCATTTGCGTTCGTCTCAATGACGGAAAACGCCTCTCCCCCCTCCCCCCCTTTTTTTTCTGTCTTCTAAACATCCACTTCAAAGGTGCGCCGTTGGAGGGAACTCCAAGCCGAGCTCACCCCCTTTATCTGCATTTACGGCTTGGACCTTTGTCATTATAATTTAGTATAGTACATTCATTTAAAGGAAAGGAGAATAAAAAAAAAAGAGATAAATAAAATAATGGGTAATTATGTTCATGTCCCTTAAACTCAAGGCTATGCTCCGTCCACGTTTAACTCATGCACGAGAGGCCAATGCTTGAAGCATTATGTAGGTAGGTAGTTGTATATTCACTTGTCATCGGGATTGAATGCGGTGGGCAAACACACGACGACATTATCGATGTATATAGCAGCGAAGTGACATCAGAAAGGAACTAATAGTAGCCATGGATAGCTATTTAGTTTCGAAATGGTAGCTATACTCGATTTTCGGTATTCGTGGTCTCAAAAAATGTGCAATACATCACGCCGCCATCCGAGGCAAACGTATAAACAGGAGAGCTGATCTGACGTTGTAGTGCCAATGGAAATAAATGCCTAATTAATCTCATAAAAACGTGCCATGACACTCAATGTCAAGCCCCCAATGTGTGAATATTTACTCATTCAAGCTCGTCGACTCATAGCAACATTAGCCCCCGCGGAGGCCAGATCTTGTTTGCCGCTAACAGTTCGGCCGGCCACACGGGGAAGGTTGCTGTTGCCTACAGTTGTAGCTGTTCCCGCACTGGCCCTTTTTGTACCGGACGTCAGTCCGGCAAAAGCAGATGTCCGTCTCGCTGCCACGCCTGGCTTTAAAGGACTGGCATTACTCGCTTCTCTGGGCCGTAGCGTCGGTCCACTCTTACCGGGTCCCGGAGGCTCAGGTAGGGGTCGCGGCGTTGAAATAGTATTATGACGCTTGACCGGGGATGACTCACGTGTTCTTGGTACGGGAACCGACGTCTTCTGACCGGTGATGAACTCGTGACGTATGGCGTCTTCAGGCTTAAGACGGCGGTCCGGGTCCCATCGTAAGCACCGGGCAAGGAAGTCCAGGAATGGCTCGTCATCACACTTAATGGCCTGTTGAAGTGTCTTGGACGACGGACGGCGTCTCCTACCCTTTGAAGATACGGTCAAGCGCGGCTTGCCCATCGAATCAAAGAAAAGCTTCTTCCTCGTACTCTTTTCAATGAGATGCTTCTCCGGTGGTCCAAATACTTCCATAATACAAGCAAGCTGCTCTTGCTCATTCTCGCCAGGGAAAATAGGGACACCGGTGTACAGCTCGGCAAGAATACAACCCAAACTCCACATGTCAATTGGTAAGCCGTATGTCATCCCCAGAATAACTTCAGGCGATCGATAAAATCGGGACTGGATGTATGTATAAACCTTTTCGTTCTCGAAACAACTGGAACCGAAATCGATAACCTTGATTTCGGAATGCATAGGATGCCGAAGTAAAATATTTTCCGGCTTAAGATCACAATGAATCACCTTGTGTTGTTTAAGTAGGTTGAGCGAGCTCAACATCTGTTTGGTGAATCGTCTAATCAGTTTCAGAGAAAACCCGCGGAATGCGTTGGATTTGATGAATTCGTAGAGGTTCATATCGAGAAGTTCGGTCGAAATGCAGAGATGTCCGCGGAAATAGAAGCTGTGAGTGAAGTTGACCATGCTATGCCTATTTTGAGGATCCTGAAAGAAAGAAAAAATCTGTCAGTAAAATGTCAAAGTCAGATAGATAATATTGGCAACTTACCCATTCACGAAGCTTTTGCAAAATATTGACTTCGACAAGAGCCTGTTGATGGAACCTCTTCTTGTTGCGGATGATCTTCACTGCAACAAGCACGCCGGTTTTGTGATCGATACACCTCACTACTTGACCAAAACTACCCTTCCCAAGAACATCGACAATCTCGTAACGGTACGCAAGGTGATCGCCTATGACAATCGAGTAGTCTCCGCGCTCGTCGTCATAACCAAAGTTGGGTAATTTTGAGTTCAAATCGCCGACAACCTTACTAGCATTTTGAGTGCCACAGAAATAGACATCGTTATAGTCGACAATCTCGCCCCTCTCGTAAATATTTAGCATGGCTATCCGGATTGCCTCGTGAGGACCAACGCGTTCCTTTGGCGTCGCTCTCTTGCGGAGAGCATCCAGCGTCCGAGCCGCCATTTCCGTCTCCTTCCTCCTCAATGCCATTTTCCTCATCTCATCCTCGGCAATCATATCATCCTTATCCAATTCCGCGGTATAAGAATCACGGCGTTTAATTGATGCAGTCGATGGCCTCGGACGCAGTATCTTCTGCATGGGCACATTCCGAGATTGTGACGAGGCCTCGACCATTGAACTGTTACCCACATCCTCCTTCGAGCTCGTCCAAGCATCATTACGATTCTTCTGTGTAAACGTGGTATTAAGACTGGATGCGGAGCTCTTTCTGCGTCTGGACTCCAAATACGATCCCGATGGTTTCGTGGTGTGGCTTGGACTAGAAGCCTTCGCCGCGCTTATATTCATGGACGCTGAAATCGGCAATCGCGGAGGTGGCATGCTATCCTGTCGAGCATGCTTTTCGGAGTTCTTATCAAGAGATGCGGAAGACGCATGGTGACTGCTCTTCGAACTGCTCCTCTTCCAAGACAAGCTTAATTTCCTCCTCAAATTACTCATAGAAGATGGAGTTGGGGGCTCCTCCGGGCTATTTTCAGCAGGAGATTTGTTTCCTGCCTTACCCGACTTCTGCGCGCGTGGGCCAGATGGCTTCTGAGGTGGCCTAGTTTCCACAGCGGTGTCAATAGCAATTTGCTGCGTTATGTCTCCAACCGTCTTGGATTTTGTTAGTCTACTTCCAAATATGCTGTCCTTTTTGGGAGCAGGTGTCGACAGGAATGGCGAAGCAGAGACTTTGTGAATTTGCTTCTTAGCTAATGAGTCAAGCGGCGATTCAGACAAACTTCCCCCGGTCGGACTTTCCACCCGACTATGGTGAATAGAACTACTACTCCGTGGCATTGTTTTATTGGGATCTTTATCCGTACGTCTAGAGAAGAATGTGCTCCTAGAAGCCGTCATCGGCGTGCTTGGCGTCTTAGGAATCATCCGCGAGAGTGGAGGACTGCATTTGCCATCATCTTCGCTTTGGCTTTGCAAAGCTGTAATCTTTGCTTCGTTAATACTCAATGGACCGAGAGTGAGCGGCGGAAGTCGTAATGGCTGTAGACTCTTTTTCGATTGACTTATGCCAATCTTCTGCTCAACATCCGGGCCAGCGAGAGTCTTCCGCGGCGCGTGCTTTCGAGTAGTGGGTTTACGTTGATACTTATTCGTTGGTTCCTGCGACGGCGTACCAGAGGGAGTTCCCGTAGAAGTGCTGTGCACACTACTCGAATCTAACGTATACGTCGATTTTCTTTTCTCGAGGAAAGATATTTCCGCCGGGGAGTCCTTGGGCGATTCGTAAACCTTAGGAATTGCAGGCACAGGCGGTACGTCTTCTTCATCTTCCCCTGTCGGAGGGTTATGTACGTTTAGCGTTTTGGGAGCGGGCAATCTCGATGCTGGACCACCTTGCGGGATAGTCCGCTGAATGGAACCAGTCGATGTTCGGTGGGTATTGAAACTGTTTGCCGAGGCAACTGATAATCCTGAGCTGTAGGATTTTCTATTCGTAAGTTCTGGAGTTGTTCTTAAAGACGAAGGTGTGGTAGATGTCTTTCGAGGAATCATGGAAGGAGAGCGTGAGTTAGGGCGAACTTCGATAGGCGGCGGGGGGGCGTTGGTAATTTGTGGTACGTTCTGCCCAGGATGGATTGACATGCGCTTCATTCGTTGCGCATCAGTCGGTGAGATTGTTCTGGCACCTAGACCGGTCGCATGAGAACCATGTGTTCCGGGCATTATAGACATTCTTCTCGCAGAACTAGGCGTAGAACCTTTACCAGCAGCTCTTGGGGATCTGGAAAATGCAGCCGAGATACGGTTCTGATCCGGGGCAAGATTATTGCTGGTACTGGTAGCTCCAGAGAGGTTGGCTGATATTCTTGGTGCAGGTTGTACTGAACGAGCCTTCGTGGCTCGCGCGTTTGCATACGTTCTTGACCCATCACCAGGCTGTCCCGAGGAAATGTCAATCGATGTCCGAGCTGAACCCACTATAGCTCTCTCCGATCCATCTGATATTAAACTCGGTCTTCTTTTCTGCACTCTAGCCCCAAAATCAGTCTCGACAACGCTAGGACCAATCGACTTTCTCGGCTGCTTTGCAAGGTTACTGCTAGAAACCGGTGGGTAATGATTCTGGCGTCTATTTCTCATCGCAGCAGGCGCAACCGGCGCATCGGCAATGTTGGAAGACATGGACGCTATAGAGCCGCTGCTAACCTGGCGATTTGCCGTGCTGGGCCTTCTAAGTATCGAACCAGATCTTCCCGGTCTGGTGGCTGCATTAGGAGTGGGGTTTGGCTGAGCTCCTGTACGGGTCGTTGCGCCATTTAGGCTAGTACCCGAAGACTGCCTGACCATCCTGTCTGATGATTGTTCGTCGAGAATGCTTCCTTGACCGGATGGCGAAGGAAATTGTGTCAGTCTTAGATCGTTGGTGGCTGACTCGAGGCTACTCTGGAGATCATCGAAACTGACGGAGGGTAGAAATTCGAAAGAGCCTGTGGTGCTGTCTCCTACATCGCCCGAATCCCCATTCCGACCAAAGGAGAAGAGTGAATGATTATTAGACGACGATGCGTGAAGCATTGGCTCGTTATCGATTCTGTTAATCGGGTTGACGTTCTCCTTGGCCCTGAAAAGAAACAAGCCAGGTTAGTAAATATTACATAGTCAAGCAGCGACGCGGTGTTCCATTTTCGTGTTGCAACATATAAAAACGCGAAATAAGTGGGAAAAACACACGATCGAGTCGGGGACTGCGAAGCTGGTCTCGGGCCAGCAGGAGCCTTATGGTCCCTAATCATAAGGAGTAAGACAATCGAGTATAGAAACGAGAATTAGTGGTCGTAGGAATAAATCTATGTAATCGACAAGTTCAACGAAGGTCGCGACCGACAAGTGTCCGCTAAGGTCTCTAAGCGGCCAAGGCAAAAGCGGGTAAGAATTCCCCTAATTCGACCCAGATCTGAACCTGGAGGCTCGCGATCAAATCTCAGTCCGGCTAAGGGACCTGAGGGCGGCAATACTGCTACCGCATTCCGGGGATGCAAAAAAAAGACAAAATTAAAAAGTAGACGAGACGACAAAACCGTCGCCGATGCAAAAGGAAGGGAAAAAGAGAAGAAAAAAACAAACGGAATATACGATGTGCTGGTATCGTTGCGGTTTGACCGACTGTGGCTACTATCAAATGGAATTAGGTTCACGAAAAAAGGGTTGGTGGATTTGTTTTCATTAAGGGAAAGAAAATAAGAGGTCGAATGGGCCTGATCCACAGCTTTTTCCCGTACCGGTCAAGTGAGTTTTTTTTAGTTACCTCCAAACTTATCCCATGTATCAGGCTCATTTAGTTAGGTTAGGTAGGTACAATTTAGTACTTACCTGTAATTTAGTGCACAATTGTCATAAGGAAGGCACAAGTCCCAACCCTCACGCAGGTTCATCCAAGCAGAGATGTTCCCCATTAAGGTTGGCCCGTTAAGGTTGGCCTGTCTGCCTGTCAGGGACTGGTCAAGGCCACAGACCACAGACCACAAGCCACTGATTAAACGTACATAAGGTACAATCATACATATGTACCTGGTACCTAAGGTACGTATCACAGTAAATGCGACTTCAACCCACTTTTTGTTAGCCATACGTAGGTACCGTACCGTAAGGTTTAGCTGACCTGCTGGACCTGACAGACACTTGGCGGGACAAGCCCAACACATGTCAATCAATATCGGGATGCTTTTTGGGGGCATGACACTCCGTACAAAACCCCTTAATACTAGACGTCTGTCATTATTTGAACATGACAACCCATCTCATAGTCCTTGTATTCAATATATGATATAATTACAACCTCATGCAGATGCACATATGTGTCAGCCGTATTACAAGCTTACGCATGGTATTTTAATATACATATTTTTTTTATTACCGAACTCAAAGAAGGAAAATACAGTTTCATTGTGTACCTACGTAGCTACCTAAGGTTAGGTAGTTATTCAATTTGGTGTTCGTTGGATCGGTATTCATTGCATCTGATTTTCGAAGAGATCTTTTTACGTGTAATGTTAAGACTCGTTATTAAATGCAAGAGCACCGAAACAGAAGGAGAAGAAGAACATGAAGAAGGGTGGGAATAATAATAAGGAGACCAGTGGGTGTATCAAGAGAAAACGTTGAAGATCAAATAACTAGGTACCTAACATAACCTAAACTAATATGTACGGAGAAGTCCACTAGTATCACAAGCCCGGAGATTTATTTCTTCTCTTCCTATTTGATGAGAGATCTGCGGGGGACCTGAAAACCGTTGTCTTGGATATTTCTATTTCTCGGTATTGTCTTGCCATCTGCCATGACACTAATGGGTTGTCATTATCTCTAGCAAGTTTCGTCTAATTTTTGTAATTTTCTAGGATTGTTAACCGTATCAAGTTACCAAACCGAGATCATCTGGTTGCCGGGTTAATGGAGATTGATGATGAGGGTAGTGACACCCATCCTGCTTTGTTCGTTTCTATTTAACAGGGTTGGATCGAATCTGGCACTGGTGTCTGTGTTGCAGCTCAGTTTTTTTTTTGTTCTCTTCTTCTGGGTAAACAAGCAAAGCATGGTCAAGGTATCAAGGTATCGGGTATGGTAACCTCCAAATATCCAAAGATCCAGTTTTACTCCAGTTTGTCCTGGTCCTGCAAATAGGTACTAATACTACCCCAGGCAATATCATCGCAAACGGTGTCAACACCCGTGTGTTTTCATCTAACGCCGTATATTTCATTTGCCCAGTAACATACACTAACAAAGCTAGCAGACTAACGAGGCCAGCAGAAATGAAACATTTCGGCGTTACCGCAATGTACCTAAGATAAGACGTATACTAGAAAATATTTACAACCCTCTCATCGTCAACAAGCGTAAGGTAACATAACATATAGGTATACCGAAGATTTAAAAAAGTATATGTAGCCCCCCTAACCTACATTAGGTACATATATCAAAGCAGCTCACCGTCCACTTTTATGCTACAGAATTACTACGTACTTACGGCTTACGGATCCGTATCTTAGCCGTTAGCCGGTTCCTCGCCTTGAAGAACACCTTTGTTGATGCAGCTAGCCCTTAAGGTCTTAGACGGACGGTCAGCCACTTCCTGCACCTGCATGAACACGTTCCGTGGGGCCTTTTTTCTCAGCCTATGAGAAACGCGCTTAAGGACCCTCTCCTTTTCTTCTTTAAATCAGGAACGAAAGAGAAAAAAAGAAGGGATCTGTCCAATCGCGCCCAAAGCGGAATTGAGCTCACAGCATTGGCTGCAACAAAGGGGGTTTATTTAGCACTAGCTCCCAGAGCTCTAATCCTTTAAAGAAGCTTTTTTTTTCGTCTTTCCTTTAAAGCCCTAATCCCATCTAACGCGTTAGATAAGACGAAATAACTCTACGCGCTTTTCGCGATTAAAACGTGTACCTTATACCTAGGTAGGTTAGGTAGGTACCTAAGCATTTACAACCGCGAGACAGATACACGTCACTTTCATGATGTTTTCATCTCTATGGAAACACACGTAAAGCTGAAAAGTCTACTGTTGTGATCCAAATTAAACCCAACTTCCGGGTTTTCGATAACCCCCCCCCCCCCCCACTGCACTTATCCTTAAATCCTTCATCTGCCTATGATCTAGGTATTCCGTACACCCTGTCGGCTTGCATCCCATTTGAACTTGGGTATCAGCCACCAAATTTAAATGCCTTAGGAAACGGCGGGGAGCGGCGCGGACCAGCGCCACCACGTGGAAGATTCATATACCAATGTTGGTACATACATATTTTATCCTGAGCTACCTCTAATAAGTGGCCGTTGATGACGCCTTGGGTACCTATCTTAGGTACTTACTAGCCTGCCTACCATGTGAGACTATTGGGACAGAAATGTTTCAAAGAGAAAGCTTAGTTACCTTAGGAAGGTAGGTTAGGTAGGTACCTAAGGTATAAAATAAGAAGTTGCAAGAATCTGATAATATTAATAGCATCGCAATTAACTTAGTGATACGTAATACACGCGTGATAGTTCATTATCATATGTATCTGCAGAGCATAATCTTAGACCATCCGATGCTAATGACGAGGTCTCTATCAATGTAAATTTTTACACCTGTATCATCAACCATAATTCAATAACACGGCGAGCGGGAATCTTGCCTGATGTACACCCTCATGTCCAAGGCAGGTAGCTATTCTACCCCAGAGTTCACATAGTACAGCCAATTCTACCATTGGCATCATTCTTCCCATAACACCGCATCGGATCTCATAGCACAACCTCTTTAACCCGCCATAATGCTGGCATGAGCAGCAACAGGAATCGGTCGCTACATTATCTATTCTCCGTCACGGAGTCATGTTGTATAAGAGTGGAGGGATTTTTTTTATTCGTTTTGGGGGGCTCCTTTTCAATGTCGTAAACGCATCGTCGCAGGCCTGCTATAGGAACAACCTCCAGACGCCCAGCCAAGCCAACCCGAGGGACGTAGCCGCGATGCCGAACCGTCGGCTGCGCATGCCGAGTATCGATTTGCTCGCGATAATCCGCGCCTGGTTCTTCTCGAGTTCCCGCTGCCCCGTGTAGTAGCTGTACGCGGCTAGGCCGATGAACGCGCCGCCGCCTGTAGTAGTTTTGCTCGTTAGTACCTAAATCTGTAGTTCGAGTCTCGGTATGGAAAAGCCTGTCGCCTGCGCATCGCATGACGAATAAATAGAAAATAGGAAGAGGAAAAAAAGAAGAAAAAAAACTAAAGTGCGCGATTGACGTTGACTGACCTACGACTCTGCACGGGAGACAATCATCGCCCCGATCCTGCTTTAGTAGTTCTCTGAGGTCCTCGGGCTTGTCAAGAGTGCCGACCGTGGGCACCTTATCCCTACTCATGGTGGAAAAAAGACGAGGCGGAGTTCTGGCGCACCAAGGGAACAACAGACAGAAAAGAGATGTCGCGAAGCCTGCCCCTTGACAATGGCAACAATATTTTTTTGTAAGTCGCTAAAACGCCACTGACGCTCGAGTTGGACCGTGCACTTTCACCAGAACCCCGCAGCCCCGCTAGCCCTCCGCCTAGACCGACTTTACGTAATCACTTCCGGGGCCGTAAAATCGGAGACATGTCCGGCTTTTACTCGAAACACGACTTAGGTACGGTACATAGTATCTCCGAGATGTAGGTACGCAAGGTTGAATTTGCAGTATATTGATACAATTCAAGAATTACAATGTCAATCCAAAATTCATTAATATTCACAAAGCTGCCTGTATCAAAGCTTGAAGCTACTACTTGACGCAGCCTTAGCCGCTTTCGCCTTATTACCCTCCATATCCACAATCTCGCCCTTCTTATTGATAACCTTGACACCTCCCAGTTTAAGATCACCAAGCGTTTGCTTCTGCGCCTGAGCCTTCGCGCTCTTCGGTTTATTGTCGGCGAGACCACCGGCCTTCCGTATCCTCTCCTTCTCTCTCCTGCGTCTTCTGATCTTGTCCTCTCTGCTCATCTCCTCCTTAGCAACAGGTAGACCACTCTTAGCAACCACCTCGCCCTTTTCAGCTGTTTCCTTGCCAGCCTTGTAGATTTCTTGCGGCGCCAAGGTGTGATCTCCGCCGCTGACACCTTGCGCGGTTGTAGGCTGTGCATCTTCCATGCTGATAGTTGCCACGTCCGATACGACTGTGAGCGTCGGTGCAGCAGGCTTGGGTTTGTAGTGCCAACTAGTAAGAGCATCCAAGTTTGCACTAACTTCTTTCCACATCTGCTCAATTTCCTTTTCTTCCTTTCGAAGTTTCTCGTCGGATTTGCTCACGTAAGAATCGGGATTTGTGTTCTTGACATGCTCTTCTTCGTAGATCTCCGCAAGTGACTGCTTGGCTTTAGTGTCATCCAAATCGACGAGCCCTCGTCTGGTATTGGACGAAAACTCTGAGGCGTCAGGGCGCCGTTTAATAACCTCGTCGAATTCCTGGGCTAAAATACGGCGCTTGATCATATCCTCGATGCTCTCGCTCACTTCAGCCGTAATGACCGGTACAGGCTTACCAACGTGCTCAAAGTCGAGCTCTTCCTCTAGCAGGGAATTCATCGGTCTGTCAACGGCCTTGGCTTCTCCGGACATCGCCCATTCCCTCTTAGCCACATTTGCAGCTTCAAGCTTTCGAATCTCTTCGGCTAGCTTGGCCTGCCGCCTTTCGTGCGCAGATCTCCTGGATTTAGGGTCGCCCGCAGAAACGTCAGATAGAGCGTCTTCGGAATCCTCTCTCTCTGACTCATCTTCGAATAGATCTCGTCTAACATCAGCCATTGCTCGGTCAACGTCGTTGTCGTCTGGCTTCGTCGGTTGGAGCTCCCTGAATTTCCTAGACTTGCCGTTCTTGGTCCCTTTGCGCTGTGGAGGCGCAAAGAAGTCTTTGTAGTAGATCTCATTGGCATTGGAATCATCTTCTCCATCCATTTCGTCATCTTCTTGGTCACTTTCTCCTTCCGGCGCATCTAGGTCCATATTACCAAAGGTAGGTCCTCCGTCTTCATCGTCGTCCTCGACATCGGAAAGCATATCCTCGTCAACGTCTTCGGTTGGCTTCTTAGACGGCTTTCTACTGCTAGATGGCTTTAAAGACCGTGGATCGGCATGCCAGTCTACTTCATCGTCGTCGCTTGCACGATCGGCATCCGGGTCTCCTCGAGCATCCGCCTCCTCAAACCATTGGGTCTGTTTGTTAAATTCGTCGATAGAAAAGAAGCCATCATTAAGACCGTTGGGATCTTCGACTAGCTCTTGGGGAGCTTCCTCGGATTCATCTTCAGATTCAGCCTCATCTTCCTCGTCAATATCTTCCAGACCATCTTCCATATCGTTCTCTGATAATTCAGCATCGTCCTCGAGGTCTTCTTCGTCAATCTCTTCGTCTTCATCGGCATCTTCCGAATCTTCGAGCTCTGAGCCAGACTCGTTGTCTTCCGAATCATCGTCAGAAACGTCCTCAGCCGATTCAGTAGCATCAATATGCGCATCTCCGTTGACTCCATTCACCTGGATTTCATTCCGGTCTTCCAATTCTTGGAGCGCACTTTTCGAATCCTGTAGTGCACTTGTAATAATTCTTCTTGCCTGCTGCCAAACCTGACCACTTTCGAACCCGTCGACGTGAAGCTTCCTGATCTTTAGTATTTCGCCTTTTCCTAATCCGTTTTCAGCTCGCTTTCGCTTCTTGCTCTCTTCCCGTTGGCGCTGTTGTTGTTCGTCGCATATTTGCCCAGCATACGCGTCGAGGGTGGCCTTCGCAAGCTGTAACGAAGCGTTCGGAATTGCCGATGCTGGCTGTAGGAAGGTATGTCGATTTCCCGACTTGATAGCCTCGAAGAGTTCCAGCATTTCTATGGCGCTAGATGGTTTTGATGAATCGGCGAAAGAAGATAAAAATCCTACTGACGGCGCGTGGGTTAAAGTATACGAAGTGGAGGTTATGGAAGACGTAGTACTAGCAGACCCCGCCATTTCTTGTTTGCTGGTTATTGCATCGAGGAGGGAAGGATGAACAGAATTACTATGTAAATTTGGTACTTGATCTATCCACGGTTCGGCAAATCCAAGAAAAATTGTCCGTTTTAGAAAAATTTCCCAGCTTAAGGACGAGAGCGAAAAAAAAGACCCCACAAGTTAACTAAAGTTGCTTATCGATAAAAACAGGTAAGTTAATGGGCCGTCCCACAATTTAGTCCCATCTCAGGTGGCATCCCCTCTACGGATCCGTACTATGTACAATACCTTAGGTACCTCTAAGGCTCTAAGGCTCTGACGGCATTAGGTACACCTTGGGAGTTGCTTTCTACAATTTGTTAGCTTTTCTTGATGATGCGCATAGCAACCCACCCGCCATGAACGGTGTAATAGAGGCACTGCACATCTACGATGAGCATAAGTCAGTTAACCAGTTAAACCCCCTCAAAAGTTAGATTTCAATTTCTTTTCCAACTAACAACCAACATGCAGTCGTGCGATCCTCTCTCATACTTATACCTCGCGTCCTCTTTCAGCCGCCGCCCTTCTTCCCCTGTATCTCGAACGTCCAGCTCCAAGACCTAATCTAATATACCTATCGAATACCAACCCTCCGACCCTTGTATTCAGTCTTATTCATGCAAATATTCTCTATCTAGCCACCTCTTCTTCCGAAATAGAGCCTCTTCTCGTCCTCGAGTTTCTCCATCGTATAATAGACGCCCTTGAAGAGTTCCTTGGCGCACCGGTTCTAGCGCACAAGATCGAAGCAAACTACGATGTCGTTGCTCAACTTCTTACTGAGATGTGCGATGCCGGCACCGTTAGTACTACAGAACCGAACGCTCTAAGGGATGTGATCGAAGTAGAGGGTCTTCTAGGAAAACTATTAGGTAGCATTAATCTACCTGGCAAATCCCCTAGTAACTCAAGCAGCCCATCTCTTATAGCTCAGACTACGCCGGCTCTCCCCTGGAGGCGGGCGAATGTTCGGCATACATCAAACGAGCTCTACGCCGATATTGTGGAAACGTTATCCGTTACTCTTGCGCCATCTGGTAGGCCGATCGCCGCATATGCGAATGGTACTATTGCATTTACGTCCAAGGTATCTGGAGTCCCAGATATCCTTTTAAACCTCACCGGGCCCTCGGGAAAGCATAACCTGAAGAGTGTCATGGAGTTACCAGTATTCCATCCGTGTGTGCGATTGAATAGATGGAAGGAGAGCCCAGGAGAACTCAGCTTCATACCTCCAGATGGACGTTTCATCCTTGCAGGCTACGAAGTAGATTTACTGCCTTTTACTAACGGGAAGAGTGGCAATTTGAACTCGAACAGCCTCAGGCTCCCGGTAAACCTTGAAGTCAAAACTAGTTTAGGCTCGACCGGTTCAGACTTCGAAGTGCGGCTCAACATCAATAAAAACTTTGGATCTTCCAATTCCTCAATATCGGGGTCATCCGGTAGAGGAAGTGGCCCGGGTGGTAGAGGATTCGGAGGACAACAACCGGGCTCGGCCGGCGCGCCATTATTACAAGACCTTATCGTCTCAATGCCCTTACCTGCTGAGGTTAGGAATCTTTCGGATATTCGACCGAGCAAGGGAGATGCCAGTTTTAATCCGGCGGATAAAATGCTCGAATGGCATATACCAACGAAGGGGCTTTCGGCGGGAACACCTTATTATGGCCTTCGCTGCTCTGTTCAGGGGCCCTTAACTGAAGATCAAAAAGATAGCGATCCTAACGGATTTGGTTTCGGTAGGGACTATACTTATGACGAGCCATATCAGAGCAATTTAGATGAGAAGTCCAAAAATGGCGGAGGGATCTCAGATGACGAGAAGGACGCCAAAAGAATTGCCCAAAACAAGATCCTGATGCCGAGCTCTGCGTCTGTCAGCTTCTCTGTAAAGGGTTGGCTATCAAGTGGAATTAAGGTAGAGAGCATCCTCATTGACCCGAGAAAGAGTCGAGGTCTCGGCGAAGGAATAAAGCCTTATAAGGGTGTGAAGTATCTTACTATCAGCAAAGGGGGCGTCGAGATTAGATGCTAAAGGGGCACGTAGGGCATATTAACGGTTAGGTTACATTTGGGAGTTGGCACTATCCAGTAATGCATTGCATGATTGTATGATTGCATGATCGGCGTTTTGGTGTCCATGCATAGATCAACAGGACATCGAGCTAGGTGCTAATTGAATCATGAATGATTACCTCTGTCTTCCTCGATTATGAGGTACCTAACCTAGTCTGGGTACCTACGTTTAACCATTAATGATGCAACTATTTCCGACGGATATCTTCGGATGTACATGAATACATGTATTGAGCTAGACCCTGGGCAACCGGGGAAGAATGTGGGGGAGGGGAGGGACCTTGGCAATTGCGGGCAGCTTCGATTGGCATCAGTATCGAACGATGGCCGAGGTAGGTATCTCTCTAGCTTACCTGAGGACCTAGGACCTAGGTAGCTGTACCCGTCAGCTCTGTACCTCGATACCTCAACAAGATTCGTCAACCGGAGCTTCCATTGTAACAAACTTTTTGAACTTTCGATCCTTTCATCCGATTTCTCTTTCTTACCAATTCTTATTTTACGTTCATTATTATTACTTCCTTACTCGACTCAACGGCTAAACCACAGGTACGCATTCGATGACCGTGAGAATCCATCGCCGCAGCGCAAACAAAGCTGGCCTGCGGTGATGAGCATGCTTGTTTCCCCGTTGCGTCGGCCCATCCGCGCCACGGGCAACCTAGGCCGCCGACTCAGCTCAATCGGCTCTCTTAACTCGGCGGCACTCTTCATATGTCCAATTGGTTGTCGAAATTATGTATCGACAAAAGGGAAGAGGCCGCGGACAGCTATCTTTTTTCCAGGTTAGCGTCACAACAAACAACTTTCAAGGACCAAACTAACCAGTTCTCTCATTATTACAGGCCAGGGAGTCCAGAAAGTTGGAATGCTTACGCCCTGGATCGAGACTTTTCCAACTAGAGCCGCGCAGATAATTGATGAGATTGATAGCTATATGGGATACAAACTATCCGATATAATACAAAATGGCCCAAGTCAAGTACTAACCGCAACGCCCTACGCCCAACCGGCGATCATGGCAACTTCTATCTTCATCCTTCGCATTCTCGAGAACGAATTCAACTTCGACGTCTCCAAGCGAGTTGATGTATCACTCGGACATTCCCTGGGCGAGTTCGCAGCTCTAGTAGCGGGAGGTGTTTTGGAGTTTCAAGATGCTTTATATATGGTGCGCAAGCGCGCGGAGGCTATGACAGAAGCTACTCAGAAGGCCAAGGATAAATATGGAGGAGAATACGGCATGGTAGCTGTGGTTACGGAACCTGAGTATCTAACTCAACTGATCGAGGCCATAGACGACTTCGTGGGATACCGCAGTGCGGGCGCGAGAAGCGAGAGCGCCGACTCCATGAAACCCATCGATCAAGTGCTCATCGCAAATATCAACAGCAAGAATCAAATTGTTCTGAGCGGGAATATACAGCGGATCAAGGAACTAATAGCTCACGTGCGACAATTTCTCGGCCATGACCCTAGAGCGGTTCGGTTAAATAGCGATAGTCCATTCCACAGCCCGATCATGAGACCGGCCGTCGCAGTGATGCGAGAATTAGTCTCGAGAAAGAGTAGAATCAAGGGTCGCGAAGATAAAGACGTGATCACTTTTCCGGGCCGACTACAATGTATAAGCAACGTGAGTGCGCGGCCGTTCGAAAGCGCCGCGGACGTCAAAGATCTCTTGGCACGGCAATGCCTCGAGACTGTCAGATGGTGGGATAGCATCAAGTACCTGGATCAAGAGCAGAAGGTCAGGAGATGGATAGGTATCGGGCCCGGGAAAGTCGGTAGGAACCTCGTAGGAAAGGAGGTAGGCATGCGCGGGATGGACACAGTTAAAGGGGGCGGCGTTTGGGCTATCACCGATCCCATCGAGCTCGAGGATGTCTTGAAAGGGTTGGAGCAGACGGAGTCATTACCGGAGGAAGAGGAGGACGAGGAGTAAGCGCATCTATAGGATGCTACGTCGGACCGACATACTAGACATGGTGATGCTGTTAGGCTTATAAGACAACCTTTCCATGTTAGGGGAGGAGAAAGGGGGGGTTGGTGTAAGATCTCTTAAGATTTATCCAACCATCTAAACTATGTGGTATTACTTTGTAGTTAGATATGGTGATAGATGGATGGAGTTACGTTGGATCAAGGCGATTTAAGCGTTCTATAATAGTTGAATGATAAATGTATATTTTTGTTCTTTATATTCGTTATCTCTACTTGATTTTTGTCACCTCTTCACTTCAATACCTAGTGGTAGGCCGTAAGACCCCTGAATATGTTCTAGCTTCCCCCCTGTCCCTTAATTCACTGAAGACTACCTAAAATAGTGGGGCAGCTTCAGGTCCACTACCTCTATCGATAGCTCAACTTCACATACCTAACCCAAGCTCTTGTTACCCTTCTGCCCTTCTACATATTCTTCTTGTCCTCAATCCTACCTAAACGAACGCACGCACACCAGCGCATAGCCGGCAGCAAATGTAGCAATGGCGACCACGATACCTTCGATAGCCTGTCTTGGAGTCATAGGGCGAAACGTATGTCCTTTACTTCTTTCATTCACCCAATACCCGAACCCATATCTTGCTTCCATTCATCCAACCAACCAACCAACCAACTACTCTTATGACGATGATGATGATAGCCACCACCACCGTCCCGTTTCGCTCTCTCGCTAACATCGAAACTGCCTTCTAGAACAACCCCCTCCACATAACCATCTTCCCCTCCTACGACCCCGCGAGCAACACCCGCGCCCCGCTACGCACCCCCCTGCAGTTCTCCCTCCTTCTCAGCAGCACCCTCGACATCTTCGACACGCGCGCGCGCCGCGCCGCCACCACCGCCCCTAACACTTCTACTGCTGCAACAGCAACAGCAGCCGGCAGCGCACCCCTGCTCACGGGCGATTTCGGCCTCCTGCACGCCGTCGACGAGCGCCTGGCCGCGTACGGTTTCGAGACGAACACGGGGGTGAAGTTCGTCGCTGTGGTGGACATGCGGGGACGCTACAGCGGTGGCCTTGGTCCCGCCGGTTCTGCTCCCGGAGGAGCAGGGGGAGGGGTCGCGGGGATGCGAGGCGGCGTCGGACTCAGGGAGACGGAGCTGCGCGTCGTGTTCCGCGCCATGCAGACGGCGTACGTGCGGCTGCTGCAGAACCCGTTCTACGACCCGGACGAGCACGCGCCGCTCGCGGGACCAGGAGGAGGAGGAGGTGGTGGTGGTGGTGGTGTCGGCGGGAAGAGGATTACGAGTCACAAGTTTGCCGAGGAGATGAGGAGGATTGGGGAGGGGTGGGCGCCTGGGGTGACGAATTTATAGGTAGTTGGTTGCGTGATGAAGAAGAAGAAGAAAGAAGAGGAGAAGGAGGAAGAAGGGGGGAGGAGGAGGAGGATATATACGAGACGAGTCTCGGTTTGGGACAACTTGGCTGTTCAAAATGAGTACCTAAGATTAGGTACCTAACCTAATGCATATGAAAAAAGGCGTTATGGACTGGCATAGAGAGCATGGAGTCTAGGAGTTTGCATTATGGAATAAACTGTGGTATTTCTTCTATACGGTGTTGCTTGCGCAGTTATATACCTAGGTGCCTAAGGAGGTAGGTAGGTACATATACATCTCTATGTGAACGTGATATACACCGATCGTATTGGACCGAGTCCCTACTTTTGGTTCTGATTTTTGACCTGGCCTTCCCCCGAAAAGGCCTTTCTCAAATATTCGAGCCGTAGCCTTTGAAGACCTGCCGGTTCTTCAAGTTCTACGGATGGCCCCATGCTAGCATCGTCCCCTCGAACAACCGGCGAAGCCGTCCAGGGCCGTGGCTTCGAAACCGGCGAGCCTTCCCAATGCCGCGCTTCTGGGGGAAGTGGTTGCCACCAGCCATCGCCCGTGCGGCTGTGCCATTGAGCTCCGCAGAGTTCCCAGAGGCGACTCGTGGCACGCTTGTAAGCGAAACGTTCGTCTTCTCCGGTAAACGCACTGGTATTACTGAAGTCTACTTTGGACTTCTGCTCTACGCCAAAGTCGGAATCCTGGTCTGGATCATAGTCTGTATTATTCGAATCAGTGTACGAAGAAATATTTGGTCTAAATGGAGACATAGTGTCTTGGTACACCTCGGCGAATGTCTCAGAGTGTATTGCGTCTCCATCAACGCTCTCATTTTCGTTGCTAACATCCTGTTTTATTGGTGAGGTGACGGCGTTGGCTTCCGGGAAGAATAGATGATCGGGTCCGGCTTCGGCCCGGATGATCAACTTGCATCGGGCTTCGTACAAAGCGTCCAATAGCGTAATAAGCCTTCTTGCCTCGTTTTTCTTAAGAATCGTCAAAATGGGTACACCATCAATAATAAAAGTATGAAAAGTGGAAGCCATTGTAATATAGTCAGCTGGTCCGAAGGAAGAGACAAGGTCCTTAAAGTCCCATAAGACAGTTCCGTCATACTGTTGGGGAATGGTGATAGCCCGGCCGTAGACAGTCACTGTCAATGACTTCCAAGGTATTTCTTGCTCTCCAGGTGGCAAAACCAAGTTGTTTAACTTTTCCATCCATACAGCTTCATTCGTCTCGCTTATAAGATAATAATTGTTTGGTGTTGAGATGGATAGGTTTGATTTGTCTGTCTCTTGCACCTTCGTATCGGAAGTGGCCCCTATCTTCAGGGTCATTGGTGAATTGCCAGGGACATCACTTTCAACGGGGTTTTTGACGCGTTTGCTTAGCAACTCGCTAGCCTCACGGCGCCTCCAATCTTTGCCTCCTTCCATTTGCCAAAATTCGCATCTCGCCTTTAAAACTTCTAGGAATGATGCGAAATCACTAGTAGAACCGAAGAGTTCTCCTCTTCCACGAGTTGGCCTTGACCCCAAAACTTGACCTATGAAGCCGCCAGTTGCGGGAGGGACATAGTCGACTCCGGTAGCTTTTTCCAATTCATCTGGCATACGATTCGATGAGGCGACAAGAACGCCGCCTAATTGAAAGAATGAAATGAATAGATTACTGAGAATCTTGCTCGCCGCTCTATCTGGGAGTTGAAACTCGTCCAGGAACAGAATTGGCGATTTCTCAACCATATCCTTAGCCATCCATAATAACGAATACTCCTGATCGCCACGGTCTAGGTGCGAATGCGATTTTCGGTAATGCTCTAGTTGAGACAGCGTGTACAGCATAAAAGTATTAAAATGCCATCGTCTCTTGCGACTTGTAGGTAACCCATCGGCTAGTAGGTCAAGCAGCATTGACTTGCCAGTGCCCACTTCGCCAGACAGGAATAAACCTTGTGGCGAATCTATTTGAATCGCCTCTTCATAGTTTGTTAGGACTTTTATCAGAGCCAACGCATCTTTACTCTCATTGCGAGCAAAAAAGCGAGTAAAAAGGGGGTTACGCCAGATAGAATGGCTCTCGACTGCGAGAGTACGCGATGGATCTTTATCTTTCTTTCTAGCGTTGTCTAGAGCGCTCGTAATAGCCTTCAATCTAGCACGGTACTCATGCGACGGCGAATAGTCCTTCAGCCGATGATAGACTTTTCGAAGGTGGATCGCTAGTCGATGCTGGGCAGCATCGGGAGAGCAGACCCCAGTCGCTAGTAACGACTGATATTTCACTAGGGGATCTGTGATCGTGACTGAACTAATGCTTCGTCTCATCTCGAGGTTTTGTACGACATCGACGCCCAGCTAAATAATAGGTAGCCACAATATGAAGGTCAGGACTAAATAGAATTCCATCCAGGGGGCAGGTCCCTGGGATTACCCGGCTATCATTGAGGAACTACACGTAAGAAAGTTGAATGTCTAATCCTCTAGTAGAGGACAGCATGAGTATTAAGCATGGAGCTATCCACGTTGCTAAATTTCTTGATGTTTTTAAGTAAATAGGGAAGTGATGAGAATTTCGAGAGTTTCGAAAGAGTAAACTTGCGAAATTAGGTACACTTTCCTAAAGAGGTAAATGAAGAGAAAGAAAGATTTGTAAGTGATGTTGGAATGTTATGAAAATAGATTGTAGTTATAGTAAAATAGGTTAGAGGTACCTAACTAGAACATGACAATTACAGACGAGTGAAACAACTCTACCTAACGTTAAGAGGATAAGAAAGAATTTATATTGCGAAACAGATTGGAAATAAGGTTGGTTGTCAAATTCGAGGCTCAAATATTAGAGGCTGCCCCGGATTTGTTAAGTCATTGCCCAGGTGCCATTGGCTTTTTGGTCCGTGCCAGAGAGCCAACGCACGAGCCACATGACGGTTGCAAAGCACTTGGTCCAACTTGTTCGTCCACAAGCAGCAAGCGCAAGGGTCCTGTCGTTTCTAAAATGGTCTAGCTTCAGCCGCGCCTGCATTGAACTTCTGATTGTACTGAATTCATAATCCAAGGAAACTATATGTACCTTTACGTATATATTATAGTGGAGAAGTACATAACCCAAACAAATCACTGGTAAATGCCAGGTCTACGTAGCTCCAGCTATCCCAATTCCAGTCCTGTGTTTTTTTTTTCCTTCCCCCGTCCTTACATAGTACAGGTACCCAGCTAAGGTGAAGCAACTGCCCAATCAATCGTAGCCAAACATTTGTCGGCCTCGTCATTCTTTCGCGAAAGAAGGCCTTCACCATTCAATCTTCATCTTTTTTTTATTACATCTTCATACCTCTCATATTTCTCCACCATTTTACCCACGCCCACGCCCACGACTTCTTCCGCCTCCCTCTAGCCTCCTCACGATGAACACGAATTTTCTACATCAATCGATCCATCGATAAATACGGGTTATCTCATCGCTAAAAAAAAAAGAGTCTTGGATTGCATCCTAGTTTTAGACCCTGTTGTTCATCTTACGGACTCATACTGCAGAATTGCTACATCATGTTTTCGGCTACAGCCAACGGCGCTGAAAATGTGTCGCCTACTTTATCGACAACCCGTGGTCGACGGCGTCAACGACCGGTGAGCTCAGATAACTCGGTGCAGCAACCGAAAGCGAAGCGACAGAGACTACCCTTGACCGACCAAACCCTTGCGAATTCTACTGCCACTCCTGAGACGTACGAAGTCAAGTCCGCGAGGCCTTCGATTGTAGATGTGAAGCAAGATGGAATTGAGGAATCGCCTACGCCTAAGCAGGAACTCAGTCTTCGATCGAAGAAAGTTCGACCAGGCGAACGTCTTAACAAGGGGGACGGTAGTACGCTTTTGGTAAGCTCCAATATCAAATAGCTCCCGTGAACCTTTATATTCAAATCGCTAACGCATTAACCCTATAGTCAACGAATATCGCGTTTGATGTTCGAAAGCTCCCGGCCTTACCTGACCGATTAAAATTAGACACTGGTAGTATGCTGCTTATTCACCGCTCGTCGATTAGTTGACATTTTATATGGCTAACCTTAGCGCGTAGGTCGTCAACATGGTTCCGTCGACAGCTCCACAGGATATGCCCTCAGCCTTTCTCATACGCATGCCATCGTATGGCCATATGCGGCGCCTGCCCAGTCTCCTGAATCATTTACCTTTGCGTTGCCGTATCCCTCCAAATCCTCAAGCGACCTTTTACCCCTGGGCGCGCTTGTCCCCCCGTCTGCATCCTCTTCTGAACCGGGTTTGGTGGTAGTAATGCCTACTAACGGCAAGGTAACCTACTGGGAATCGATATCAAGCGCGACGACACTGGATTTTATGCGCCAACAACAAAATGGCGTTGAAGGCTCTATCACCGGAATGTTTTCCGGGGAGTCCGTCATTCAGATAACTAATGCCGAATCCGCGGCCGGTTTTGTCATTGCATTCAGTAGTGGGCGCCTAGCATATTTGAGCGTCCGAGACACGCATGGCCGCCCGAAAATTTCGACTCAGTTCTTGCGTACTAACCTTGGTCCTACTAGTAGCGGGTTCTTTGGAAGTCTTCGACATGTGCTTTCACAGACTGCTTCCCAGGGAGATATTGCTGCCGTACGATCCGAAAGGTCTTCTAAGCAAGGCGAATGCACTGTCGTTGCTGTTACGTCAAAAGGGCGCCTGCATTCTTGGAGGGTGCACAGGGGAGGGCATCATGACCTTCTTGTTGAGGTCGATGCTCGCAACATCATTCTTGGGGCTCTCCAGCAGATGGACAGCATAAGCGCCAAGTTACCTGCCGAGTCACTAAAAATCCTCGACTTTTGTTTCGTACCCAAGGGCCTAGAGCGAAAATATAGCGATATGAGTCAACTTCGCAAACCCTCCGAGTTTGAAGACCAGCAACATCTATTACTGCTTGCTTCGTTATCCAACAAACAGGGATGGCGATATACACTCGTTGAAGTTATATTACACTCTGCGCTTTCTGACGAAAGCCCTGTTGAGGTTGACATGGTTCGACCGATATCTGCTTACTCTACCGCGCCGGATCCCCAAGCTCTTGCTAAACCTCGACTTTATCTTCCTCGACCCAATATCATTGCTTTCCTTGTTTTCGATCACGCTGCTGTCATAGCCTCAATTGCCCAGCCACCAGACTCCCCCGATTCGCAAATCCTCGAGGACAACCATATCATACCCGCGTCTTTTGAAGATGTCGTTGATCTACGTACGGACCCTACACTCGAGATTGTTGGTTCTGGAATCGAAGAACCCAAGACTCCAGGTTTTAGTATGGCGGAGGGCAGAGTACCTCGTATTAAGCCCAAGAATCCCGCCGCTGTACTACTGGTTCGAGGTGCCGGGACTCTCCGTATCGCATTAACAGATGTTGAACGGTTTGCAAGTGAGAAACCCCCGGAAGTTACAGCCAAAGCAAAACTTGAGCAAGCCGTGTTTTTCGGTGTCAAGGAGGATAACCCCCTCGTATTCGATAGACAACATGGTCTCCGTTTCACTGATGAAGAATATGGTGCTGCTGCTTTGGAGCTGAGCCGAGAAATTCTCACATCTGCTGGCAAACACTTCTCGACCTTAGCCGCACGTGTCGATACTAATATTAAAGAGCGTGTGCAGTACCTGGAGAAGATAATGACTCAGATCGCAAGCTTAAAAGTGAACCTGGACCGCGTTACCAAATGGCAGTTGCTTTGGAATGCAGAAAAACTTCACGTTGCTAACGTCATCTGGCACAAGCACGAGGAGTTCACTAACCTGCGCCCTATAGCTTCTAAAAAGAGTATCGTTGCGGAAATTGTCGAGTATATCCGATCCGAGGAGAAGTCTGAACCAAATCCCGCGAAAGGGGAAGTCGATGAGTTACGTCACTGGTTCATCCGCGACGTTGATCGCATGCAGATCTTCATCGCCTGGGCTTACGAAGTTATAAAACATAACTCCAAGGCTAACCTGGACCACGCGTCTCTAACGCGACTGATATACGAGGCCGCAGAAATTTACAATAGCGCGATACGGGATGCCTTCACGTTCCGTATGAGGAACCTTCAACTCTATGGTCTAGGTGGCGAGAAAATGGAGCATGGGATTTTAGCAAGCGATTATACTGGACTCCCGACCCCTTGGACCTGTCATCCCTTCATTGCCAACAATGTGAAGAGGCAAGTAGAACTGTCTACCGAGTGGGTCAAGCAACATTGGTCAGTAGATCCTGAAGGACAAAGTGCCCTGGTCCAGAAGACTAGAGAGCTTTTGCCACAAATGACCGAGGTCTACTTGACCGTCGTTCAGGAATTATCTCGATCATACCTTGCTAGTGAAGACCCGAAGAAAGCTGCGGACGGTCAGAAGTACGCGAGCATCTATGCGCAAGACCGTCATGACAAAGTTGTCCTTCTTGCCCAAACTGAAAACTGGGAAGCTGGTATAAAGATTGCTGAAAACCACGAGTCTCTTCCTGCCCTCGCAGAGATTCTTACTCGCGAAATTGACGGGCTCCGACGCCAACTTGAGACACCTGGCCTATCCCCCGAACGCATCGAAAGTCTAGAGGCAAAGGCGACTGCGAAAGAAGAGCAAGTGCGAGAGTACTTCATCACATACGGCAAAGACTTTGCCTTCCCATTTTACGAATACCTATTCAATACATTCGGAGTCGATGCTCTGCTCGAGTACGATGGAGATAAGAAGTTCAAGACGATGTATCTTCGGACTAAACCAGAACTTGCTAAAGTTTCGTGGATTAACGACATTATCGGCGAAGAGGACATTGACCACGCTGCTGACACGCTTCTCAACCTCGGCTTGGCACGTGAGCAGCAGGTCTGGAACAAGAAGATCGAGTTGAGTCTAGGCAAGCTAGCGAGGATGGCTGAAGCATCCCGGCCGTCCAGCAAAGCATCCATGAGCATACAGGATGCCAATGTCAACGGAACAGCCGAGGATGCGCAAGTGGACGCCATTGATAAGGAACTCGCTATCATTGCTGTTCAGGATGACCTATATAACACTCAGATTCGTCCGGTGATCAGTGTGGCGCTCGAGGGAGAGGAGTTAAGCGTCGTGCAAGAAACATTCGCGCTCAAGATACCCAAGAAGTATAAAATACTTTCGCAGATATTTGACGACGCGTTACGACAACTATTGAACCACGAGGCTCTAGACCCACTCACGCTCATTGATCTACTTACTTTGATCACTCTACCACCAGAGACACGGGAGCACATGCCCGACCAGTTTTTCGCGGCTCTTAGTGTAGCCTATAACAGTCTCAATGGTGCAGAGCGTGTGCAAGCAGAGCGGCTCATATGGCGGCGATGTTTCCTCAGAGAAGATTGGACGCAACTCAATAACACCACACTCAAGAACGACGATGATATCGTAGAGGTCCTTGGCCAGACCGACCTTTTCCAGTTTTACTGCACGCTCTATGCCAATCGTAAGTAGAAATGAACGAGATACTACCTTGGGTAATTATACTAATAGAAAACAGAGCAAAGCGGTGCTGATAAAAATGATTACCGGCGGCTATCCCCATCGGAGGTTGCTGGGGTATATACCGAAACCCTTGACCGACGATTTGAGAAAATGGAGAAAAGTTACCGCGAGAAGGTACTGGAGGCAATGAGGTGGGAGGACAACAACCTGCTCAAGCATATTGAAAAGCACAGGCTGGAGCAATGGGCCAAGGAAACCCGGAAATACGCCGAGGAGGCTGTCAACCAGCAGTATGACGAAACAACCGCAGCAGGAGCGGCGTTGAGCTCGCCTAGGTCGGGGTCTGGACGAAAGCAAATTAAGGGATTTGATAGTATGAATGGCAAGAACGGCACACACTAGAGATGTTGGGCATCAAGACCACAAGTCCGATAAGGACGTTTAATGCACAGGAGCGTCGGAGTTATTTGAATATTTCATTTCTTGTACCATACTGCATACTGCTCGTTTGTTTTTATATAATTGCCGTGAGGCACGGGCAAAGGGAAAAAAAGTTGACGAGAACAAAGGGGGGCATCTTCCACAGTTGAGCTTCCACCACGCAAGAACACGATACCAAGGCTCTCATGTAGCGAATACAGGGTAGCTTCGCTGACTCTCGCTTAAGCCGATGAGTTTTTTCATTCTACTTCACTATATTTAGTGTTAAAAGTTGCCCTTTTATTCATGTGATAATTATGGTTTAGTAAAGCTGAATGGTGGCATTTGTCACTTGTGTGAGGTACCTAAGGTAAATACTTTTGAGCACCGTTATTACTATTTAAGCTTTATGAAACAAATGTTTTTAACTAGGTAGGATATTATAGTTACGCTCATATGAAGCTTCTAATATTTCACACTGTATCCTTATTTCTTACTTACCTGTCTTACACTTCACTCCGATCAGCCACCTCTCCTATTCCAGCTGCGCAGTCGTCCCGAACCTCACCAGCATCAAGTCTATCTAACGCCCTATCAACCTCTTTATCCCATTTACTTAACCCGACGATCACCCATTCTAAAACTCCCACTAAGTACAAAGCAATACATTGTCCAATCCACAGGCCCTGGAGTCCCCATCCGTGGAAAGCAAGGTAAATTCCCGCCGGCAGCGCACCGCCGTAGTAGCTGATCAGATTGACCAACGCGCCAACCCACTGCCGTCCCATACCCCGCAGCACGCCGCCGCAGCTCCCGTTCAGCCCGTCGGCGATCTGGAAGAGCGCAACGAACGGCATCACGTCCGCGACGAGGCGCACCACGCGCTCGTCGTCGTTGAATATCCTGGCGAACACGTTCCGGGTGCTCATCAGGACGGTGAGGATAAGAGCGCCGAGGATCGTAGATAGGACCGCGGCGCAGTGCGCGGCGCGCGACGCTTCGCGGGGCTTCCGCGCTCCGAGCAGGTTTCCGATCCGCGCCGAGGCCGCGACGCCCAGGCCGAACGGAATCGTGTTGATGATCTGGTCGGCGGTCATGATCACGGACTGCGCCGCAAGGGTGATGGTCCCGAGCCTGCCGGCGGCCAGCGCAACGATCTCAAACGCCCACCACTCGGTCCCCACGTGGATTACTCCCAGGAAAGCCAGGCGCACAAACGGCCAGAGGTTCGAGGCTGCGCGGCGGGGAGCAAAGCCCCCCCAGCACTCGTGGCCGCGGACGAAAGCCGCGTATGCAACGAGAAGCAGGAAAGAGATCCAATACGATATCCCCGTCGCAAGGGGCGCGCCGTAGAGGCCCAAGCCAAACGGGTAGATGAAGAGGTAATTGAGCAGGGCGTTGAGCGGCGAAGTTATCAGGAGGACGTACGTGCCCGGGCGATATATGGCCTGGGCCTGCAAGTACTTCTTCATGGACTCGAACCAGACGTATCCCAGGCCTCCCGGGATGAGGATGTGCAGGAACTTGCTGCCCTCTTCGCAGATGAATTCCTCCTGTCCCAGAGCGCGGAACAGAGGTCCGGAAAATGCCCATATTGCGGCTACGACAGCGTAAAACGAGGACAGTACGATGATCCCGCGCTGGAGGAGAATGCCGAGGTCGTGCTTGTCCCGCGACCCGGTGAAGCTCGTGGATGCGAGGGTGTCTAGCGCCGTTGTGCCGCCCATGGCGATCAGCCAGCCTGTGGACATGGCGAACACTGTATGTGAAACATCGTATGTTAGATCGTGCTTTGGAATACGTATTTCAATCTCCCAAGTAGTCCTCCTGAGACGACGGGCTTAGAAGCTCTATATTCAACAAGTTAAAATTTGGGTACTAACTATAGCAAAACGCCGCCGTTGCCAGCGCTTCCGGGGAGAGGCGGCCGACGATCAAGACCGAGACAGTCTGGAGGCTGTTTTGGAGCGTGTAAGCCAGTATCACCGGGATAGCTGCTTTGGTCAAGAGCCAGATCTCGGCCAGCGATTGCCGGTATTGCGGAATATCGGGTCGGACATCTGTTAGGGGCGCTTTTGGCAGCAGGGCGGTCGATTCATCGTTGAATATACTTGAAGAAGACGTCGGAGTTGACGTCGAGGACGTGAATTCGTCAGACATTTTGAGGCATATGTGAGGTGAGTGTAGAGGTGAGTTTAGAAAGGTTTAAGCCAGGGCGATTATAGACTTATACCTAAGGCAAGATAAACGTGGGAGAGCCTTACGTATTGTGCATACATACTCTTGACCTTTGCTACCTACTTACAGAGAGTTCCACTTCGATATCTACCTTACCTACCTAGGTAGGTAAACAACTAATTGGGCAAGTCTCAGCCACTATAAGTAGGAGCAATAGTGGTTTAAGGGCTAGGAGACACTGTGATTTGCGGGACTGTATACTACCTTACTACCCGTTTACGTTTTTCAACTTGTCTAGTAGCTGCCCGTATCAGTTCGAAGCTTTTATCAGGTACCTAACTTATCTGGTCGAAGGCAAGGCTCGAAGTACTGGGTATCCCATCCCTGCGGCATTATGTAGATAAGCACACAGGCAGAAAAAGTGAATAGTGAAGTCGTGGGATGGACAACCAAACAGCCAATAGGAGATTAACTGCCCCGTAACTTAGACTTAATAAGTGAAATGTATATGTCCGTAATATCGCGTTGCACTCGGCCTTAGTCCCACAAGGAGGACCGAATGAGGATGCCGCGCATATGAGGCGTTAGATGCAGTCGCTGACGGGCAGCGGGCTGCCGTAGGAGAACGGGCATGACGATATGCCCATTCGCCAATTCGTACTTATCGTACAACCCCATCTCCGCCGTTCCGTCATAGGTTTATTTAGTTTGTTTAGGGGCATGCGGGCATTATCTAAGACCAATTAGTATCGAGGAATTGAGTTGGCATTGCATTGGTTGATACCGGGAGACGGCAGTGTTTGGTAGATATTATAGCACGAAATTGCTAATGCTTAGAGGAATGGGGCCCAATGATGTTTGCACTTACAACCAACGCCACTGAAGATATCTACTACCTATAGCTTTGGGATCTGCGGTATAAAAAAAAGTAGAAGTATAAGAATATTGAAGTATAACTAAACAGAGAAGTAAATATTTCGACTAAAATTTACAACATGATAATATACTATATCTATGATAGTATTATATATAACCCACGATGGAGAACGTTTAGGTAACTTATATAACATGAGGAAAATGGCAAGATGAAGAGTTGTATGTATACAAGTGCCAAGAAAACACCGCCACTTTTAGCGATAACACAAGTTTTGTCCGGATGAATAGACATAAGTATACCTTAGCAAAGCCTTCTACACTCAATCACGGTGACAAATAGTCAATATCACCTTGAAGAATTAACAGAACATCAGGCACATGGAGTAAACCACAAAAACTTACAAGTATGATCAAGTCGCCCGCACCTACGGTAGCGAGACAGGGGTAGCGAGAAAACACTCCAGATCTATACCCCAACTAATCGTAGCTACCTCCATAATTCGACGGAGAATTCTATACTTATTCGGTTAAATCAAGCTGGGATCACCGAACCACCAGCTATTAACCGGTAAGCGATGATGTCTTCATTAACAAGAACAGCGTCCCGTCGCGTGGGCGGTAGTAGCCTAGCGAACTACACTCGTATCCCATGCCAGATGGAGGAGTAGAGAAAAAGAAGAGGAAAAAAAAATAGGAAAGAAAAAAAAGGAGGAGGAAACAATACGATGAGGTTCTCGTCTCTGAATGCTCACGTGGCGCTCTTGGCGGTTGTGGCTTCATCCGCAGCGGTGCAGGCCAGTAATTCCACCTATTACAATCCCGTGCTGCCGGGTTGGCACTCGGATCCGTCGTGCACGCAGGTCGACGGGACATTCTTCTGCGTGACGTCTACTTTCATCTCCTTCCCGGGGCTTCCCATATACGCGTCCAAGGACCTGATAAACTGGAAGCTGATCAGCCATGCGTGGAACCGCGAGAGCCAGCTCCCCGGCATCAGCTGGAACACCACCGACCAGCAGCAGGGCATGTACGCGGCGACCATCCGCCACCGCGACGACCAGTTCTACGTTATCTGCGAGTACCTCGGTATGCCGCAGGGGAATATAGGCGTGTTGTTCAAGTCGCGCGATCCCTTTACCGATGAAGCCTGGAGCGATCCTGTTACTTTCCACGCAGATAAGATCGATCCGGACTTGTTTTGGGACGACGACGGCAGGGCCTACGTGGCGACGCAGGGCATTATCCTCCAGGAGATCGACCTCGACACCGGCGAAGTCAGCCAACCGCCTACCAGTCTCTGGAACGGGACAGGAGGTGTATGGCCCGAAGGCCCGCATCTGTATAGGAAGGATGGCTGGTATTATTTGATGATTGCCGAGGGCGGTACCGACATGGACCATTCCATCACCATCGCTCGATCCCGTCGTCTAACCGGGCCCTACGAAGCTTACGCGAACAACCCTATCCTAACGAACCGCGGCACCGACGAGTACTTCCAGACCGTGGGCCACGGCGACTTATTCCAAGACGCCGACGGAAACTGGTGGGGCATGGCTCTAGCCACGCGCTCGGGACCCCAACGCGAGATCTTCCCGATGGGTCGCGAAACAGTGCTCTTCCCCGTGACGTGGGAAGAAGGCGAATGGCCCGTCCTGCAGCCGGTCCGCGGCAAGATGACCGGGCGGGCCTTACCCCCTCCCAACCGCGCCGTCCCCGGAAACGGCCCCTTCAACTCCGACCCGGACGTGTACGATTTCGAGGAAGGCACTGCCATCTCGCGGAACCTGGTGCACTGGCGCGTGCCGCGGGCCGGCGCGTTCTCCGTCACGAGCCGCGGCCTGAAAATCGTGCCCAGCCGCAACAATCTCACCGGCACGCCCTCCTCCTCCTCCTCAGCTTCCCCCGAGCTCAGCGGCCAGCAGGGCCTATCTTTCATCGGCCGCCGACAGACCGACACGCTGTTCGGCTTCAGCGTGGACCTGGCGTTCGCCCCGCGACACGTCGGCCAGGAGGCCGGCGTCACCGTGTTCCTCACGCAGCTCGCCCACGTCGACCTCGGCGTCGTGCTCTTGCCCGGTAGCAGCTCGGATCCGACCTGCGCGTCGCGACACAAGCGTGACGGGGCTAAGGCACAGCCGCAGTTAGCGCTTCGGTTCCGGGCCGAGGGTGCGGGTGCGGGTGCGGGGAACCTCGCCTCGCCGCGGACCGTTGGCGTGCCGGCGGAGTGGTTCGATGGTGGCGATGGTGGCGGCAAGGGCTCTATCAGGCTTTTCATCGAGACGGCGAACGCGACGCACTACCGGCTCTCCGCCGCGGCGGCCGCGGACCCGGAGGTCAGGATCGGCGTTGGCACGGCGTCCGCGGGGCTAGTGAGCGGTGGCAGCGGGTCTTTTGTGGGAAGCTTGGTTGGCGCGTACGCGACGTGCAACGGGGCCGGGGTGGGTGTGGCGTGTCCGGAAGGAGGGGAGGCGTATTTTACGCGCTGGAGGTATGCGGGCGCGGGCCAGTACGTCTCGGAGACGGAGGTGGTGTAGATGGATAGTTTGGCTTATCCTGGCTCCGGTAGAGTTGAGTTCCAACGTAATTTTAGCTGGCCGTTTGCCACTTACAAACGAAGTGGCTACCACTCTGGAGACCTTAAAGACGAGCTTTTCCAGCGTTATGATACGTGCTATTGAAATAGACAAAGGATCTATTGTATCTGCTTGCGTAGATCTCGCGTAAGATTCTCTAGGACGAGAGTTTGAGTTAGGAAGCTAGCGAAGCCAACTATTGAATACTCTTATATCAACAATTGTCTCTTGTCCATTTGAGGCTGTATCCCATACCACATACCTTTTGGCTCGACGATATTCGCTTAGCCACTGTTGTTTTCCTGTCAAGCTTCCAATGACCTAAACTTAATAAGATGCTTTAACTTAAAAGCAAAGTTTATATTATAGATACCGCATAGGCATCTTAATTATTCAAGTGCTCAACTAACTTAATCATGCCTATTTCCTCCATCATGCGTAATCCAAGCCCCTTTACGGACTATACCAATCGCATTTCATATTCCAGGCGCAAACAAAATTAAAAAAACAGGTAAGCATCCAATGCGTATGAAACACATTTAGCAAGTTTCTTCCAACCATTCGAAGACGAAGCTTTAAGCGCCCGCGCAAGACATGAATTCCATCAGAGGATTTACCCCCGAGAATACACGCCGACCCGAACGCCAAGCCCGCCTTCCCCGTGTTTATTCATGACTCCGTCTCCCTACAACCCTTCATCATACACTCAATAACCGGACCTCCCAAATTTCGCATGCATTACTCGTTTCGCCAAGTCGTAGCATACATACATCCAAACCGGCCGTACTGAAAATAATAGTTGTCGATCCGATCAACAGCCTATACGCCGATCTGGGACATATTAGGACCGCGAACGGAGCCACCTGAGCGCCGGAGCTCTCTCAAGACGAAGAAGAGGCTAGTAGCCAGTGAGGCGAACAGGAACCATAAGAACACGGTGCTAGCCTGGATCTCACGGCAGCGCTTTTCGTTATTGTAGGAACCGAATGCGATGTAGTCGCTAGGTTTGCGCCCCTAAAAATAAGAAAGAAAAAAGCCAAAAGGTTAATGAAGTGGATCGATTTTATACGAGCGGAGTTAGATGGGTGGGTTTACATACCAAATTGGAACAGTTCACTGCCTGTAGCTTTGCGGAGAAGACGATAGCACCGATGAAGGTGAAGAGAACAGAAAGGCCATCGAGAGCGAGGGCCACGATGGGGATTGCGATGGCGGCGACGAAGTGCGAAATTAACCCGTAGAGGATAGCCAACCAGGAGACCGCGCATACGAACATGATAAAGTTGATGGCGGATTCGGAGCCGCTAATGTTGCTTGCGATAACATTGCCGACGAGCGCGGTGATCAGCAGGACGAGGATGAGCTCCACGATGCGTAGCACCGACTTGATCATAGTCTCCATATTGGCGAAAAGTACTTTCTTGGTATCGTGAGATGTTAAAGTGGTTTATTTTAAGCGAGGTAGTAAACGCTATAGACGAAGGCTTAGTTAGAGGCCAATGCGTCGACAAAATATCGTCGAATTACAAGGGCGGCTGACGATCGACGAAAGATAGTGCGGAGTTTGGTGGGTATGTTATGATGCGCATGTATGTTGATGCTAAAATGGTTTTAGAGAAGTGGGATGTAGAAGTGTGAGGTACATATATGTTAGGTTAGGTTAGGTGGGAAAGATGACCGGGTGATTTATTGATCTGTGGTTGCGGGATAACAGCCTACATACCTAAGGTTAGGTAGGTACCTTCCCCTAAATGTACAATACATGCACATGCAATTCCCTTGTAATTATGCTGCTTTTAGCAGGTGTTGTTTCTCTATATATCAGTCGTTGTTTCTGAATTCGCAACCTATGACCTCATTGGATTTTCCTTACTATTCTAGAAGTACATAGTAGGTAGTGACGTGCACAATAACCTGTGGCGCATATGCTAATTCGACCTTTGTTAGGGAAACTTAAATAAATGGTTACTCGAGATTTGCCAATACAGAATTTATTCTAGGTACATACTTCTTAGTACCTTTGATTACATAGTATACCATCATCATTTTCGCCTGCGGCCTCCGATGTGTTATAGGTATTGCCAACCTACCAAATTTCTTTCAAGTTCCAAGTTCAGCTAGGCACATAAAGAACACCATCAAAGTCGCACTGAATCCACGGTTGGCCGGGCAGTCAGCTCACAAACGGGCCAATCACACCAACGTCTCGCGACTCCGCACCACCCGCGTTGTTTTAAGGATCCGTTCCCCGATGAGATCTATTAATTCCGGATGATTGGCTGTTATTGCTTCTCCAAGTTTAGCATTTTGACCCAGCAACCGCGAGCCGCGCGGGACCCTGCATCTTTATCTCATCCCGCTCGCTATATAAATCCAGGTCCAAGTCGAGAGATTGGTTTTATTATTTGCGGCATACCATGTTCAATAGGTAATATTTAAAAGACAATCGGTTTGTTTCTAAATTATAAAAAATTCTCTAAATGAATAATAGATTTACATTATTACCAGTAAATTCGAAGCTTTTACTTTCTGGCTTCGTTTTATACTTTACGCACTTACTTCTATTCCGTACCAGTATTATGTAACGTTAGGTAATCCCGAATCCCCCGAAGATAGCCTTCGGTTAAAATTCGGGTGTCTTAGGTAAGGGCGTCCAAACCCCAAGGTTTCCAAGTACAGGTATGTAATGTACAATGAAATACCTAGGTACATCCGTTTCCGAGCACAGGGTCGACAGCTCGTTGCATCACCATGCATGTAAGTGCACTATTTATGGCTGCCCAGGTACGTACTGCGAACTAATTGAACAAAAGCTCCTAATTTTTTTTTCTGCGCCGAATTTCCTGAGCTCACTGTCATGTCATGATAATGCGATAGGTACTACGGTTCTTTTAACAAATTACGGGTTTGAACACTTAAGAATTGGCGACCGTCATCAGGTAGGGGGTTCTATTTTTTTTTTTTTTTTTTTTCGTCTTATCTGGTTAGACCCAATAGGATCTTATTATTATTAGCTACGTCCCGCAATGTTTGTAGCGGCGCAACCGGATATAGGTCTCACTAACCTCCCGAAGCTTCTCGTCCGAATCCACCGGAACTATTAGCAAATACCTCTACATTTGCAGCTCACTTACTATGCTCATTCTCCCCGCGACGTAAACGCCCTAAATATTAACTTTTAAACAGAGGCCGCGCAAAATGCCTCCGGTTTACTCCCGTTTGTTCGAACCAATGTGGGTGCGCGTACTGCGGCAGACCACATCCACCTTAGGGAGAGGAGCGTGGAGGCGCACTTTCGTCTCTAAATCGCAGCAAACTGTGTCTCTTTCTACTTCAATAACTTCTCCGTATGCGATACGACGACCTACGATATTAGACATTCTATCCAAATCATCCAAGCAACCGTTACGTTCGACCCGCCGATCATTTCACCGAACTTCCCGCCTACGAAACGCAAAATCTACTCCGAAGGATGCCGCAGCTAAGGAGCCGCAGGGGTTCACGGCCAGGATGAAAAAGTTGTCAAGAGAATATGGCTGGGCGGCTTTAGGAGTTTATCTGGGATTAACCGTCCTCGATTTTCCATTCTGCTTCCTACTAGTCCGATCTGTTGGGACGGAGAGGATAGGTCGGTGGTGACGGTATCAAGAGGAAGGGCTTCTTGCTAACGGAACCTAGGCGCAATCGAACACTGGGTTGTATCAAACGTCTCCAAATTAATACCGGAGTCCGTCCGGACTAGGTGGCGTGAATACCGCCAAGCCCTCAAAGAAGCCGAAAAAGAAAATCGCGGTGATGCCGAAATTAGTGAAAAAGCTGAGGTAGTCGGCTGGGGTGTAGAGGAGGCTGAGCAGAGGCACAAGGCCGAAGCTAGTAAGTTTTATAGAGGAGATATGTGTCCCAATCTTCAGGTACTCACACAAACTCGTAGGTCTTGGAACCCAGTTAGCTCTTGCCTATGCGGTACATAAAAGCTTCATCTTCCTTCGAGTGCCCTTAACCGCAGCGATAACGCCTAAGGTTGTTCAAAAGCTACGGTCATGGGGTTGGAAGATCGGAAAGCGACCAACCAAGCGGTAAGCGAAGTTGATTCTCGAATAAAAAAGAGCTTTGGTTACAGCAGAGCCTCTCTATTATGAGTTATGAAGTATATCTCTCTAGGTTGAAGGTTACAGGGATAACTTGTATAATAAATCCAAGGGGGGTGTAAGTAAGATCGATAAAAGGCCACTAGACTCACTCCACATAGAAGATAAAATAGCACCGAAAGAAACCGAGAAAATAAAATCCAACTCGACGATGTACTCCGCTTCGTGATCGAAGAACGAGTAGACGAGAACCATTATAACCATATGTGATTTCGTCATAGGAAAGCCGGTGGTACCGTGATTTTGCTAATTCTAGCGGCATCTGTTATACGACGGCAACATACAGCAGACGTGAGAGTTACACGCCACTTATTAAAAATTAAGCTGGCTCCAATCTCATCGTACAGAAGACAATTCTATTCGACTACATACGAGTTGGTGGGTCCCACAGCAACTTGCGTTAGGATATCAGATGGAGAATAGGGTTGCGACTAATTCAGACTATTCACAGGATTTGCCTTTGAAAACAGCAGGCCCCATTATATTCGACCTTGTAGGGTAACTCACTCATCGGCGAGTTCGAGAAAAGGCGTAACAGAAATAATCATTGGTGCCACTGTCAAAATAGAGTTCAATAGGTACCTTGGCATGGCGGTCGACTTTAACACGACTAAGTTATCAGATCTGCCCTAGGTCATTACCTACCTCTTACACTATGTATATGGGGCTTAAATTAATATTTTCAACCATTTTAACACTACCACCCATAAGGCTATTACCGCAGCTATAGGGCTATTATTACAACCACGTGGCTATTACTACGACTGTAGCTGCGACCATAAGGCTATAAAAGGGTATTTTCGTAATCGAAAGTCTATGTGGCCTACTGATGGCACAAGACTGGCTATTTTCACATCGATGAGATAATATCAGCTACTAATGGCGTCTTCGACTACTTCGGACATACTCCCGGTTTGCCACAGCTAGTGTCCCTTGAAACTAGTCAAGATTCTCCCGAGACTAGATATGAGCCACTTACTCGACGGTCAGGTAGCGTATATGTCATGTACCTGAATAAGGCCCCTATATTTTTCAACTGGGTTGCTGCAACAGGGATTGCGCTGACGGGATTCAGCACGACTTAGGAAAACCATTGGCTTGGAAAGCCTCTTGGATAGTCCCATAGAAATGGAATACGGGCATTCGGGAATAAGAGGGAAGAGAGAAACCCTAGATAGGTAGGTAATGAGTCGAAGCTTTACATCGGACTGGCCGGGCAAGCCTGGCAGATCATCAAGCAGATATGTTATTCCTCTCCGACCGTGTCAAGTCACCTTGTCTAGCCTACGTATACTGATATTACGTGTATAAGAGTCTAATACCAACGGCGTATTATCAACATTATTAGTTCCCCAAGTAAAGCCCCGCTTGATTAACGAAGGCAAATATGTAGCTTCATGAAAAGAAAAGTCAACTTTACAGTAGGTATCTATGCCTCGTTGATAGCTAGTGGGAAACTTACTTGACACGTCTTCGTTTTATAACCTACCTAGGTAGGTATCTACAACTCGCGTTTATCGAGTATGATCCCAGAGATAATCAAAAGCTTTGGTCTTTTCGGCATTCCCTCAGAATTCGAAACTCTAAACCTGAAGCATGCAGTGAACATTACACGTCTTTGAAGGGACTTTAGGTACGAGCGCATAGTTAAGCAACCTAACTCTATGGACATATAAACTGTGTCGGATCGCCCTTGACCCCGATTAATTCCCCGCCACACATGGAAGCAGCATATATAACTACCTAGGTAGAAACACATCTAGAAGCACATGCCGTAGCATGCAATTCACTATCAATTCACTATGAACACCAACCTACAAATATTGAGATTATTTCTCACCATGTTCCACCTAAATAACGAAGGTATATATATCAAGCAATCCAATCCTTATCCTACTTCTTCTCGAGATCCTAGGGCTAATACGTACCTAACCTAGATGCTCTGCTCAACGAAGACGAAGACGGTAGCAAAAACGAGACGTCCAAAATAGAGCCGCATTCAGGAAACCATGTTTCTCCAATACCGTTGGAAGACGAGACGCCCGAAATAGAGCTGGATTCAGGAAACTATGTTCCTGCAATACCGTTGGAAGACGTGCTACCGAAAGCCAAGTTGTACCTAGACGTTGCGAGAGATACCCCCGAGGCTTTCGATAATCCGCTTATCACAGCCATACTCAAGATCACCCTAGAGATGATCTGGCAGAGATTACTCGAACGGCAACATTACGTTATGTCGAGCCCCGAGTTTGCCATCTTCAACTTCTTCCGAGGCTCGTTCGGGGACGAGAAAAGTGCTCAGGTGGCTGTTAAAGCGACGGCAATCTATTGGGAGAATACTTGGGGTGACGACACAGATTACGGAGAGTAATACAAATACCTTACCACATGCCAACTTGAGAGTTTGAATTATACACGGTTTGCTTTTTTTCTTCTTTCTATTAGCAAGCAAATAATAATAAACTTGAATTGATGAAGCTGAGACTAAGGTTATCGGGCTACGTTCATTGTGTGTATCTTGTTGTTGTATTGTTCATCTTCCAAAGGGAATCTCTAATGTGTGGGATGTTTACCTACTTCCTATAAGTACCTACCTAGGTTCCTAAATACCTAACATAACAATACAAAAGAATGGGGTGATGAAAGTCTTATCGAAAGGCGTGACGACGACAAGAATTGAAAGATGTGTATGATTCGTGCTTCGTACGGCACGGCTTGCCCCACTACGGTAACCTTACTACTATGTACATAGTACAGGGTGCCCCACATTCGCATTACAGGATACCCCAACTTCCAACTTCCAACCTTGGAACTTCCACCATTGATGATGGAGCAACCTTAGAAGGGGCTTCTTCCCCTTTAATACTGCCTGTGTATAGGTAAATTAACCTCTCCAACGTCCTTACCTAACCCAACCTACCCGTTTACCTAATTGGGATTTTAGGTTTGTTCTTTTTTCTTTTTGAAGCAGCATTGCAGGTAAATTTGTACTTTTGTCATACTCAGCTCTGCGTTCTGCGTTCTGCAATCAAGCTCCAAGCTCCAAGCTTCACCTATAATAAGGTCATCGCTCGAACTTTGCCGCCATTTGCAACGCCAACCCTAATTTTAAGATGATCAGTTTTATATAACTAGCCGCGCATTTTTCACTCTCTTTTATCCATTAAATTTACCTTGTCCAGGATGGTTCCTCAGACATCCGAAAAGACAACGTTTAGTCTCGCAGCAACTCAGCACCAGCACCAGCATCATGGTCACATTCTTTTGAGACGCCCCAACGTCGCTACCGACATCCGATCACGATCACGATCACGGTTTAAATTAATTTCGGCCCTTTCTACCTTACTTTTGCTCGCTTGGTATATAAAACTCAACTTTGAGCAATGTCCTTCCCTTCTAGATCTCAAACAAGTCACACGGTCGGAACTTGAGCCTCAAGTCTCGCGTGTAATTCCCGCCGAGGCACAGACTAAGGCGCCGCTGGAGTGTTTTGAAGTCGCTCAACCCGTGCTTACTCCTGGTGGCCCGTCGGGCAACGGGTTGACGCGTATAGATAATGTCTCTCAGGATAACTCTTGCTCGGTCTTATTGATGGAGCATGTTTTTGCATTTAGCTATGGCACACCATTTGTTGGTAGGTTACCCCAGGATATCCGGGTGCCTGGGTAAACTTACGCATACACGCTCTTGGTGGACAACCTAATAGTGAATAGGAACTTATACGCCGCCGAACTGCTCTTTTAACCGGGTTATTATGAACTTTACTGTTGTCTCGCAAGGCCGCCAGTTTGATCGCTTAGCGTTGATGTACTTTGGCGACACCGAAGTATGGCGGACTTCGACTGCAGAACCAACACTACCTCCGGGCATACGTTGGACATTTTTGAAAGACATGACCGAGTACCTTTACTTTTGGAAATCCTCCCAGAAACTAATATTCGACCTGGGCAACTTGGTAGATGACAAGTACACTGGGTCATTTAATGCTACACTAACTGCTACTTTCTTTGTAGCTGACCTCGAGACCGATAAAGCACGTCCTGCAGACTTAGTTATCCCCATCTCTGCGAGGAAAGGCGGTTCTGATGGAGCAAGTCATTTCACGCTTCCGGCAGATGAGGCAACAAATACTATCAGTTTCCCTCGGAACGTCAATCGAGCTGTCTTCAGTGTCTCGGCAAATGGACAGGCTTCGGAGGAGTTCTGGTGGGGAAATGTCCCGCAGAGCCATGTTCTCACATTTACCCAAACTGTTGGACAACTTCCTGGACTTTCTCCCTTTCGCGAGGTCCAGTTGCTCATCGATGGCAAGCTCGCCGGGGCGCAATGGCCGTTCCCGGTGATATTTACGGGCGGAGTGGTGCCTAGTCTGCATCGGCCCATCGTTGGCCTGCAGGCTTTTGATCTAAGAGAGCACCAAATCGATATAACTCCTTGGTTGCCTCTGCTATGCGACGGCGTCGATCACACGTTTTCTATCAAGGTCGCCGGCGTAAATAATTCAGAAAATAGTACCGATCTTACACTTACAGAAAGAGTCAATGACAGTTGGTACGTTACGGGTAAAATATTCCTATGGTTGGATGACGAGGGATCAGTGACTACTGGTACTGGTCCTTCAGTGGAAATCTCGGGACCGACCATTTCGCTTTCAAGCCAAGTCGCGCAGAACGCGACAGGATTTAACGAAACCCTCGCTTTTAACATGACAGTTCAGAGAAGTATTACTATTAAATCAGCTATTAAGTCGAAAAATCAAAATGGGGAGAGTACTTGGTCTCAAAGCCTCTCCTACTCGAATCGAGCTGTGATGTCGAACTTTGGGACCACCCAAAGTAATGATTTTAGCATTACTGGAACGGATTCCACGACCGGGCCTGCTACCACTTATAAAGCTATTTATAGTTATCCGCTATATTGTAATCAAACATACTTAAGATCACCCCAGGGTAATCTAACGATAGGTGCCCATCTGATAGAAGGGTTTGAACTTCAGGTCGAAGGGGATTCCGTCTTCCCTACAGGCCTTGAGGCTTTTGAAGGCAGCAATAGTGCTGGAAAGAGTCGGTATTCCACTTCGCATATAAAAACCCATCGCGACGGTAGCGCGTTCTTCTTCCAGACGGGAGATGGCAGGAACAGTTCTGGTTACGGCTCGACCAACCAGGTTTTCTACTTCGGTGGCTCCAACCAAAACGCTACGCTGCAAGTTGCGGGTAGTGTTGACGAGCTATACTTCAGAAATGTAACAGTGGCGAATGGAACAGTGGTGTTCGACACGGAGAGGTTGGCAGGAGAAAAGACTCGTGATTTCAGTCGGGTATCAGAGCTTCATAATTCGGCCGAGGCTTCTTTGACCTTGTTTGCTTATGTCCCTGGTAAGATACTAGGATGGAGGACTTTCACGGAAAAAGAGACGGATAGTCACAGAATACTTAGCGGGCCTTCTAGACAAGTGAAGATTGCTTGAAAGGTCCCTAAGCTTTACTACGAGAGAAGGTCTGTTATAAGGTAACTAATCATAATAAATACTAGAGAATAGTCTTAATTACTAATTATAGGTAAAAATGCGTATGTTAATGATTATACTTGGCTGTTAAGTTGTGGTCTATGCCATGAGCTATGATTGATTCCTCCATTCCCTTCCTGATACTCGGTGTTCCCCGGAGTTTCTCAACAACCTTTAATATCTTAGTGTTTTCGATATCCCCTTAACTATTAGAATAATTCCGAATCATTGATCATGCACTCTAATTTATTTTGCACCCGCAGTACAGAAATTCACAACCCCAAATTCAACTTTGACATATATTAAAATGAGCTTGAATAACACCCGTCATTTCTCAAGTAATCTAGCTAGCTAGGAACCCTACTGTAAGAGGTATCTAACAGTTCATATCCCACTAGAAATCCATAAACATAACATGACATAAAACATAATGCGTGAAATCATAGGATAGGAGGAGGGGTATACGCCGATATAGTAAGCAAATCCCACCGAAAGAAGAAAAGAAAAAGAAAAAGAAAAAGAAAGGGAAAAGGAAAAAGACAAAATGCAAACCCATCAGGTGTCAGCACTCAAACTCGACACATTGACAAACGCCACGCTAGAAACGCTCAAACCTAACCCAATTAGACCTTGTAATAACCCCCTGGGCACCTGTCCGTACATCCCAACACCATACAAACAAAAAGATTGATTAGGTAGGTGCCTAAACCCCCAAATGGGTACTTACGCGCCGTCGTCGGCAAGCCCGTCAACCTTCTCCGCCTCGACGAAGTAATTCCTACGATCGGCCTCCTTGAGGCCCGCGTAGAACACGTCCGCCATCTTCCTGTACCCCCCGTCGCCGGGGTGCGTGCCGTCGCTGTTCAGGTCCGCGAGCTGGGGGCCGGCGTCGCTCTGCATGTCGACGACGACCAGGCGCTTCTTGCCGGCCTGCAGCTGCTCGCCGACCTTCCGCAGCTGCGCGTTGAAGTCCTCGACCCGCCGCTGCACGGCCGCGTCCCGGTTCACGAGCAGCGTGGACAGGACCACGGTGGCGCGCGGCGACTCGCGGAACAGCGCGTCGAGCAGCGCGCGCAGCCGCCCGCCCGCGTTCGCCAGGTCCTGGTCCTGCACGCAGTCGTTGGTCCCGACGTTCACGAGCACCACGTTCGGCTTGTACTTGGGGACGGCGGCGTCGGCCTTGCCGCGCACCTGGTCGACGGTGTAGCTCTTCCAGCCCTCGGTGTCGTTGTCGCGCATGGAGCCCGACGGGTTGTCCCCCACCATGTTCACCTTGTTGCCGTTCGCCTCGACGATCCGGTCCCGCAGCGTCTTCCGGTACCCGTTCTTGTCCGACGAGCCGAACCCGTAGGTTATGGACGCGCCGAGCGGCATGATTCGCAAGGGGACGCCGTTCCCGAGGCCCTGCACTCGCGCCGATGTGGCGTCCCTTGATAGCGTCGAGTTGCTGGTTGGTGCCCTTGGTAAGGCGAGGCCTGGAGTTTGGGTTAGAATGGAGAAAGTAAGGGATATATATAGAGGGATAGAAGGATGGAGGGATATGTGTAGAGTAGGCTACGACTTACCGCTCGCCATTTGTGACGCGCACGCCAAGACGACGCAGCAGAGTAGTTGCTTATGAGCTAGCATCGTAGCGACGGGGAGGGAGAGGAGGAGTTTAGCAAAACGTTGGCAAGACGTTGGTTTTCGATTAGTTATGCCAAGTTGGCCTACCAACTTCAGGTGCTTGATCGACCGGTACTTGGCTACTCGTTTTATCTACCGTGCGAGAGCTCCCTAGCTGAATGGTTTCTGGATCTTCCATCCCTGGGAGAGCGTGGCAGCCGGACTTATTTATCATTCCCGCGGAGCCATGCATTCCTAAGCAGCAGCAGAAGTCCAAGTCTAGAAGCGCCCTTCGATGTCTCTCGCCCAGGACCCGGTGGGCCAAGTCTCATGGCTCTGCAAGGCTGGTCACTTCACTTCTTCCCATCCGGCCCCAGCCCGACGGGGGTCTGGGTTCGAACTCTGAAGTCAAGGCTAAGCATTTCCCGATCGACTCTACGACACTGCGCAGCTATTAGGTAGCTGGGACAATCCCAAGAGATCCCCCGGCTAGTATTCTGCTGGATCGCGAGTAGGTAGACCTGACTTCGCCCCGGGGGGGATTCCAAGCTCCAGTGGGTCACGTTGCTGTGTGCTATGTAGCAGCGCGTGTGTCTCGTTTACCATGTCTTACATGTAGTATTCCGTGCATTATAATCCCATGCTCGCGCCCGAGTCCAGGCACAATTTCCTTTGTGGTACATCGATAAGGAGGTTTTTTTTTTTCTCACTGATAGGTATATTGGTTACATCGGGTTGATAATCCTATTCCTGGATTGTCCCGGTTTTTTCCCTTTTTTTTCTCCCTCTACCTCATTCTCTCTCGAAGAGGGTTTAATCGTAAGCATCCTGCGTTCAGCCATTGTGAAAAGAAATGGGCCCGGCAGGTTCGGTAAATTTAATTGAGAAAACTTGTTGATTTGATCCCAAATGGTAGGCAGAATCCTAAGGAGTGGGATTCTCTGAATACGTCAAGGCTCTCTGGAAATAATTCACCTACAGGTATGGGATCAGCAAAAAAGACGGCTGTAGGTTACTTCTAATAAAAGGCAATGTTCAAGATGGGCTGGGGTTGCTGAAGGCGGATGATCACTGCTCCTTTCAGTTGAAACCTCCCCCCCTGCTCCACGTTGTATAGCTCGACCAGCCTTGGACATACCATGGATTAGAGGGTCGGGACGATGAATATAAAAATGCTAGATGGCATATGCAGAATCGTGTTTGTAACATCTTCCGGGTGAATTCTTAAGGCTAATAGCTTCGTAGTTAACTTACTGTACCTCATATTGAAATGCAATTATACAATAAATTACCTCCATCACTTGATCGATAGCCAATGATTCAGATCTGGGTAGCATCCATGTAAGTGGGAAGCGTCACTTTAGAGTCATGTTAAACGTATCTCAAGATTTGAAATGCGCCGCGAGACAAGATCGTACTGCCGTACTAGGATTAATAAATCTTGGGTGAGATCTATAATAGTAAACCAAGTTAATTACCTAACTTTTCATCATAACTATTTGTTATTTGTTAGGGAATTCCCCGCAAATGCAGGCGAGGTGAATACTACTACCTACCCCCCGTGCGCGCCTGTCTTTCGGCTTTTCGTATTTTCGTGTTTTTCGTCCCATTTCCGTGACTATTTCCAACCCAGCTCTGACATCAGCTGGCACCTTGATCTTACGACCATCTGGCTAGCCAGGTTGGTTAGGCGTGATCTTCTGCATAGCCTTCGATCCTCTTGGCAGATCTCTTGTACGAACACATTACCTTAGATAAATCGTGTAAGCATCTATATCTAGTTCATCTTGCGGAACCTTAATTACATCACCAATGAATCTATTGACTATTAGTTCTTTGGACGCCGATCACCTTAGCACGTGCATACTGGCTTAAACGATGCCCGTATAATCCGCGATTGGATATATACTATTCTCGGCACAGGCACGTATGACGATCGCTTACCTAGCTTGCGTTGGCTGTACCAGCTGCTCGGTTCTTCATGACTCGCGATAGTATGAGCAAGTTGATGGTACCTATTGGATCGCTAAACCGTCCGGACCGTATAGGTTACCTGCTTTATCCTTGTTCTTGGAAGTGACTGTTCTATATTTGTTTTGTTTTTCGATGCCTTGGGTTTTAGTCAAGGTTTCCTGTAATATATACAAATCTATCTAAGGTTAGATGTACGAGTGTTGATCTTAAAGCTTAGGCTAAGAAGAAGTAACCATTTTCTTATATACCGTTATGTCGATCTCGGTTCTCGTATCATGACCGTGATGTGATACATATCACCGTAATCCTCCCCAGTTAACTCCTTAAGGTCGAAATTTAACCGGCCCACCTCTCGAAAGCCCAGCTTCTCATAAACTCTCTTGCCATTAGGCGTAGCCTCTAGATAGGACTTGAGACCATGCGCGTCGGCTATAGCTAGCATAGGCTCTAACAGCGCTTTGGCAGCCCCCCTTCGATAATATTTAGGCGACGTACATAGTAGCGATAGACCTGCATGTATGCATATATAAATACCCCTGTTTAGCCATTGAAAATAAAAATCCAAACAATGATGTCTTGTCTTTACTCACCCAGCATCGCATCCGCATCGTATTTTTCCGAGGCGACTTTCAGCGCGTCAAAGAAGACTTTGCACAGTTCCGGGTTACTACCTTTTGGGTAATCCGCAGTAGGGGGGTCGACAGCCTCGACGGGCGCACTATTTGCCGGCGTGTTCTCTCCCGTCTTGACGGTCTGGGAGACTTCGACGGCACTTCCATCGTCGCCGACCCATTCGCCAAAGGCCTTCTCGTAGCCTTCGGGAATGTCCCACCTAGCGAATGCCACCACGTCGCCGCTCTTGCCGTCCGTAACTTTGAAGTGCCGGACCCTTCGATCGTCCATCTTGCGGAGGACTCGAACCTTCATCCAAGTAAACATATCCTCCTTGTTCGGCGGCCACCAGAAGGCGTTGCGCTTGTCGGTCGCAAACGTGTCGTAGTATATATCTGCGATGATATCCACATCTGTAGACGTGCAGTAGGATATGGAAAACCCCTCTGCAAGAGACGACGGTGTTGCAAAGGGTAACGCCATAATCTGAATTTTTTTTCTCCCCTCTTCTCCAAATCTCTATTTTCAATTTGGTGTACAAAGATACCTAGAAGTGTCTAAACACTTGAAGATTTCAACAGCTCATCTGAATGAAGACTAAATGAGGTTATGTTAGTACGATAACGATGGTACCTAAGGTTATGGGCCTCAGTGAGCCCAACTTTTTACTTTTGAGGAGGGAATCAGAACGCACTACCGAGGTAGGTAGTTATAGCGGCGTCTGGAATATATCATCGACCAATCGTGGATTAGTTGCTTTGTTGGAAACTATACGACCTTCCGAATACGTCTTCGGCTTTGATCTTGATTGGTCGTATCGCACATCGTACCCCGATGACTCTACCGGCGAATGCCTAGTGATGGAGCCACACTGTTTACAAGTTGACCAAAATATTGACGAAAATGATATGTCGTCTTTAGCATAGTTTTAGGGTAGGTATGTTTACTACCTAGGGACGAAGTTTAAACCGAGATGCTGGTGTTCAATGATGTAATTGGTTTTTTATCCTTCTCTTATTCATAAGAATGCAGTAGAATATCTTACAAACTACATGTCTGTGATCTATATCACCCCAATCTGTGTGGTAGCAGTTGTGCAACATGTATAATTTTGCCCAAGTATAGTTTTACCATTCGTGCCGAACGAATCTCATAGTTACTAGCCTTAGTTGAGATCCTTTAAGCTGAAAGGATAACAACTCGACAAAAGCGGGCTGGCGACAACTCGAAGGCGGAGGAGTAATAAGGATAACCCGCCATCATATACTGGGATGGCATGCCAGAGAAGGCTCAGAGAAGTGCCATCATCACGGCTTATTGAGGCTGCTAACAGGCTGATAACAATTGGGTTCGTTGGTATGGCAACATCATACCCTCTCGCTAACCCATATTGCGCCCCTGCATCCCAACCGTATGACACCAGTTAATAGCCAGTGCGGCTCGGCCTTTTTCGCATCGTTATCAACGGCGTGATCTAGATGCTCCAACTCTTCATCCCGTATCCGCCGAAGCGTCGTAATTAGGGTTTGTAGCTCGTCGCCTACTTCATACCCTTCGGCCTCCCACTGCTCGAACATTTCCAGCAACGTTCGTATTTGGTTGTTATAATGGTCACCGATCTCCGTCTCGACAGCTTCCGTGCAAGCCATCGCGGCCTCCCTTCCCATAACCGCCGTTGACCAACCCAACCCCGTCGCTAAGACGGACCAGATGGGGTAAAGAGCCGTGGGGCGCACGCGGTGTTTGGCGATGAGAGAGTTGAAGGTGTTGAAGTGGCCCTCTTCCTGGGCGTACATATGAGCCATCAAGGGCCGAAGGTGGGGGTGCGCATTGACAAGCGGTGGCGTTTGGGCCGTGTAGATCAAAGTGGCAGCCAGTTCTCCGGCTTGGTTCACACGGAGCTTTGGTAGGCGGGGATCTTAGCACAGATCGAATGGATTTGATAACTTAAGAGATGCTTTATGAGGCGGTCTTACAGCTGAAGAGAGAAAATCGCGTTGCTCCTGTGTAAGAGGCTTCCGCTTAGATTGAGACCTCGACGGGTCAGCCGAAGATGGCGAGGATGACGAGGGAGATACTGTTGCATTATTTTTCGTGGTTGTACTTAAGAATTGTCTTCGAGTTGGCTGGGACAAGGCAGGAAGAAGAAAATCTCGTAAGGGAGATTGTAATGTTTGGCGCACTGCGCATGTTTTTTGTATTCTCGGTAAAGACATGGCTACCTAAAGCAAGAATAAATGAAATTATGTAGTTGGAGATCTCGAATTGATTATTATTATTATATCATATTTATAAACTTATATCCATAGATGAGATGTAAGTAGTAGCAAGACCAGACCAGACCCGGGAACGGTGGATAGTGGATTTGTTATCTAGCTCCGATGGTATGATTTAACACTTCCTTATCTGATTAGATCATCAATGGGATTAATTCAATGGATCAAATTGAATCGATGTCATTTGAATTGAGGCGGAGAAAATGTGGCGGTGGCAGTCGAATAGATTACATATGTTAGGTACCTAGGTACATCCTCTTACCGGCTTCCAGGATGATTACCTAAGGTAGAGAGATACCTAGGTACCTACTTAAAAAACAACGGGGAGAGCAAATAAGTACAAAGTACAAAGTGCAACATAATAGACGTGGTCCTCCAAATTCGACCTCAACGAGGCTGTAAACTTCAACAACATAAATCCTTTCTTTACTTTATCTGACCACCTGCATACTACTAATAGGGGAATTATCACCACCACTCACGAACTTCTTTTATTTTTTTATTTTCGTACTAGCATTTAAATATCTCATTTAATTTACTTATTGGTCTCTCTCCCGAATTCCAATTTTTGTTTATCTCTTGCATTCAAAGAGACTACATTCAAGAAACTACTAAGCCATCTTACTGTTCTCTCGAGTACCTATTCTCCGTCGCGTTTCGTATCTTTCGTACCTTCACACGTAATCCTAGTCGCCTGCGCGAATCAAACGTCCCATCATCATGGCTGATGTAGATGATGAATTCTTAGCCATTGTCGGGGGCGACGAGTCGTCTGATGAGGAACAAGAGCAGCCTGCAAGTCCCGGCCGTTCTGCATCTGGCTCACCCGACCCTGAAGCCAAGGATCATACCTCAAGCAAAACAAAGCACAAATCTAGCAAGAAGAGAACCGATGATTCAGATGAGGAGGAAGGCGAGGCGTGAGTTCCCCCAGCTGTATTGTTACTTCCCATAATTCGTACTATCCAATGCGCGCCCTCCTCCCGATCGTTGTTGCCATGCGACGTGCAGCGTGCAGCGTGCAACTGGCAACAGGTTAAAAAAAAGAGAGAACAAAAGCCTTGTTCTTCTACTTGGACCAAGTTGTTGTCCATATTAACCCCGCCCAGCAAAAATAAAAATTAAAATAAAAATAAAAAAACATCTCTTGTTGCCTCGCAACGTCTGAAATCGCACAGCAACTCTTTATTTATTTCTCTGCATACAATAAACAACAAACGCTAACTTATGCGCCATACCCTACAACAGCTCTTCTGTTGGATCTCCCGCCTCACAGAATTCCGCACCTATGGACGAATCCGATTCCGAGTCCGATACCTTTCAGGCTACTAATGCTAACGGTAAGATGGACGACGATGACGATAACAAATACCCGGTCGATGGGATCTACGCAAGCGAAGCAGAAAAGGAAGAGATTCTAGCTATGCCCGAACTAGAACGAGAACAGTTACTTGCTAGACGCCAGGAGGAAGTTGACCGCCAGCGACAAAATACCCTACTTCGCCGATTGTTGAAGACGAGAGAGGATGACAGCCAGTCGGTCAAGAAGCGCAAAGCTAGCGCTGCAGACTTGGACGACTCCCAACGCAAGCCATCGCGACAGCGAACCCGAATTGGTGGTTCAAGAGTAGGCGAAACCAGTGCTGGTATCGAGTCGCTTCGTCGCGCCAGAGCCGAGAAGAGCGACCGACAACGTCGTAGAGAAGAGGATCGAGAACGCAACAAGAAGTCGCACTCAGGCTCGCGTGACAGCCCTAGTCGTGGTGTCGATGACGACAGTGACGCTGAGTGGGCTGGTAGGTCGAGAGACAAGTTTTCCAGGTCGCGAACTCCTGAAGTGAAAGAAATCCCCCTCGCCGATATCCGCGATTTCGAGCGTATACGACTTGGCCGCAGCCGATTTGCGCAAGTTTGTTTCTATCCTGGTTTTGATAAAGCTATTACGGGTTGCTATGTCCGTATAGCTCTTGGACCAGGTTCTGATGGTTCTAACGTGTACCGCATGGCCCTCATTAAAGGTATAGTATAGCCATACATATCTAAGTTCCCTCATTGCTAAAGGCTTCATCCTAGGCTTCACACAGGGCAAACCATACGCTATGGAGAAATCGAACGGTCAGAATTTTGTTACAGATCAGTATGTGATCGCCGCCCACGGCAAATCAGAAAGAGAGTGGCCTTTTATTAGTTGTTCAGACTCACCTTTTACTGAGGTTTGTAATAATTCTACTTGTGACTCCATATATGCCTTAGGTAGTCATGTCTAATCTGGTACAGGCCGAGTTCAACCGTTACAAGAAAGTTTGCCAAGACGAGGGTGTCATCTTTCCTAAACGGCCTACGCTGGACGCCAAAATAGACGATATCAATGCTCTGGTGAATCGTTCCTGGACGGACGCAGAGGTGAATGCAAAGATTGAGCGAGAGCGAAGTTTGCTCAGCAAATTCACACCTACAGAGCGAAATCGACTGCTCGAATTGATCGAGGAAGCCAAACGTCGTGGGGATGATGCCCGAGTGTCGGAACTCCAAGATAAGCTGGACTCTCTCGAAACCCCACGCTTGGCCTTTAAGACTAGCCTCACGCCGTCGAATAAGTCGACTAGTTCTACTCCTTCACAGCAGGAACGATTGGCAGCTTTGAATGCTGAAAATCGGCGACGTAATGTGGAAGCAGTTCGTAAGGCGCAGCTAATGGAGAAAGCGAAGGCGCGACAGATCGAGGCACGCGTTGCGCGGGGAGAAGATGTCAATGAAGACACCTCACGACGTCTCAGGACCAAGCCTAAGTTCCGACAGGATATCAACGGGCCCACTGAGCAGAAGTCAACAATTGGCAGCGGTGCATCGACACCAGCAAACGGCACACCTAAGCAAAGTGCTGCCACTAAAGCGCCGGTCTTGCCTCACATACAGAAACTACAAATACAGAACCACCAGTCAGGGAAAGACAAGAAAGGAATTCCGCAGATTCATAAGCCAATTGTGGATGATGATATCATCGCGGCTTTGGATCTCGACATCGAAGTTGAGATTGATTAGAGGAAGCAAGCAACTTTCCCCATAATACCTGGACTAGATTCTTATTTCCTAGTCAATATTTTCTCTTTGCGTTGTAAAGTAAAGGATAAAGTATTTTATCCGTATGACCTCAGGGGCAAATCACCATGGAAGTTAAGGTATTGTTCAGTCAAGGGTGCCTCTGTTTGAGAAATAGGTCTACGAGATTGCAGAGATGGCGTTGAGGGATGGTTCAATTGCACGATAGCAGAGAATAGGAGCATTGCCTAGTATTAGAGGTACCTGTTATATATAATCCTTGCCTTTAAAGGTACCTAAGTGCTTAAACACTGTGATACGCGTGAACTACCAGGCAAGTTGGGTCTGTAATTATAAGTGATAATACTGGGTTCTTTAATTTCATATGCATTTGCTATCCGGAATTAGGTTAAAATGTTAGCCCATTCCCGACTTGATCGTAAAAGTCTCCGACGCCGCAATAACCGCGTCTTAGCGCGCGGATCGCCGTAGAGTTCCACGGAGTTTAAATATTTGCCATGACCCCTATTGGTGGCATTTGTAATACTAACCCCGGAGCCGCATCTTACAATGCAGAAGTATGCCGGCGGTGACTCATTTTCGGTATAGCTTCCAGTATCAGCTCCTCCAGCTATTCTAAGCTCGGTCCGTGGACAAGCTTGTAGCTTACAAACAGTTTACGTCAACCACTATTGACAACTATTAGCAGGGGGTTCTATCTATACTGTCCGAGATGGCATGGTAGCTGTTGAATTTCTATGCCGTTCGGTTTGCCAAGATAACAACATACGACGTGGTTAAGGAGATCGACGAGGGTGTCTGTTGAGTATTTAAATGTTGCTTAAGCTCGCAGATATTTGTTGGTGGAAGGAAATCATCATTAAAAACAAAGCAGTATTTCGAAAACTACCATAATAAGTTTGAATACCCAATATCTTGAGCCATTATCTTTTACTACCTACCTTTAAATTGTCAAAATGCCTGTTAAACGCTACGATTCATCCATCGTTGACGTTGCGCCCCTCGGCCAACCTCTCAAGTTCGAGTTCTCTGGCAAGGTCGCGAAGAACCGCTTCTACAAAGCCTCGATGGCCGAGGATCTTGCATCCTGGAACGTTGAGGATCTCGAGGAGCGCGGTATCCCTACCAAAGAGCTCATCGAGCTATATCGAGTGTAAGAACGAAAGAACAAGACGCAAAATATCCCAGGTTAAGTTGATAGGAAGCACTAACGTGATGACTTAGATGGGGAGAGAACGAATGGGGCGTCATTGCTACTGGAAACATAGACATCGAGTTCGACATGCTCGACGCTATCGGCGACAGCATCATTACTCCCGAATGCCCCTTTTCAGGCCCGCGCTTTGAAGCGTTTCAAGAACTCGCCAAAGCGGCTACAGCACACGGGAGCTTGGTCGTAGGCCAGGTCACACATCCCGGACGCCAGCTAGCCGCCAGAATTAGGAAAGACACCATATCAGCGTCGGCGACTCAGCATCGTAAGCTAGCATATGCCCCTTCCTCCGTCTCGTCGTTGTATTGAAGTGCTAATCAACATATTCCATGACAATAGCCCCGAAGAATGGTATAGAATATGCTAAGCCCCGAGCGGCCACAAAGGAAGACATCGCGCGTGTTGTTGACGGATTCGCCCACGCCGCCGAGTACCTGGATAAGGCCGGGTTCGACGGCATCCAGCTGCACGGGGCGCACGGGTACCTCATCGCGCAGTTCCTCTCCGAGACGACTAACCAGCGCACGGACGAGTACGGCGGCAGCATCACGAACCGGCTGCGCCTGGTCTCGGAGATCGCGCGGGAGATCAAGCGGCGGGTGAGCCCCGACTTCATCGTCGGGATCAAGGTGAACTCGGTGGAGTTCCAGGAGAAGGGCATCAAGCCGGCGGACACGCGGATCCTGTGCGAGACGTTCCAGGAGCTGGGGTTCGACTACGTCGAGCTGTCGGGCGGCAACCACGAGGACATCGGGTGGGGGACCAAGAAGGACAGCACGGCCAAGCGCGAGGCGTACTTCCTCGAGTTCGTCCGCGACGTCGTCCCGCACCTGTCCAAGACGAAGAAGATCCTCACCGGCGGGTTCCGCACCACGGCCGCCATGGTCGACGCGCTGGACATCCTCGACGGCATCGGCCTCGGGCGCCCCGCCGCCCAGGAGCCGCGGCTCGCGGCGGACATCCTGGCCGGCAAGGTGGCGAGCGCGGTGCAGCCCGTCGACGGCGTCGTGGACGACGTCTGGCTGTCGCTCAGCAGCGCGGGCTCGCAGATGGTGCAGATCGTCCGGGGCCAGGAGCCGTTCGACCTCAGCAACCCGAAGCTTGCCGAGAGCTTCAAGAAGGACCTCGCGGCCCAGATTGGGAAAATCATCGCGGCGAACGGGAGCTTGGAAATTCGCGGGTTCCCCGAGCTGAGTGATCCGGATGCTACTTCGCATCCGTATGGCGTTCCTTACTAGGATAGATACCCTGGTACATGGTAGATAGGTATGTAGATGGCTTGGGCTAGATAGGAGGTATTTATATTATATATCTTGAAGGTTTCAGTTAGCATCTCAGTATATATTAGCACGGTATATAGGTATCCAATAAGAGAAGGCATACAACATAAAGCTCGAGGTCATTGCTAGCCATCATATAATATCACAGCAACTTCTACGGGTATTATGTTGCGTATATGAATAATATTGCTTATATACATTCAAGTTTGCAATTCAAATGCCGAAATAGGTTGTCTGCCCCCTGATCCGATATCCACAGGTGCAATTTGTCAGCAATCGTCGAATTTTAAACCGCTTACATGGATCAGATTCGAAGGAAGTCGCCAATTTATCCATATGTTGTTTTCACATTGCGTTCTCATTCCATTCTCGTCCTAGCGATTTGTACATTATCTATCTCCTTTATTTACACGTTAGTCGTGAGGAAATATCGACGCCTTTGAATCCGCTTATATACCAGGTACTCACTCTTACACTGATAAGCCCCAAGAAGCATGGAGACCAGTTCTCGTCGTAAAGCATGTAAGTTCAATATTGTATGCTTCTCTGGAGTATGGTCCTGCTAATAAATATATCGGTACAAAAGGTGATACATGCTGCAAGAAGAAAATCAAGTGTGACATGATGAGGCCGGCATGCTCAAACTGTGTATTATATAAAGTGCCGTGTATTACGACTACTAGTCCAAGAAGAGCAGCTCAAATATCCCGAAGGGCATCTCGGGCAACAAGTACCAACGTGGAGGATAACGATAGTCTTGAAGCGCGTCTGGCGCGGATTGAGGCCAAGCTAGACAGAATTAGTGACCCCAGCGTTATCACGAAAACAGACCAAGTGTCCAGCAACTCCTCAAGTCAGGGTCAGGCTGTCGAATCTGTTATTTTATCAGTTGATACCCCTTTGAAAACACCTACTCCGCGTGTTTTAGAGAGCCACGGGGAATATTGTTTACCCCCTCTGACAGAGATATTACCAGTTATCGACGACTATTTCCGTGATTTCAATAGTGCCTTACCCCTATTTCACCAACAACACTTCATGCAAATGGTCCTAGAATTTTATTCCGAACAGGATCTCACCAAGAAGTTAAGGGCTGTCTGGGCCGCGATAAATGTGGTACTTGCCCTTGGATACCGCATTAAGACTGTTGAAGCAGGCGAGATCATAGTTCGATTTGACGATGTTAAACTTAAGCATTGCATCGATAACGCCCAAAGGGAATTGGACGAGCTTGTGACACGGGAAGAAGACACACTTGGGATAGAAGTTATCTTGGGTCTAGTCAGTAAGTCTCGAATATATATCTAGACACGTCGTTATTAAAGATAGAATCACTTAACCAAATGTGCTTTAGTCCTCTTCCAGACGAACACTGATCAGAACCCAGCCTCAGTTCTGATCGGCACCGCTGTTCGGCTAGCTCATAGGCTCGGGCTTCACATGAAGTCAACCTTGTCCCAATTTTCGCCAGATGTTGCCCAACATAGAAGCAATATATTCTGGCTCTGCTACTATTTAGATAAAGTGAATCAATCCACGGCCCGTTTCGAGTACATCCAGAATTCGTAGCTAGGTAGCTGACAGGGCTTAGGATATCTGTTTCCGCTCGAAAATACCCTCTATCCAATGCGACTATGACATAGACTTAGACCTGCCAGAGGACAACGGCAACTACCTTCAAAGCATCGATGGGAGCTCGCAGCTCAATTACCTCCGCGCCCGAGTCCAGCTCGCGTACCTCGAAGGCAAGATTTACGACGACCTGCTGAGCAACCGGTCGTCGAGAATATCGCTGGAGGCGCGCCAGGAGCGGGTTACGCATCTCGACGGACTCCTCAACCGGTGGGTGCAGACGATACCGGAACCGATGCAGCTCGAAAAGATAACCGAGACCGTGGCGAAGGCGCCGCTCTCCCATTTGATTCTTCTGTACCACACTTATTTGATATGCTATACGACGATCAATGGCCTCTATTCCCTTAGCTCGCCTTGGATGAAAGCGGTCAATGGCGTTAGTGGTGCCGTCCTCCGCAGTTTCGAGACTCGCGCGGGGTCTTCTTGCGCGAAGCATCAGCAACCACTGCTGCCTCGATTCTGGGATACATGCGTTCGAGCCAGTCGTGGGTGTCTGAATATCTTAAACAATAAACGCTACAGCGGATGTAACTTGTGGTAAGTGAATTATCCGACCGCTTCGTAAGGAAGTTATAATTGCTGAACCAGCACCTTGTAGGCTCGGCGGCTGCGCCTACTTTTCCGCCTTCGTCGTCTTACAAGCCAACATCATATACTTTCCTTCGCACGAGCTGGTAGACTACGACCGGGAGCTTATGAAGACCACGAAGGAATGCATCGCGAAGGTATTAGACCAGTCCGGGTCGGAGTCTTTCAAGACGCTGCAAGTTGTTCTCTCGAGCTTAGAGCAGGCCGCGAATTATGCCGCCGAGCAGGCGAAGAGCTTCGACCAAGCTTTTGAGTTTGATCCTATACCATTATCATTATCCGCCACCCGATCTGATTTTCATTACACCTACGCGCCGTCGCAGTTTGAGACGTTTTCCAACGGTGATGTAAGTCAGAACAACTTGGTTAGTGAGCCTAGTAGAGTATACAAATTCTTCTTCTTTCGAATGCGAATGCGAATGCTGGGAACTATGACTAAAGTTAAAGTAATAATCGAATATTTCCTAACGTCGCCTAGATTGCTCATCCCGAGATGCCGGCTCAGGAGGTCATGTGGCCGCAAGGTTCGACCTTCGGAATCGCCAACAACAGCAGCAGCACCTTCGCCGGGATGGATTTTAGCGACGAGCTGTCGGTACCGGAATTTATGCGGGAACTTCTCTGAGAGAGTACCTCAGGCATTTGCATATTGGATGACGGTATGAAGTACTATGTTATGCGGCCTAGCTGCATGTAATTGGAGACCTTGATGGGATACGGGATGATAACAGGCATTATGGAGCAGATGATTGGTCGAAGCTATACCAAGGAATGTGTAACATGGCGGATATGATGTCATGTATTCATGGACAAACATAGTTCTGGCCATTGAGGGGATTCGGATTACAATTCCCGATCGATAAAGTGTGTAAGGATGGTAAGGATGTAAGGATGCATTACGACATTGGGAGCTAATAAGTACCGTATGCTGCCATAGGACAGTGATATATACAAAAAGGGAAAAAGAAAAAGAAAAAAAAATAATAATAGAGGGTGATGAAGGTTTAAGCCGGTTGATTTGATCTTGAACCATTCGGTTTCCGACCCCTCAGTTAACCATACCTCCTTATTCTTTCACATCGCGTTTGGTTGGCTAATATACCTGCATGTGTCATTCTCCTTTCGATTTTTAGTCTAGCAGATTTCGTAATATGATAGATGCTCCGTCCCCTCTTCTTAAGCTTTTCAAACTCTGTTGTTCCCTGCTCCTCTGCTATTTCGCCTTATTTCATGAATCCAACCCAATCTCTCTGGAGACCTTCTATAGCTCGTAGCTTGCTTAAGCCTAGGTTAAATCCCAACTTTAAGCTACAAACGAATAATCACATTCGGTCAATATCCGTATCTGCGATAAGAGCCATGCCTCAATTCAAGCTGAAAGATGTATCCTCCCTGTCGCTACAACCCGGTGAGAAGCAGGAGGTTGAAGTTGAGGGTGTCGAAGGCGGTAAAGTCCTTCTCCTCAATGCCGGCGGAAAGATTACAGCTATGGGGCCTAAGTGTACCCATTATGGAGCTCCTCTCGTAAAGGGTGTTTTAACTAAGGGTGGTCGATTGACCTGCCCGTGGCACGGAGGTTGGTCTCTCCCCTTTTTGTCGTATTCATAAGCGTTGGAGTTGCGTACCTAAACTAACTTGACATTCTTATTTATAGCTTGTTTTAACGGCAAGACCGGTGATATCGAGAATGCCCCTGCCCTAGACGCTCTTCCTGTTTTCAAAACAATTGAGAAAGACGGCGCCGTGTATATCGAAGGCGAGGAGGCAACCATCAAGGCCGGGAAGAGAAAACCTAACTTCAAGTGCGGAACAACTGGCGGGACTTTGGCCGACAGAGTTGTCGTAGTTGGCGGCGGTAGCGGAGCAATTGGTGCTATTGAAGGTCTAAGGGAGAAAGGGTTCACTGGTCCTATCACTATGATATCTAACGAAGGTTACCTGCCCATCGATCGGACTAAGCTATCCAAGGCTTTAATTACGGACCACACCAAGATCCAGTGGAGAGATGAGGAGTGGTTCAAGTCTGGCTCGGTCGAAATAGTACATGACGAAGTTGTCGACGTCGACCTCGTTGGCAAGGCGGTTATCACCAAGAACAAGGAGAGATTCGAATACTCTAAGCTAATCCTGGCTACCGGCGGTTCACCGCGGAACTTGCCCGTGCAAGGATTCAAGGTGCTCGAGAACATTTTCCTGCTAAGGACAGTTCATGACGCAAAGAAGATTGTGGATGCCATCGGCGATAAGGGCAAGAAGATCGTCATCGTTGGTAGTAGTTTCATTGGTATGGAAGTGGCAAATGCCACAGCCTCAGAAAATGAGGTGACGGTAGTTGGTCAAGAAAGCGTCCCACTAGAGAGAGTATTGGGTAAAGAAGTTGGTGCCGGATTGCAAAAGTTATTGGAAGGAAAAGGGGTCAAATTCTACATGTCAGCAGGCGTGGACAAAGCCGAGCCGTCTGGATCAAGCCCATCCAGAGTGGGCTCGGTGCATCTGAAGGATGGCACAAAACTCGAAGCCGATCTGGTTGTGCTCGGTGTTGGTGTTGCACCTTCGACGGGATATCTCAAGGAGAATAAGGTAATCCGATTGGAAGAAGACGGATCTCTAAAGACAGACGAGAACTTCCTCGTAGTAGGACTCAAGGATGTCTATGCGATCGGAGACATTGCTTCGTATCCCTATCACGGACCTGGAGGCCAAGGCAACTATACACGAATCGAACACTGGAACGTGGCTCAGAATCAGGGACGAGTTGTAGCGCATCACATCGTTAACCCGTCGTTGAAGTCTGACTTCTTTACGCCAATCTTCTGGTCGGCTCTAACGGGACAATTGCGATATTGCGGCAATTCGATGCACGGGTGGGACGAGGTTGTGTTGCAGGGCAACCCGGGCGAAGGCAAATTCGTGGCATATTATTGTAAAGGTGAGACTGTGGTAGCGATGGCTAGCATGGCAGTGGATCCAGCTATGTCCAAGTCTGCGGAGCTTATGAAGATGGGCGCTATGCCGTCTAAGACGGAGCTTAAGGGAGGCCTAGACATTCTAACCGTTCCGCTACCGGCTTAGGGGGGGATGCGGTACAACACATACCTGTGGAGCGCTTCTTTAGGGAGGGGGGCGCTGAATTTGATTTGTGTTCCTGGATTAGTGCCAGCTGGACCCAAGCCATCGGGGAGAATACGCTAGGTTGGTTAATGGTTCTTAATCTAGGACCTGGCACCCGTCAGCCCGTTTACAGTCAGTCATTAAGTTAAATTATTTGATAGCTATTAGGTACTTTTGAGCAAGCGAAAAATGAAAGTTGCAATTATTTGATCTTTTCAAAAAAAAAAACAAAAAAACAAAAAAAAACAAAACAGGTATGACCGATCCTCTATATCTCTATGACAATAACATAGGTATTTGTGTATCTGCCTCATATATGAGGTACCTAAGGTTTCCTCTGAAACCTAGATGCAGACGTATAGCTGCAAGGTACGCAGCATGTATTGGGTTATAAAAGTGCGTCATCGCACCACAATGGCACACCCTCGGCGCGACGTATCACAGAATGTAGGTACCTAGGCTAGCCCAGATGCCAGCCAAGACGATCGGCTGCAACCAAAAACGCGGTAATGTGGTGACTTGACCATGTGACTATTTACCAACCACTTCGTTCGGATGGGACATTTATATGAAATAGACCTACTTTCCCTTACAAAGTTAATTGTCTCATTTGATTTACCTCTTGACTTTGCGCGTCCTATATTGCGAGTGCTTGTCTAAGACAAGTTCCCACGGCGATACCTGTCTAGCCTACCTAGGTACCTTAGGTACATATATGGTGGTACTTATTAGTAGTACGTACTGCCCTATTTACATAAATCTTGTGTCACGTATAAGGATTGATCCTACCTGGACAAATCGTGACCTTAGGTTAGGTAATCTTACATGTGAAGTCAACTTTAGTAACTTTTATTAGTAGAGCTGCTAGAGGTAAACTTCAATGTTTAATATTGCCCATACGGCCATACGGGGAACCCCCACTTGAACTAATCATCCTTCAACCATTTACACGACACGAATCGACGCGAGTAACATCATCTTCACCGACCTAATACTTCGTACATCTAACTAACTTTTTTACCTTAGCTTTAATTTCGGGGGTTATCTGGTCCTTTTCTCTAACCCTTTTCTTACTTTTTATTTTTTTATTAACATTTTTTTTCACACCCTTCCTTTCAGCTTCCCCCCCTTCCTCTTGTTGTATTTTGTTTTTTATTGTTTAGTGGCTGGCTGGACTCGAGGAGATACGCATCGAATAGTCTTAAACCCTTTCGCATTTTCTCGGACGGGCGAGTTGGGTGAGCGTATCTCGCTCCACCCCTCTCGTCCATTGCCACTGCTACTGCCACTGTGCACCAGATAATCAAAGGAGACATCTTTGCGGCCCTTACCTTGGCACAAAAAAAAAAGAAAACCCCCTTTCCAGCATGCTGATCTCTCAGCTGCACAAGCGCAACGAAGCGACCCTTAGCCACCGCCATGGCTGAATCTCGTCACCCCGTTGCCGGTGTTGCTGCCGCCGAACGCGAAGATGCCGATGCGCCCGCCCAATCTTACGAACCAGGACCTCTGAAGTGTTGCTGTGGTTCGGTGGAGTGTGTCTTTTTAAGACATAATTGCTCTGTACTTGCTAGTGTCGAGAAGGATGTCCACAATGCTGCCCGGATGGGTCAGGTACGTCGTTTATTATATGCTTACCCATATGTAATGTCAACCGTGTCGGGATTCAAGCCACAAGAGCTCCTATAGCAGTCTAGTCGACTTCACCTGCAGCCTTCTTATACCCTATCACATCACATCATATCATATCACATTCCATAGTCTGTTTACCCCCCCTGCTATAAGCTATAGGCCACACTACGAAGTGCTACCTTAGGAATGCGTCTTGGCACTGCTGTGTCGGTTCATCTGTACATTTGCAATACACGTTCCAGAGCACCCATCCCGTCGTGTCAACTCCCTTTGCAAGCAGTCAACGATGACGATCTCTCAGTCTCTAACATTTGCGCTGCAGGCCTTGCTCGCGCGCCACGAAGCTTACATGGCCGACGCAGAACGAGATCGCCTTGAGCTTACTGCCCGGATCGAGCAGTTGGAAGTTGACAATAGGGAGTTGGAGGCCAAGAATGCGAAGACCATTGAAGAAAACAGGAATCTACTCGATCAGCTCGAGGTACTCAACAACACAGTTATCGATTCGGAAAATCACATCAAGTCTCTAGAAGCATCCTTGCTCTCCTCGCAGCAGTCGGTTCGTAGGCTGGAGGGAGAGACGGCGCGTGCTGCCTCATTAGAACGCCAGCTGGTGGCCTTAGAACAAGAGCAGGCCGAGCTACAATCTCACCTAACTCTATCTCGTGAAGAGACTAAGTCGGCCATATCGAGATGGAAGCGAGCCGAGCGGGGTATCAGTGACTTGCAGGAACAGCTTGAACGGATGGAGAAAGAAGCACAAGAAGAGAGAGAATACCATGTCGAGATGATAAGCAGGGTAGAAAGGCAGCGTGAGATGGAAAAGGAGTTGAACACTGCCGCTGGCCGACTAAAAGGAGCAGCAGCAGTTAAATCACTTGACCGGGCCAGTGGGGGAGGGAGCAATGCCGTATCGCACTTTGTCCGCGATCTGCTCCAAGACAACGCTAACCTTCAGTATGGTATCGCTGAGTTGCGGGAGATGCTCATGAACTCCAACGACGAGATCCAGGCTTTGCGCGATCAGCTCATGTACCACCAACCTTTAGGAGAGGAACTAGCCAATGCTGGCTCGACGCTGAGCGCGGAGCTTGAATCTGAAAAGGATTCGCCCGAAAGGATACCTCCGAAGACTCCACATGAGCTTCACATTCACCATCATTTCCATTTGCCGAAGTCGAAGCAGGACCCCAAAAAACCACGCAAAAAACGGCAGGGAATCTCGCCTGGGGTGTTTACGCCACCTGGAAACACAGTACCGAGCACCCCTCCTCCAAGTGGCCCTCCACGATCGCAGTTGGGTTCGCATACGCATAGGGACTCGCTCCTTTCTAATTGTTGGTCAACTTATTCGGACCAGAGGTCTGATTTTACACACTCGTCAGTTCCAAGTTCGCCTTTATCAAATCGCCGAAATTCGCTGTTCGACCAAACGATAGACTCATTTCCAACATCCCCCACAACCAGTATTGACCCATTATCTCCTTCGTGGCCTGCCACTCATCAGAAGCAACTGTCGAGCATATCGTCGCGAAGTTTTCGATTTTCCACGACATCAGCCCTTGTACAGCCCTTTGTAACCGATACCCATCCAATTATCGAAGAATCCGATGACGGGGACAACCCCCCGGATCTAACCTCGGCTACTGACGAATCTACCGTAGAAGATGCAACGTCTTCTGGAGACCAGGATGCCGTGATTGATGAAGCCTCCGGCGCAGATGAGACGAATCGTAACCCGATGCCGTTAGTCAGGTTACGTAGAGCTCTATCACAAGAGTCGATAATATCGCTCTCCGGCGGCCTTGATATCCACACCTTGAAGTCTCGGCCGAGCCAGCTTACGATCCGCCAGATAGGTTCGGCCTCTTCTGTGATAGGAAGTAGTGATGTTACGGCACGGCCTATGTTGTTACGCGATAGCGCTAAACGAAGTAGCGCGCTGCTTCGTGAAAGCTATGGCTTATCGTCTGTCGGTAGTTTACGATCCGTGTCGGATTCACCAATGCTAAGTTTCGGGCCGTCGAAACTTGGCAAATGGGTCGGCTGGCGACCATGGGGTGGAGGTAGCGGCGGAGGAGAAGCAAGTGGCGGAGGAGATAATAGTTCGACTACGAGCAGTACATCCGCAAAAACGGTGAAAGATACTGGCCAGAAGTCCACAATTCGCCCTCCCGGCATCAATCAATCAGGCCCGATACCAGGGTTCTCGGAGTACCTAGCTGCGTCTCAACGGAGAGTGCCGCCACCCAAGATCCGGCCTAATGATGTGGATCGTGATGCGTTAAGGGAAGGGCTCGGAGGATGACGACGTTGGCGTATGCTCTGAGCCCAAAATGACTTTTCCAATTAACGCCTAATACTTACTTAAGGGATGTACTGGTTCTTTTGATTGCATTACCCTTTTACATGTATTTACCCTACATCTCGCCGAGTCCCAAATTCGGAATCTTGTGTCCGGTACTGTATAGACTGGACCGCATTGCATATGCGCATACCCGGAGTTGGGGGGTTTGGATCGTATACACTATACAGCTACTTGCTTTTCTCTTCCCCTCTTGCCATTTCCTTTTTGCAGACTCAACCTCGAAGGTAGAATAGGAGTTGTTGGTTGGTGAACACATTCAGGCGGCAGAAGACCGCAGAGCCGAAAAAAAAAGAAAAAAAAAAGAAGAAAGCATAGGATGGATCGGATAAGCATAGACATATGATACCCCCTCTGAGAACAGCCAGTCAGTCGCTCTCATCGTTTTTTTTCTCTTTTGTACCATATTTACTAGGCAATGTAATGTAATGGTAATTCTTTTCCTGTTTTCTTTCCCTCTTTTTTTGCCGCAAACATGTTTGCCCTGTCTTGTAACAGGTTCCTGAGGTACTGTATATTCCTTATCGAGGAGGCTGGATGGGAGCAGACTACTACTAGGTGGTGGTTGTATAGCCTGCCTAATCTACCTAGGGTGGGAGGTAGGTAAGTGACTGGATAAAGGGGATTGATCTATCAGATAGAGAGTGTAAGGTAGAGAAATAACAAGAAATAGTGTACCTATGCATATTTGCGTTTGCTTTGATAGATGGGTTAGGTACCTTGTAAATGAATCCCGATACTATATCCTTCCTCCGGATTGTGAAGTAAACTTATTAATAATAGAGTAGAAAACGGGTTAAAACCTGTTGTATCTTCATGGCCTCGTACTCTCATCTGTTCCATTGGCCTTACATCAACCAAGAACAAGGAACTATAACTTAAGTACCTAAACTACCTCCTAAGGTATATACCAGGTAATATTTAGGTGGACTATATGACCATCTACGTCTAATACAGTGAACACGTATATTTACGCCTCAACCTTCAGAACCCAAATAGCACGGCGCAACAATCTTAAACTTCCAAAATAAACTTTTTTTTTATATTCCCCAGTACCAATTAAAAGCATACCTAAGGATGCGATAATGTACAAATAAGGCAGGCAGTAGATATGTATATGTATACCTCAAGGTATCCCGCGATCCCAAGCCCAAATGACAACATTCTTCCCATGCGTGTATGAAGGCGTGTGTATAGTAAAAGTATATCTAGGTAGATACCTAGACCTAATAATGAAAGCCTCCCTCATTATTAATACGCTGTGTGGGATGAGGCATGCTTCCTCGCTTAGTCTAATACACAAATGGGCTGGTTAGGTAGAAAATACCATATTATAATAAGCTATAGGATAGGCAACCAAAACAAGATGATGATAACTCCTCTATCCGCTCTTCGCCATGCTTATTCCGTGCTTGGGATGCCCGTAGGACTTATAGTAGATAAATGGCCCTTATAGGCCTAGGTAGCGAAGAGGTTCGTTTAGTCACTATTAATTCGTTAGTCAGTTCGCTGTCTCTTACTATCAAACAAAACACAAAATATCATGATGGTCTGTACGTACTATATTTCCTTAGGCGCCAACAAATCAGCCTGGTACAGCCAGTGATTATCCTTCTCCTCAGCTTCGAGCCAGTTGTAGGGGAATTCCACTAGCGTACCCTGGATCAAGCCGCAGAGCTCTTCAGCTTCATCGCGGCCGAGGAGTTCGTACGGGAAGACCGGTCCGCGTCGGCTACCCTTAGTAGTGGCTCGTCGGCGGCGCCTCGTCGAATTGTGATTAGAGGGGTTAGCAGTGCTGCCAGATTCCGGTGCCGATTTCTCGGCCGATGAAAACGTAGCCCGCCGATCTCTCTTATCGCCCTGCGGTTCAAGATATGTCGAATCAGTCTGACCCTCGTACGCTGGGAACGGAGTATCTCCACCAGACTGTACTGGCGAAGGTGTTTCTAGAGAATTCTTAGGACGAACTCTCTCCGTGTCTAAGCCAATATCAGGCTTCTCCTTTCCAGAAGGATGGCTACCATCGGAAATTGGCGCCTTTTCGTTCAAGGTGCTTGTGTTCCCGTCAGACACTACAACCTTAGGATTGCTCTCGGTGTGCTGCTCAGCATGGATCTTTTCGGAGATACCAGGAATTCCCTGTGCAGCAGCTGGTGCTGCGATACCTGCTCCTGCTCCACCCATGAGGTTCATCTGGCTCGTTTCCGACTCATCGTTTCTTGGGCCTGCCATGCTCTCTTTAAATCGGTGCGCATAGTCCTCAAACTCGTTGTATTCTTTCCACGTGGTCACATCATTATCGGGCATACAACGGAAAACCCGGCGGTATAATTTCGTATTATTCGAGGCGACTCTCGCCCAGATATTATCCCAGAATGCGGAGTGAACAGGGTCACGCATACAGTCTTTGTCGATTCTGGCTTGCACGATATCGGCAACCAGTGGATTTAAGGGCTCATTCGTGGGCTTTCCCGAATCGTCTAATCGCACCGGAGGACCACCTATGTCGGTATCGTCCTGAACCGGTAACCCTGGAAGCTGTACAGGGTGCGGCAACTGAGAATTCGCTTGGGGATCTGACTGGGCCGGGGGCAGTTCATCATTCCCCTTATTTTGTAATGAATCCTGAGAAGGCATCTCTGAATGTCGCCCACCAGTCTTGGCGTCTGCCTTATGATTTTTAGAGTGACTCTTCCTGTGGAGAAGAACCTCGTGCCCATTTAACACAACCGAATCGTTTCCACGATCAATACCTTTTGCTTGCGCTGCCTTCCAATTATCTGGGCCGTATCCCTCAACATCCTTTATATGTTTTTCATTCTCGTGTACCCGCGGATCACGTTCCGGCGATCTGGCTGATGAACTAGACGAACTAGACGATCCTGAAGAGGCAGACTCGTATCCCGCGCCTTCTTCCACGGCGAAATGGTTGAAACTTGACGTGCGGTTGAAAGTGCTAGGTCCCGCAGCTTCTGAACTCTCTGCAGGTGGGCTTTCGTCGTCATCTCCATACAATTGATTCATCTCTGCTTCGAAGCGAGCCTCGGCGTTGATCTCTGCTTGCCTTTCTTCTTCCGTTATCTCATCCACGTCTAGCCCAAGGTGTTCTCTCATCAGTCGCATACGAAGAGTGTGAGCAAATCGACCAACTCGGTAAGCCTCCCCTGCCATCGTTGACCACATCATCTCAGTGTCTCGAACAATAGCAGCAACTTCGGAGTCTCGGTTACCAAGCATGGAACGCTCGTTTATGTTGGCTGATCCGATCAGCGCAACACGATCATCCACGATGATAGTTTTTGCGTGGATATAAAGCTGCTCTGTCACAAGCTGACTATGGGGACCAATTTTGCCCCATTGTCTCAGACTAAAGAATGAGATATAATCTTCTGGCTCGATCCCCACTGCCTGTAACCGTCCGAAGATTGAGTGCGGGCCTCGGCATATGCTTCGATATTGGAATTGCATGATCAAACGAACACTGCTGCCCTCCGCTTGATCCACTGTATTCTGGAAACCAGGCATAAGGGGGATCAGGATGCAACAACGCCAATCCTCGTCTTTCTCGTGGGCCCTAATAATGCGCTCGACTAAAGCATCCCCGATACGGTTAACAACCCTGGTATTCATTGTCTCGGTACTCGTAATGAAAAATTGATTTTCCATATAGACAAAGTGCTCGGATTCTTCAATAAGCTTTACATATGCTGACTGGATACTGTGTTCTCTTATGTCTTTCGGATAACCCAGAGACCAATCACCTGCCGAACGCAAGATCTGGACTTCGCACGTTCCAGACAAACCAAGGGCCTCCAGGTCTACCGGGTTGGCATCGGGTGGAGGAAGTAGGAAGGGCGTAGGTCGAGTTGGTTTACGCTCACGCCGCAAGTAATTCCATCGCTGTACAAAATGGCGGGTAAGGTCACGCGCTGGCTGTCCAACAACTTGCATCGCAATGTCATGCCAGGGCATTCTTGGTACCTTGCTCCTATCGTACATTTCTTCGTAAGGCTCATTAAGTTTGAAGAAGTCCAAGACACGGGGATTTGAATAATCTTTGCCAGGGAAAAGCTGGCAATGTTCCGCGTCTCGAGGGCTGTTTCCGTCTGGTTCCATGCCCGTTGGCCGGTCGTCTGCAATCGGGTGCTGTGGGTTATCCCAACGGCCGAAGCAAAGATCGATCCCGCCAAGGAAGGCCACATCGTGGTCCACAATGCAAATCTTCTCGTGGTGGGCGTAAAAAAACTGGTTCTTCTTCAACTGATTTGGTGATCTTAGGACCAGAATATTGTCGTGAAGGTTAAGGAGAGAAAATTTCGTATACTCGGAGTCTATCGGTATGGCTTGCTCCACGTTCCTGTAAATGATGATAAACACCTTGACACCTTCTCTGGCTTTCCTCTGGAGTAACCGATCCAACCGCCATTTCTGGCTGATGCACGCCGGTCGCCGCATGTATAGCTCAGGGCTCAACCACCAATCGTGAATGTAGATGACATCTTGCGCCATGCTTATAGCACGGGAAACATTCCACATATAGTCACGTCCGTCGACTAGCCACTGAGCAAATGATGCCTTCCGTACAGGCGCGAAGCTGTCAAATCTGTGAGGCTCGTGCCATTGAGTCTGCTTCAGCATATCAAGGACAGATTCTTCAAATTGGCGAAGTACTGTCTGATTACGGGAGAACAACTTGATCTTCCGGTCTGCAGAATATAGCTTAAGCGTGTGGTGTTTCCCGTGGGATTCTTCATCAGTAAGATGATTGTCATCGTCCCTTCTTTGGGCCTCAACTTTCAATTTTGCCCCGAAACGTCTGAGCTTGTTCTTTTTAGATACAACGCGGAAGAGAGGATCGACAAGATAAACATCGTAGATGTTCATAGTTGCCGGTGACTCGACAACGGCGATATAGTTCTGTCGGACTAGAAACCATTTGCGAGAGTGCCGTGCTATAACCTTTTGGGGATTAAGCACTCGTCGGAAGTCGATACCTTTTGTAGATTGTATATGCAGGTAACATTCCTTTCCGTGAAAACTACCTTCCGCTGCTAGTCGTACACCAAGCGCAGAAAGTTCTAAGAATTTGCAGAGGCGATTGCTATCGGCACGAAACATCAACCAGTGAACCATCTCTTGTAAGTATTTCTCTAGGGTTTTCCTCTGTCTTTCGACGTATTTCTTCTTCAGCGCTGCCGAGTTATAGGCACCCGCGAGTGACGTTTCTCCATTGTCGCCGATACCAGATGATTGTCGGCGCGGTAAGAATGTGTTGATACGCGATTTCTTCCTCAACGGGTTTGCTCGCCTATCATTATCGCTAGCAGTATTTTCAGCGGCAGTGCCTTCGCCCGCGGTGCCTTCAGCAACCGTGTCATCGGCTCTAGTCCCCGGTGGCTTTTCTTCATCGTCGGACTCCTCGAGGTTTTGGTAAGTCCGTAGATAAGGGAAAGCCTTTCTGGGAAATCGAGGCTGCTTAGGGCGATTCCGTTGGTTCGTCGTAGTCTGAAGCGTGATGTCGTTCTTCAGAGATAGCCTGTATTTCCAGTGAATATTCCAGATTTCTCTAACGCTACGAGTGACGGTCCAACTCATCCGACTGAGTCCGCTACCGTACTCCAAGGCGATTGTAAAGATAGTGTGTCTCTCGCTATTGCTATCTTCCGGACGACTGTCGATGACCCGGAGGTTAAGCTGCTCAAGAAGGACAGGTATTCGCTTGTTCCCGTGTTCATCTCTCTGGAGCATGCTCGCGAGAATGACAACGGCTGGCGTAACTGCTCGTAATTCAGCCATGAGTTCGGCAGATTTGTAAAAATCGAATTGATCTGTCTTCTTCTTTCCCAACATTTTTAAGGTATGCTTTACTTGTCTCCATCTGTGAGCACCGAAGGTTGCAGCGCGGTCCGCACCCAGGAACGGTCGTTTCGGCGTTGCTAACCATTCACCGTCTGATGCCCCGCCTGCTCCAAACATCTCAGAAATGCGACGGCGATGACCTGGTGTACGGGGTTGCGCGAGTTCAGTATCATCAGCACTAGGATGTCCAGTCCGCTGAGCGCCGATCCACGAGCTTCCACGAGTCCACGCAGGCCGACGACCAATTAAGCGGTCGCGACCTTCTCCCTCAGACATTCCACCACGATGCTCAGCTGGCTCGGGCATCGTTGAGCGTCTAACCATGGTGTTCAAACGACTTGCCCTAGGCGACTCGAGATCATCAAGCCTCGGGGAATTTGGAGCGGTAAACATGTCTAACTGCTTTAGACGGCGCCGCATCCTCTTTCTTTTGCTCTTGGGCGCATCTCTATCCTGACCCTCATCAGCACTTGCCTCTACATCAGCATCGCTTCCTTCCTCTTCATCCAAAGTGTCTGGAACACGATAAGATCGGCCGACAACTGGCGAAGCCGGGGTGGATGCAAGTTCAGAAACTCCTGGGGACCTGGGGGGCTGGATAGTACCGGAGCTACCCAGAGTCGATCTCAGCCTTAAAATCCATCTCTCACTACGAGATCTGTTCTTTGTATCCTCTTCGTCCCACGATCCCTGTCTAACATGTTGCGGAGGGTCAACTAGTACATCCGCGCGAGCAAACTGTACACTGCGCCGTCCAGATGAGGTCGGATCGCCCTGTATGTCAACATCTCCGTCTGGTAGTTGTATTTCAGAATTTCTTAGGGGAGAAGGAGATCGCACAGCAGCCGTCTGACTCAAGAAAGCGGACGACGTGACATTAAGGGGAGCGAGATTGTCGTGCGATCGTCCGCCATTTAGGTAGTCAGTTGCTTGCTCCGAGTCCGATTTCGAGGTGGATTGGGTCGAGGATGGGTCGGGAAGTGGGAGAGTATGAACGAGTACGGCAGCGGTTGACGGACTGTCGTTTGGAGATGTAGAAGACGGCGCGTTAAGACGTGTATTTACGGGAGACAATGTACGAGGACTCCCTGTCATGGGTGAAACCGAACCATCTCGGTTTGGAGTGGACATATTACGTGACGGTCCAATGTCCAATGTCCAATGCCAGAGGGGGTGACGTTTCTGTTGCGACTTAAGCCGGTTGAGGCTTTCCGACTCAACGGAAGATGCAAATGCCCCTTGCAGTTCGGTCCGTTTTCAGTTGCGTAGCATTTACACTCCCGCAGATTAGATAGTATAGGATTCGCTAGTATAATGTAGAGAGTCCCGCGTGGATTCGATCTGGATGCGTAACTGTCGAATAAAAAGGAGTGTATTTGTCCAAGAAGAATCGTATGGAGGTTAGAGATGTGTAAGAGTGGAAGTTAGGTACATTGTATGAGGTATCGAATAACTATGGAAGTTTATGATAAAGTACCCCTACCAGGTAATCATTAATGTAAGTGGGCGTGCATGCATGGAAGTGGACTGGGTGGATTAGCTACCTCCTAGGTACCTACCTTAGGAGGTACCTAGATTATCCCTATTCCTAGCGTGAAATGCAAGCGTTAGGTTAGGTAAATGCACGATAATTAGGTACAGGTACCTAACCTAAATGTACAACCAAAGTTGGAAAGTATTGGAAAGCATGCACCTCCTAGCTGAGGGGGACTATGTAATCAATTTACAGGTACCTCTTAACCTACTTAGGTACCTTGTCTGGCAGCTGCTACCCAGGCAATCAAGCTGAAAACTTACCACTCAAAGGGATCCAGCAGCCCCGTGTCTTATCGATAAACTAGTATAGGCGTTGTATTTTCGGTTTTTAGGGGTATTTACTATCCATCAACCCTGTCCTAATTTTGGAAGTGGGACGTCATCAAAAGCTGGTTCCAACTTCTTCATCTCACTTACGGACACCTCGTGCTCGTATGCAAACAAATACCCCGCCTGACCCGTCCGGCCCGTTTATTAGCATGTTAGCATTCCGTCCCCTGTCCATTAGCTGACTAGGTCACATAGTTACCTCATTTAAGATGAGAAAATGCCGTAGCGAGACATCCCAATGGTACACTTCAAGACCAACTCAATTATTGACATAAATTTTATTCAAGATAAATTCGGAATCTCGATAAACTATGGACTATTCACCTTCCACGGCAGGTGACTTGAATCCCTAAACCGTAATAGAGAGCTTTTGATTTACTAACTCTAGAGAATACGGCCGTAATTGGGACAGATACTAAAGCGGTGATGTTGATGTCTATGTCACGTAACTACCTAAGGTAGGCTCAGCTGACTGGTTCAGCCATTTAGGCCATATTACTCTATTCCCCTCAAAGGAGATACTCCAGACGTCTCACGCTGCCATAGATGCGGGCTCTGGGTGGACGTTATGCAGGTTATCATAGATCCCTATTTGTGTATAAGTATTCAATGGACAGACGTAGGTAAGCGTATCTATAGAAATAGAGTCATAGTCAGTCAGCCTGTCTCTTTTGCTGACACATATAGGCACCTGTCATATTTCAATCTGCAATGGCTGCGTCCCTCATTGTCCCTACAGTATTAAGGATATAACCCGGGAACTTCCCTCCGGATATAACCAGTTTAGGTAACCGTATGTGTATCTATGACGGTGTTTAAAATGATAACTATCGACAATTATAACGACTCTCATGACCGATCCCAAACACGTTATTGTCCTTACTCGTCGAGTTCGGCAGTGATAGAATGGAAAAGATTCAAGGTTATCAGAATCACAGCAGCGGTCTAGCGCGGAAAGTAAGAGTCCCTCCTCTTACTGTTTGTATTATAAGATTTTAATCTAATATAAAACCCTTATTACCTCTCGTCTTTACGCAGAGGACATCATTAACCCCCTCAACTCAACTCACAAACAAAACCATCATTCCATCATGAATTCTGCCCCTTGTCTTACAAACTGAGCCTTCCGAGGTGCCTTGCAACCCAAAATGGCTAATATATCTCTTCAAACAGTTGAAGAGAGAATTAACAAGTTCGGAAAGCTATGGATGATAGATGACCTTATCCGCGAGCGTGGAAGAGACGTTGAGCAAGTTCCAATTCTTGGATACCCCCGACACGAGAATAGCGCCACTGAATATGAGCACTTCACAGGCAAGGATCTCGACCGTATGGTTGACGAGGCTTGTCGAGCACTGGAGCAATCTGGCCTTGGTGCGAACTCGGGGAAACAGTAGCGCTTTTTGCGCCTTCAGACCTGTCGTTTGTCATCACGTTCTTCGCCCTCTTCCGCCTTGGATGCAAAGTCTTGACTCTTTCGATTCGCCTAAATTCGTCAGCATGTCTCCATCTCCTCCATCAAGCGGGGTGTGATACTATGCTCGACGGAACGACTGCTCATATCGATTCGGTCATGATTGAGGTCAGAGACGCCCGCCAAGACCTGAAGTTCATCGAGATGCTAGCCAGGGCGGGTTTTGATAAGCCTCAAAGGTCTCCGGAGTCTTTCTGGCGGGATATTCCTAATAGAGAGGAGGAGCACGTCCAAGTGTCGCTTATGGCGCATTCATCGGGCTCGACTGGCCTCCCCAAACTATTGTCTGTATCTCATCGGAGTCTTTTGGCCTCTATGGTCTCGGGAACTGGTCTCAAGGCGTTCAACCACTTACCCTGGTATCATCTACACGGTCTGATAACTTCTATACAAGCTATGTGGATGCGTAAAACGGCTCACTTGTTTAGTGCGCACTTACCGCTAACGGCAGATAATTTGATTTCGGCTCTCAAGTCGATACAGCCTGAGATATGTCATACGGTCCCCTACGCATTGAAGTTGATGGCAGAGAGACAAGACGGAATCGATGTTTTGAAAAGATGCAAGTTTGTGACATCCGCGGGGGCTAGGACTCCGGACGAGCTTGGGAATCGAGTAATCGAGCAGGGAGTAAAGCTTGGTCTTCCAGGATCGCGGTAATGGTACATACGAGGCTGTGTATTTGAACACTTATCCTGCGCTCATGACCACTAACTCGAATGATCCGTCCGGCTCTTTTCACTCAGGTGACCTCTTCGTTCCTCACCCGACTTTGGACTGGGCCTGGAAGTATATTGCCCGTGCTGACGACAGAGTAACTCTTCTGAGTGGAGAAAATATTCTTCCCCTGGGAATAGAGGGTACCGTTCGCGAAAGTCCGCTTGTGCGAGACACCTTAATGGTCGGCAATGATCGCCTTGTACCTGGCCTCCTAGTATTTCGCTCCACAGCTGCAGCTGGTCTATCGGACAATGAGTTCATCGAGTCTATTCGACCTTACGTAGACAAGGCTAATAATTTCGCTGACGAATTTGCCAGTATCACTCCCGATATTGAATACCTTGCGACTGACAAAAGGAACATAATCCGCGCTGCCGCACACGCTCGTTTTGATAAACTAAATGAGGATCTTTACTCAGGAGACAAGAACACCACTAGTGGAAAGGGTTGTAAATGATTACCGCTCGATATTGGACAGCTTGAACAGTTCATATTAAAACTTCTTCGCGAACAAGCGGGCATCGAAGTTCCAAATATCGAAGCGGACCTGTTTACCTCTGGAGTAGATAGTCTACGCGCCGCTCAGATACGCAGGTTATTACAGCGAGATCTCGACCTTGGCGGACATTCGCTACGCGCCAATATCGTCTACGATGCTGGATCCGTGTCTGGGCTCGCTCGGCTACTATATTCCATGCGCACGGGTGAGAAACTTGGGAATCAGCATGCGGATGATAAAAATGAAATAGTGAAGATGCAGAATATCATTGCTAGATATAGTCAATTCCAACCATAGTCTCCGGGAAATGTATCAACTCCAGAAAGAGACGTTGTGGTAAGTCTTCTGCGTGAACCCCCTTCCCCCTTTCCCCTTCTCCACTATCCCCTCTCCTATTTGCCTGTGGAGTTAATACAAGAACATAGATCCTCACAGGCGCACACCTTAGGTACTGCACCAGCTCCTCTCGGACCCCAAGGTCAACCGCGTCATCTGCCTAGTCCGGGGCACCGATCCGTTAGCTCGCATCGACGCGTGCCTGAAGACCCGGAACCTCGACGTGCAAGTGCACCGCAACAAGAAGCTATCAGCTCTCACGACGAACAACCTAGGCGCCCCGAACCTCGGCCTCGCGCCGGAGATCTACTCGGACTTGCAGCGCTCCGCCACCCTGATCATCCACGCGGCGTGGCCCGTGAACTTCAACGTGTCCCTCGCAAGCATGATCCCCCACATAGCCGGCCTGCATAACCTCTTAGACCTGTCGCTTAGGGTCCCATTGAGCCGCCGCCGCCCCGCCCGTCTCCTCTTCGCCAGCAGCATTTCCACCGCGTCCCGCACGCTCACGCCCGCCACCGTTCCCGAAGGGCCCCTCTCGTTTCTCGGCTCCGCGGCGCGGACGGGATACACGCGCTCGAAGCTCGTAGGCGAGCGCATCTGCGCCGCCGCCGCGGCAGCAGCAGCGTCCGGTGGTGGTGGTGGTGCGGTCGGCGTCTTGCGTATCGGCCAGATCGCAGCGGATGCCGCGCATGGGATCTGGAACGGCAAGGAGGCGATCCCGATGCTGGTCCGGAGCGCGACGGAGGTCGACGCGCTGCTGCCTCGGCTCGAGGGGGACCACGATGTCTGCGAGTGGATGATGCCGGTGGACGCCGTGGCTCGCACGTGTCTGGAACTCGCCGAGAAGCTCGACGCGGACGCGGGAGCAAGCCAAGCGTCGTTCTACAACGTCAAGCCGCCGCGCGCGTTCTCCTGGAACGACGATTTCCTACCGGCGCTGCGGAGCGCAGGCTTGCGGTTCGACACCGTCGGCCTCGGAGAATGGCTGGCGAAGGTGCGCTCCCGAGCCGCGGATCTGGGGCCCGCCGCCGAAGTGAAGCTGCCCGCGGTAAAGCTCGCCGACTACTACGAGGATACGTACAGCGGCTTAGGTATTGGGTTAGGTCCCGGGTTGAAGTTTGACATCCAGAAGGCTTGCTGTGATAGTGGTGCTCTTCGTCTATGCCCTACCGTGTTAGAGGCGAACCTCGTGCCGAAGATGTTGAGGCATTGGTTGGGTGACACTACTACGAATAGACAACAGTAGATTAATCCTAGTAGTTTTTTATTTTTTATTGTAGGGGATACAATATTTATGCCTTACTACCTTGAATAGTACCTAACCTAAAGTAAGCAGGATAATTGTGAAATTTGAAGAAAAGATATGAATAAATTAGGAGGGTATCAACTGGGCGAACTCGTCTTAAGACTACCTATTGACCTTATATCGGATTGAGCATAGACTCGTGAGACTCATGACGCGTTATACAAAAGTGAGGACGACCTAACTTGAATATAGGTAGTTCTGCAATTCCGAGAAGGCTTTAAAGTCCAGGCCTAAACTCCGACAAGTGCCAAGGGGGGTGAATACTCATTACAATAACCTCATCATATCGGCACCAGAACCCGTAACACCTAATCATGAATCATCGCCAACCAAGATACCAACCCTCATCACTCATATGTGCCTACTCGCCTCGACCACGATAGTTACCCATCTTCTCAATAGAACTCATGATGCCGCTCCGCATAGCCGTGCCACTACCGGGGCGTGGTAGACCCCCTTGAGATCCGCCATTCCTACTCCGGTCGTGAGCAATGCCACCAATCCTACTCTCTGTCGGCTTTTTCACAGATCCAGGAGCTCTCAGACCTGACGGCCGGCTGCCGATGCTGTGGCGGAAGCTTTCCGGAGCCGTGTGCTGCGTCTTAGTAACAGTCGGCCGTGGAGGTGGCGGCGCCTCTGCCTGGACCAAAGTCTGCATCGACATCATCTCTTCAGCTAAGATGACAAGTTCACCCTTCTCGACGCGCTCCTTCTCGAGGAGCTGGCGAAGCTCGTGATTGTCCATCTTGATACTGTCGATGACAGCCTCAAGTTTCTCGATCTCTGCACCCATTTCCTTGATCTGCGCTGAGTCCCTGATAGCCTGGAACTTGCGTTCCTCATCTGCGAGGGTCTGGTCAGGATCGACTCTATTCATAGCGGCATCCCGATCGAGTCTTAGTTTCTCGTTCTCTTCGGCAAGCCCCTCGACTCTGGATTCGAGCTCTTGAACTTTCTTTTCCCAGCGGGTTTCATAGCTCTTCTTCAAAGCCGCAACCTTGGCTTCATGCTTGCTTTTGTAGAGTACATGTAACTCGCGAGCTACACGCTCAACAGCGATTTCAACCTCGCGAGATCCGGCGTTCTTAGTCTTATCGGGAGACTTGTTCTCGGCGTCTAAAGTGGCTTTGCCGGCGCGCATTCCTGCCATCTTGCTCTCTGCTTCTTGGGCCATGATCTCGGCGGCCTCTCGTCGTTTCTCACTCTCATCTAGCTTAGATTCGAGTTCCTCGCGCTCTCGCTGGCTCATTACAATTTCTTCTTTGACCTTACGAAGCACGGCCTCCATCTCCCGACTACGGGCTTCCCAGTTCTCCTTTTCTTCAGCCATAGCTTCCTTCATAGCCCTTTCTTCGCGGAGTTGTTCCATGCTCTCGCCTACTCTTTTTTCAGCATCACCCACCGCCGTCTTGAGAGCCAAAACCTCGGCCTCTTTACCGCTAAGGGTAGCTTTGAGGCTACTAATTTCCGAGAGGAATCCTGACTTGAGCGACTCCAATTCTCTAGGTGTCACTGAAGGTATACTACGGGGCGTAGGAAGAGGTGGAATATCGAAATCGAGCAAGTTAGACTGTTGGCGCTGAGGCGTTGCTGCAATCGAGTGCCTCGGGTTTCTATCGAATGTTTGACTTCGGTTCGGTGTTTGCTGCGCGAATCTAGACGGAGGGCCACCCGCCTGGTCCGCAAAGTCCATAAGCAGGTTGGTAGTGTTTCCAGACTCGTGCATAGTAGGAGGTCGAGGAGTCCTCAGTGGCGAGGGTTCCGGTTTACTCCGCATGGCGAGAGGAGTTGCGCTGGTGTTTGCGAACTTGGTAGGACTATGTCCAATCCTCGCGAACATAGTCAAGTTTGGCACCGCGGAGAAATTACTGAATGTGCTTATCATAGTATCGTCTGGACCGGTTGATTCATTGCCAATTGGTTGATCGCCAATTGACGTAGATGTGGTGTCAGCTTCGTTATCGTCGCCATCATCTAACGTGGTATCATCATCCTCGAAGATCTTTATAGCGGTTGCCAGACCCTCGTTGCGCAGAATCGTTTCGTCAATAGATAAATTGTGCTCCTGAATCTGGTGTTTCTGGGTCTCCGGAGGTGGAGAGGGACTGCTGTTGATTTTAACTGGGAAACGCTTCTCAGGCGATATCTTTCTTGGACTCTTAGCAGCTGCCAGCTTCCTAGACGTAGGGGACTGCTCCTCCGTGGTATTCTCTTTTGAAATTAAAATCTTTAAGGGCGTAAGTTCGGTGCCGGATAGTATTCTAGAATGTCGCGCGGCCTTGTCCTTCTCGTCCTGCTTCTGAGATGCGAGCACAGGACTCGAGGCGTTGTTGTCGCTAGAGGAGTGTTCGCTGCTCATGTTGTCGGTATGGGAGTTGAGTTCGTATATATCAATTTGGCGGTTGGTCGGAGGCGTTGCAATATTCAGCGCGCCGATACTAGAAGGACAAAGCGGTGAAGCCATCCAGGCTCAAGGAAAAGATGCCGATGATTAGGTACTATCACTGTCTTATTGTCAAGACAGGCGAGTTTGGAATGTGAAGAAATAATGGAGACAAGTATTTACTTTTGGGATGTTTTCTTGAATCTACAATTTAATGCTCAGTTTCATGCATAGCTGCAGCACTGGGGCTAAAACAGAGAGTGGTCAAGGTTTTGGTGGACAAGTGGAGGACAAGTGGAGGGACGGAGGGCTCCGGAAATTGATTTCTTTAGTTGGTTTCGGTTTATGCCAAATTTAATTTGTTTGTTCAATTTCCACTGGTTGACGGAGAAACGGTAATACCTGTGCGTCAGGCGGGTCAGGCAGGTTCAAGCAGGTCAGTAGGTCAGGGCATCCACCTACGTAAATCCCCTGCAAAAAATGCTCAATTTAGGGCTTAGCGTCATCCCTTGTACCATGTGAGGTAACGAGATAAGAGATACCGCACAATGATAAGCAGGAAGATCCATTTTCGGACCATTCATCTCATCTCTCATAGAGGTATGTTTTTTTGGTTGAATAAGGAGATAGCACCTGTAACAGGTACCTAGTACCTAGAAGTAGTCTTTTGTGTTACCATAATTACCTCCTATCATTACCTAGGTAATTACCCGTGCATCTGAGCAACAATAGGGTTACCTAGATTTATACCCCTTTTTTTCTACATGGTAAAAGGAAAAGAAAGAAAAACAAAAAACTCGTTAGTGCAGTGTACACACCCTGCGTAGAATTCATACCTCATACCCACCTGATGCATCTTAATACCACTAAGACATAGTACATAGTAGACTTGTTTACCTCGTACATTAGCAACTTTTAACAGTTGAACGAAACATAGAACAAAAAGGACCAATGGCACTGTGGCGGGTAAGTTCTTCTCACTTCTCAGGCTTGAAAAATCAACATAATATTCTAACTCTCTCTTAGAGTGGTCTAACGCGTGTGACTCGAAATCACATCTCTTCGGAGGCGCCCGTTCGAATCGGGCCAGTGTCGCCAATCATTTTTGCTGTCTATTATTATAATTTTTATTCCGTCCAACGTCTTGATTTCCTTTAACCTTTTTCCGCCAAAAAATAAAAATAAAAATAAAAATAAAAAATTGATTTTCTTTAATCTCGTAATCTCCTGGATCGTTTCTGTTTCCTCTAAATTTAGCTAAATACTTGAATCTACGATGGTACTTCGTTATTCTACTCTTTTGATCCAGCTGTCCCTCCAGATGATTAACGCCCTTGCCATTGTCCAGGACGATCCGTTTCGATTTTCAGTTCAAAAAATTTAATTCTTTCAAGTCTTTTGAGTGTTAATAGATCCGCTCGAGATCTAGGTCAGATGGTGGACTAGAACAGCTTAGACAGCCCAGACAGCTCAATCCAGTGGATGGCCAAAGTGTCGGGATATAACAGTAGCTTACGTGTATTCAATACTTTTCTCCAGTTCATCGGTCAATCATGTTACCAAGGGCTCACGAGTTGACTATAGAGAATCAGCGTTTGATATAATGTGCTATGTCTTCCGCATTGTGCTCTATTTCATATTTGGCTTCCACTATCCCGAAGAAAGTTTTGGGAGTTCAACAGCGTCGAAACATGTTCTCAGAGCAGAAGTAGATATACAGGATCAAAATGTTCACATATCAAGTAACTGCCTTGTTTCTAACTTTGGTTCTCTCCGTGGTTGATTCCCTATTTCTAATGGCGATCTCGTCTTAACCTCTAAGAACAAGAAGCAGTTACCTCAAGTGTGAGCGCTTCCAACAGCCCTCCTATACGAACACGGTCACTTGCTGCAGGAACATTCTAAAACGTGGAAGGAAATTCCACGAGATAGCACATAGGTAGATAGTATCGCGGCATCGGACCTCCGGACTATAGCTTCGTTGTTCGGCAAATTAGCATAAAGTATACCAGGTAGTGCTGTCTTAGGTACGTTGGGTAAACTCTAAAGGAGTACGCCTTTAGAGTTTACGTAGACAGCACTACCTAGGTATATAACTCCCTTAAGGGCCCAACCTTCTCACCTTACGAGATTTCCCTTTTTATAAACTAATGCTAACATCGCAGTCGTCTTCTCTACTAGAAACCAAGGTACCCTTAATATACCACATTGTTACTTAAAATACAAACTCTACCTACCTACCCAACTGCGTGCTGGGCACTGGAAACATCTTCGAAACCATTGACCGAGTTTGCAACTACCCCGACAGAAGACGTTAAGAAAACACATGATGGCGTCATGGGGGAAAGAGCAGCCATTGCCAAAGGAAGAGCCAGCGACTGAGGATTGGCCGGACGGCCCCAACTTGTGGCCTTGGTATCTTTTCCCTATCGCCTTCCTTTGCTACAGTTCCCTGATAGCCCTTCCTTGGACGGCGTTCGTTATTGTGCTCGCTCTGCTGTTCGGATGGAGTATTCCCAACCTCACGAACTTGTTTATATTAACCCTTGGAGGTTTAACATTCGTACTTGCCTTGACTGGTTGTGTAGGTGAGCTAGGGACGACCATGATCCGTAACTGCGGTATCGACTCCCTTCAAAAGACACCACCTGAGAACGGATTGTACGTGGTTCTATATTACTCCATAGCCGCGGAGATTCCCCGTCGCCTTTCCCCCCCAAGATTGATGGAATTTCCTAGCAACTTTGGTGAACACAAAGTGGCCTTTCGACCTCAACAATTACCGGGTTATGGAAGAAAACCACTTTTTCAAGATTTAGTATAGCTTAGCAAAAAACAGCTATTGCCAAAGTAAGAGCAAGCGACCAAGGATACACCACAATACCCCAGCATTCTGGTAGCCTTTAAATTACTCCTGAGGTACTTCTGCCACCCCGGATTTCTGTCTCAAACCTTGGTCTATGAGCTGTCACGATTGGTTACAGGTGTTGGGATAGGTCTTCCAATATGTATATTCTGCAGCCTGTATATCGGGTCTCCGGTCATAGTATTTGTGTTCAGCTGCGGGTTGGAAGCGCTTGCATACCCCTAGTGGTTTCTGTGGAAGCATTTGACAAAGGACGGTGCTGGCGTCAACATTTTAGTTTTCCCGTGGCGACTGCCCATGTGGCGATGTACAATCGGTTTCGTAAGGTTTTGGCATGGGTTGCTGGCCCAGTTAAAGTTATGATTTCACAGCTGAGGATCAACGGGGAATTCTTTCCTAAACTATATGGTGTCTACCTTTGCCGTGGCTTCTCAGGCATACTTAAAATATACTTTGTTGGGTAGGAGAATAGAAGATAAGCAGGAAAGAAGGACAAGTTATGGCCTATTAGTTTTGCTACATTAATACGTTGCTGAATTGGGCAATTTTCAATCTTTCTCTTCTATTTTTCCATGCCAACCCTACCTCCTAAATACTAAATATTTACAAGCCAGCAACAAGGAGTCCCCTATAGTAGTAAATTCTTTTCCTCGATCAAATCAGCCTTGGTACATGATTCCTCTCTCGCTTTTCGGTTCAAGCGCACTTAATCTATTGCTCCTTTCACTAGTAATAGGGGTAGGGACATGGGTATGGACGCGTAACTGGACGGCGCTCGCAGAATGTACAGTCGGTTACTTAGCACTCACATTCGCGTTGGGCCTCATGGGATGTCAGCGGAACTGACAGCGGCAGCCACACGTAACTGTGGCATTGCAAATATCCCACAAGACAGATCTATCCCTAGGTAGACATGGGAATTTCGCCGCTTGTTAGCCACAAAACTCTTCCACATTGTTTTCCCGAAAATATTACTGGAACCGATAAGCACCTTCAGAAACTAAAAAGCGAAGTACCTCGTTATGCGGCTGTGCCATATACAAAGAATAAGGGCTGGGAGGACGTGGAAGAATGCCAGGGATATGTGGATAGTAGCTGTCTCCTTCGAAGGAGGTTAGAAGGCCAGGCGTTACTAGATCATCCACAATATACTGCATACTAGCCTTCTGACACTCACTCTGTATATGACATCCATCACGGGCACTACCTGATAAAGAACGACTGGCGGAGCGGGATGGGCGATGGCCAAGTAATGATCGCTAGGTACTGTCGACAATTCCGGGAGGATCAACCATATAAACGCGGCAAGGTCTAGGAGTATGGGTTGGACTGGGGCCTTTTTTGTTTTTTTTAACTAAACATATTTCATGAGGGATAGCGGTAAAAGTTTTATTTACACTATTAGAGTCGATGTTAGGTGATAACAATTCAAGTTAAGCGCTTTTAAAAGACAAAGCTCGTATTGAGCCTCCGAGCTTCTTAGTTGCATAGTTGAAGATTCCAAAACGATAGCCCATAAAATATGCCCAGTTGGTATGCATCGTGTAAGGTTCTCCTAACTGGGTGAACTTTTGGCCGTCTGTGCTGTAGGAGAAGTTGGCTGCGTAACTGCCGCTCGCACGGGCATCTAGCGACGCTCGAAGCCATATTATCTTGTCCTTGGGGATATCTGCTGATGTTGCTACTATGTTCCCCAAACTAGTCGTGTTCCAAGCAGATTCTTCCTGTGTGATGTCATGCACGACGGATAATGTGTACTTGGTCCCATCGCGGTGAATACCGATATAAGCGGTACGATCGCGGAAAGCCGCAAGACCGAAGCGGTCGCCGTCAGCCATATTAGCGAAATCCACTCGGAGAGTACCGACAGGGAATTCTCCATGGATGCGGTGGGTTAGGGTGTTGCGTGCCGCGTATAGATCGTCCGTCACGGTTGCAGTAGATAGAGTCACTCCACCGTTACCAACCTTGTACTTGGTCTCATCAGGGTTATGATTCCATTCCCAGTCCGGGCCCAGTGTCTCCCCGTCGAACGTGTCGGTACGAGTCCATTCTCGGACGGCCTTTGCAGGAAGTGGCGCCGGATAAGACGATCCCCACGCGCCCGACTCGTCGGCTACGAAAAAGGGGAAGCCATCATCGCCCCATTTCACCGGGGCGAGAACGGGCATGCGGCCACTTGGGTATGCCCATGTAAAAGACATGTAGTACCAGTCACCTGTCGACGTTTCGATGAGACTTCCTTGATGAGGAGCGCCTCCATTCGGCACGGGTGACTTCACATTGTTAACCAGGATCTTGCTCTCGTAAGGACCCCAAGGACTTTCGGATTTCCAAATGTAGGTAATATCACCGGGATGGTCGTCGAGAATATAGTAAAGCCCATCCTTCTTGTACATGCGGTTTCCTTCGATTCCATCCTTCCCTACGTCAGAAGCGCTGAAGATATGCTTGGTCTCAACCTGGCTGAGTCCGTCTTTTGACAGCTGGGCCACAGATACGTCGGTAGCACCGTATACGACGTACATGGTATCGTCGTCGTCGATAAGGAGGCCGCAGTCATAGTAGCACGTGCCGCCCGGAAGTACGGCCGCACGGGTCCACGGCCCGGTAACGTCCTTGGCAGTGTAGATGTAAGTGTACCAGAAGTCGACGCAGCCGATCCAGTACCAAAGCCCGGTGCTCTCGCGAAATCGCATTGTCGACGCCCACGTCCCACCCCTATACGCGTGGCCGTTCGTCAGATTATACTTTTCGCCGAAATCCAGACCGGGCACGGAGTGGCCGATAAGTTCCCAATTGACGAGATCACCCGATCTTAAGATCGGAGCACCCGGGCTGTAGTGCATGTTGGACGCAGAGAAGTAATACAACCCGTCTGGACCGACGGAAACATCATTGTCGGCGAAGTCTTCGTATACTACCGGGTTCTGGAAAGAGTTTGCTTGCTTCGGTACCACCAAAGACTCAGGAGTTGAACTTGCACTGGACTCGCTCGAAAAAAGGAGAGAGGCGTGGGTCCATGCTAAGTGAGCTTGTAATAAGCCACAGCTGAATAGAACGTTTTTCATTTTCGCACTGATCGGATAGTGATATTGTGGTGTATAGCACGAAACTGGTGGCTGGGCTCAAATGAGTCAAGAATATTTCTTTCGCGACGCATAACCTGGGTGCCTACCAAAGTAGGCTGATTATCTGCTGGACCTCTAGAGTTTCTACGAGCGATGCTACTTATATATATCCAAGTGGTATGTTATTATTGACCTAGGTGGTGTGTTTTTAATGCTACTCTCTGTGCTAAAGGAGCGTGTTCCACCGAGGTCACATCGCAACCTGTTCTATAGCGCTAGTGATTCCCCTATAGCTTTCCCAAGTAAGTAGTAAATGTTAGGACGGATTATACAGCTCCTAGGCGAGGCCAATTCTATCATGGACGGTCCTTATGGTCCAGACCCAATACCTTTGATACATTCTCCTTCTACTCACATATATTTACCTAACCCAAGTATGCTGAAAAGTACAATTTTAGTTTTTGCGGCATGATCTAATGACATGGAAGAATCAGGGTTCACAATAGTAAAGAATTAACTAACAGATACGGACCTGAATGATATAAAATGTATTGAAAAAGCTAAGAAGATTGCTGCTGAGAGGGGTCGTACGGGAAAAAGGGAATGGAATCTTATAAGCCCGGGTCTTCCCCCCACGTACGCCTCTTTCTATCACGAGAAATTGCAAAAGGAATGATCAAATCCGTAAAGGGTTATCCGAGGATTATATGTACCTAAATCAAAACGACGTTTTGATACCCAAGTAGGCACCTAGGTAGATTCGGCAAGGTTATCCATCCACGTTACTACGTTTATCCACTTGATGCTCTCAAAAGCTCACGGAGAAATAGTGTAGGAGGTGTACTATGTACCTAGGTAGGAGGAGATAGCTTAGGTCTTACAAGGTACCTAACCTAAGGTACTAAGGACAGGGATTCCGGGGTAAATCTCCAGGCTGTGGAGCACCCCCAGAAACCGCTAAGCCAATAGAACGCAGAGCGGTATAGTAGCCCCCCCGGAATTTACGCTCGCCTAAACACCAATGCCTGCGGTCGCCTTGATTCAAATCTCTTATCTCTTTCTTAACTCTTTTTTCTACATACGCGTGAGGCGAGAGCCTCGATTTATTCGGCGCTGATCCGCAGCTGGATATTCCAGCATCTAAGTGGCCGGAATAATTACTTCGAAGCACTACGGAATTTTTCCCGAGCTTTGCTTTGACCGGTTTTTTCTAGGTACCTGCTTTACGTACCTTAGGCACCTAGGTAGGATTCTCATCACCATTTCGTACCTAACCTAAGCTTCATCTCGTGGCCTCCCACTCTGGCCACTTTGCGACCCTCAAATAGAGGAGGTACTTGACTTTTACTTTTACTAATAGTGGAGGCTCGTTGTATATTACTTGTATATATCTACCTAATTCATCTCGAAACACCCTCAAGATGTCTCGAGATGCCTCCTACGATACCTTATAAAAGCCGCATGAATTAACCTATCCGGAACCTCGCCGATATCTCCGGGCTAGATATTTACGGTAGATGTATCGGTCTACCATTCTCTTCATACCTAACCTAACCTAACCTACCTCCCATACGGCACTGATGCTAGCTATTTCCCCCCACGATAACTTTCCCAACTCGAACGTAAGCTCGACGCACGTCTGCCATGAAGAGCCCGTCGCCCGAGACGATCCCGATATTCAGCCGTTCATACCTAGACCTAGTATTAATACCTTCGCTGTTCTTTCGGATTAATTAAACCCGCCTCCCCCAAGCCCAGGAATCTCTAGTATCTACCCTTTGTTAACGCGAGGACGTCGTCCATTAGGGCAGTATGGCGACAGTCCACCAGTTGCACCAGGCTCCTACGCCAGCCTACCCTCTTAGCAATGCCGGCGCATCAATTTCATCCGTAGAAATAGACATGGAACGAAACTTGCGATCGAGAACCGTGAACGGGACTAAGACTACAAGCGGTTTGCAAAAGGGCGACACCAGGACGGTTGTTATCATTTATGGTTCTGGCCAGGAGCATATCGTATCGGTTTTCGCAGACGTCTTAGGGAAACCATATCGTATGGCCGACAGCTTTCAAGGCATAACTTCTATAGAACAAGAATCCGTACTGGGGATATCGTTGGAGAGCGCCAAGATTGATATTTCCTCGCGGAGTCGAGATGCGGTGGTTGCGATTAACGCCCACTGTATTAATCTGGGAATGCCACCTGATACTTATATATCAGCGCAGTGCGACTACGAATTCTTGTACCCCGAGGCGTCTTTCTTCCGTCGAGATTTGGCTCGGTTCATCTCCTTCACCCTTGGCCAGATTAACCATCATGATGCCCTCATGTCAAAGCCGCGCACTTATTTCATTTCAACCACCTTTCCTGATGTTCGGGCTGCCCTTCCTAACATAGATATTCTCACGGTTGGCGCTGACGCTGTAGAACTACGTGTCGATCTTCTCAGGGAGCCTTTGATGGATGGTAACTTTGCGCCAATACCGAGTTTAAGTTATGTTGGGGAACAAGTCATGTTATTGCGACAGAGGACTGAATTGCCCATTATTTTCACGACGAGGTGCACGAAAGAGAATGGGCACTTTCCGATGGATAATCCTGACTTGTATTACGAATACCTTTTTCGGGCCATCCAGTGGGGGGTCGAATACATCGATGTTGAGCTTTGGCTTCCGGAACATATTCGTCGGAGGCTATACGAAAAACGCGGAAGCAGCCGTATTATGTCTGCGTTTCACGACTTTTCGGGCACATTCAAGTGGCCTTCAGCTCAGGCGGAGTCTATCTTCCTCGAGTCTCGGAGATATGCTGATATCATAAAAATGATATCAATAATCAACGACCACAACGAGAATTTCGAGTTGGAATATTTCCGATCCAAAATTCGGAGCGAGTATCCACACTCGCCCCCCCTTTCGGCCGTCAATATGGGGGAGACTGGCCAGTTTTCGAGGACTCTAAATAAAGTCTTCACACCCATCACCCACCCCCTTCTTCCGATTATTGCTGCGCCAGGTCAAATGAGCGCTGCGGAGATTAACGCCGCGTTGTCATTGCTCGGTCAACTTCCGAAGAAGAGTCTCTACGGAATTAGTAGCCCATTCTCCCGTATTGCGACTCCTTATGCACCCTTTTACGAGAAATGCTTCAACGAGCTTGGCTTACCACACCAATTTGCGGTTGTCCAAAGACACCTTAAGGGGCCTACCTGTGTAGAAGCGTTATGCAACCAAAAGTCCTTTGGTGGAGCATATTTGAGTCCCCCAGTGTCCTTAGCAAGCCTCATGCATAATAGTTCCTTCTTTGCGAGGCTGAACAGCGGGTTGGGCCCATCACTCACTGAAGCAGCCCGTACAATTGGTATGGTTGATACCATCGTTGTTCAATCTCGATCGTCCCCACCACCTTCGGCGCTTCCTGCGGCTTCCCCTGGTTCTGACCAGGGTGCTAACACATTCCCAAGTTCCGGCATCAATAGTGACAACGGATTGCCACCGAGCTCAACACTGATTTTTGACAACGCAAATTGGCGTGGCATCGTCAGTACCCTGACTCGTGATCTTGCGCCATCAGCCTACTCTGGCCGTGCGGCAGTTGTCTTGGCGGCGAATTCCGATGACGCGGCGTCTGCTATGTATGCACTAAAAGCGCTTCGAATTGGTAAGGTATATACTGCGGGTTTCAAGACACCTTCCAATCTAGCTCGTGGCCTTGAGGTCGAGCCCTTCAATAGTTTAGAAAGCCTTCAAAGAGCAAGAATGGTGCGCGACAAGACTAGTCCTTTCGTAATCATCTCTGCCCTTGGGCCCGAGAAATCTAATATTGTCGGGATGCTTGTGCGAGTATTTGGAGGCTCGAGAGGCTCGTCAACGCAGATCCGCAAGGTTTTCTTGGACTTGGCTGATGGACCGAGGAAAGGAGACCCGAGTGCGGTTGCGGAACAGAGCGGCTTTGCTGCTTACGGCGTGGCAGATACGACTGCATTCACAACCGTAGAAACTCTCAGGCTGCTTGTTGGCCAAAACGTGCCCTACAGCTTCGTGCGGCTTGCCGGCGGCCAAGGAATGTTTTAAAAGAATCGAATATATACCCCCGGCGAGAGTTGGTAGGATTTTAGACGTGTAATGCTGGGATTCCAATATATGCAGATTACCGGCGAGTCATGTATGCTGCGACTAGATGTAATCTTTCTGGCTCTAGACCACCTAACTAAGGCATATATCGGAGACATACCTAGGAAATTTCTATATAGGTGTATTCTATAGAGTATACTGCCCGCACCCTTTTCCCGTCTAGTTTCTCTACTACCTTAAGTTCAAATGATTTAATAGTTGTTCCGAGGTTATAGTTCCCGATATGACAAACCAAGGGGTTACGAAGCCATCCTCTGAAACTATTCGGTACAGCATGCCTAATCTCGTAACTGGGCACTAGACAAGATCGAGAAGTACTACCTACCTCCTAGGTAGGTATACGTGCGCTGCTGAACATACGTTTGTGCTTGCTTGGATACGATGCTTTGTTGACACCGAACTTAAGCGCTGGACCGAGTGTATAAACCTTGAATTACACATATGTAACCACATAGTTTTAGAGACACCATTGGGCTCCCATGCCGCTTGCCTCCTGTTTCACGTACTGGCGTATGCATTTCCGCTGGGCATTGATGCCGAAGTAACAGGATCAATTGACACTATAGTACCTAGCTCGGAGTTTTTTTTTAGCACAGCCTTAACAGTGGTTCTCGTGAATGCCGACTCTGCGTTAGGACCGGGATAAATCTCCGGGTGGCTGCTGAGCGAGCAGAGCAGTCAAGCCCAGCGCAGGCGTCGTGAAGAAAAATTCATAAATCGAGATGCAAAAGCTGAGTAATGGACGTTTATGCCATGCGGTTAAAAACGGCATATTGCAGATGCGTTCACAGACTTTAATATAACCTCATACGACGTCCGAGTATGCTTGATATAGCGTACGGGTACCTGAGTGGGTGCATGGGACGATGATAGTCCTAAAGATAGCGTAGGCGTCTTTTTTTTTTTTTTTTCTTTCTTTCTTTTCCATGTGGGAGAGGTAGAGTTAGGTAGGCTACTTCGTATGCTCGGCATATTATACCCGCATGCGGGCTATGGAGAAAGTTCTAATTAAAAAAGAGCCTGAATATCGGGATATATAAGGTACCTGTCGAGATGACACTGTAGGAGCCGAAGCCGCATGCAGCCAGCCATAAGGAAAAAGGGTTACCGACATGGAGACAGACGTTGGCGGTCCACAACGTCCATCCCGAGTCCGAGTTCATGATAAAGACGTGATGGTGAGCTGAGTTGCGGCCTATGATTCGCGAGGGGAAGTAAGGGTATCGTTCGACTCCTAACGCGCGTGGTACATGTGCAACATGTCAATATTGCACGTCACTTACCAGCCAGGAGGCTGTTCAGGGACCGGATCTGTCACTAACCTTAGTGGCCGTGGCCGGGGAAGTGGGCGATGCATATCCTGAGCAAGGGGGGGTCCTATTCTAGATGGAAATCTTGTTTCTTGTAAAATTCTGGTTCACATTACGAGATATCACTAGCATATATGGCAGGTATCTAGGTAATGTTCAAGGTTGCCTACCTTTATTATGAACGTGGAATACGCATTTACCTACCTTAGATAGATAGGTACCTTAGGTTAGGAGGTAGATATTTCATGTTCTGTTAAGCTTGAAGGAGGATCATTAGAGGATATGAATGACCGCCCCTATTTTTTCAATTGCTATATGAGGTATTGTATTGTACAATACTATACCTAATATTAGTAACAGGTATGTGAAGACTAGGGAGGGAGGTGGTAAAGAGGGGCACTAGACTCTCGGGTCTTCTAGCGGCGAGCATTAACCCGGTCCAGCTTTTACACTTGCATACATGTAGTAGGTCCTACCTAGGTACCTAAGTAGGCTCCTGCGCTCCCCCCGTAACAAAAACATCAACTTTTCAACATCACAATCCCTGCTTTGCTAACTCCCGGAACACCCCCCCTCCTCTTCCCCCCGTGTCTTTCTTCCGAAATAAGTCCAAAGAGGTTTCAACTCAAACAAGATATCCGATAACTCATATCTGGTAACTTACCTATCTAGTGTCTGGCGTCTAGTAGGTATAGTAGGTAATATGATATCTAAGTATCACACGTGTCATCGTTACGATCGTGAACCACACAATCTACGATCTAGATACGCGCACTACCTATGACGTGGATCTGCATCTTACGAGATACCCTCGAAAACCTTGTGTTAGCTTATATAGATAGCTACAGGGCCCCGAAATAGCTTGGATTGGCCCTATAATCTACTTAGGATCTGCCTTTGCAACATCAAACGCACCTAGATATGATATATCGACCCACTGCTATATATTCGGGTACTCCCATACTTTTGATCCCGTCCCAACTCCTGGCGTATGGATGCACAATTACCGGGTCTTGCCGGTTAGCACCGCTACTCCCACGCTGTCGATATCCGCCTCGAACAAGGCCTTAATCCTCCAGGTCCAATGAAGCCATTGTAAATATCTTGAGGAGCCGATCGGACTCAGCTCAGGTATTAGCAAGACAACACACCACTCGCCAACATCTATCAGTAAACATATCAAGTTTATACCATCAGAGGTACCTAGCCATGCTGGACCTGCCTAGTCCAGACGGACGGAAGCCTTAGGACCTTTCCCGGTCCTGTTCACAACGAATATTCACATTTCTCCCGCTTTCAACTCCAGGTGTGTCTTGTAACAACAGTGCGGTTACCTGAGGTATCTACCTTGGTTACTCCATTTACCTGCATTCAAACATTTCAAGGTGAACCTTGCGAGGTCATTAGTGCCAGAGACAATAGCGCCTAGGCCAATAGAAGAAAGTAATAAACTCAAAAAATCTCCAATTTGTTCCTGTTTAGTCCAAGCCAAGCGGAAGTTCCAGTACATCGTGGCAAATCTGCAGAAGCAATAGTCTATTAAGAAGAGCCCACCGGGATTTCCTGTTGTCTCCAAATGGTATGGAAATCGGTCAAACTTGGAGAACTAGGAAAGATTATCATTGAAAAGGTTACAACGATGCAGGGCCTTAGATACCTACGCACCTATAAGATATTTTGCGAGCTACATAGGTATACTAGGTACATAACCCCGATTGTGTACAACACGCCTGGGATTCATGTAAGAGGTCGTGTGCTTGCATTATCCTCTGGCTACTTACCTGGCAGCTCGCAGGACGTGGTGGTTTCATATGGACCGCTCGGTTTTGCTATCTACGCCAGAGGCAGCCAGTGTCTGTCATCGGAGGCTCAAATTCAACTCGAATAAGCCAGGAACCCTGCTAGGGTAAAGCTCTTCTATATGCAGATAATCTAACTACCTAAGGACAAGACAACTAGTACTGGCGTAAACTCCAGTTGCCAACTTGACGTACCTATGTTTCACTAAGACTACGTTTCTTAACGTCTTGAGAAGTCTTTGGCTCTATGTACTACTAAATCACACACACACACACGCAGGCTTTCTTAGATGGGAAAGCTATTGTGAGCTTAGTTATGTTATGTTCGGGGCAGTTCGAGTCACAAAACATTTGCCTTGGACAACAGCTTGAAATGGGTTTAAAGTAGTTTGGATGCTGAAGGTTCAGTCATTGGAAGCACGTTAGTATAGTGAAGGAAATAGGAGCGCAAGTGTAAAAGCCCGAAAGCGTTATGACGATTGACGACTCTGAAATGGCTTCCCGCAAGCCAACAGAGTCGGCGCTTCTACGGCTTCAAATACCAGGATATAACCCTTAGTCGGGGTTAGGGAGGTCGATAGAGACTGATTTCTATTGGTGCGCAACTGGAAATCCTGTCATCTCCAGCACGTGGCATATTTCTCGAAGAGTTAGAGCTGTCCTCCACCCCTATCACCACCATTACCACCGCCGTCAACTCCTCCGTGTTCCCTTTTCTACCGATTCTTGTCCTTGTCGTTACGTATAGCACGGGAATCTAACTAAATAGTATCAAGCTTGGGGCCTTAGTAACGGCAGGCGGCCCTTCTTGATAACATGGGCCGAGAATGAAGTCTGCAAGAACCCCGTTTTGGTCGCCTTCCGACGGCTTGGACCAAATTTGTAGCCAATCCAAAATCCCTGCTCTTGCTGCCCTCTCGGTTCCCTGTAATCTTCCCCAGTTTACCCCGTCAGGTCCCGCACTGACAAGGGCTTCACGAGCCGAGTGGATAATGAGCAGGATCGTGCCAGAAACAGGCCCTTGTTAAGGTCCCCAAGACCGTTAGAAGAACGGCAGGACAGCAGGGCCGGTGAGTACCTAGCCACTAAACCCCAAATCGTTCGCAAACCGTCTCCCACATCTTCAGCGTCTCTCCGCATGAACTATGCCCCATCTTTCCTCTTCTGAATAAAGGAACACAAATTTCAACATGCATTGCCCAGCCGTGGGCTCTTCTTATTAGTTGCTCTCCGCCGTACATATTTCTCCATGTCTCCAAATTCTAGCAAGATAATAGTATTATTGGGCGCGTCAAAATCGCTATTAGGCATACCGCAGCATGCAGCAAACAGTATAACGCCACCTCAACGCGGAAAGTCGAACTAAGTAACCAACAGTCGGTCAGCGATAAGGATGATATATTCGTTTACGACTCGATGAGAATTTTTATCTCTGTAGAGGAAGGATAAGGAGAAGAAGAAGAGGAAGGACTTGGGTGCGCCGATTTGATAGCAACAGTCTCATTTCCAGTTTCCAGAAACACATAAACCGAAGTATTCCATTATTATCGAAAGGCTCTTTGCGTCTTACTCGACATAGCTACCTCGAAATTGGACTTCTCAATCATGAGTGTAGCGCCTCTCCCTGGAATTCAACCTATCATCATGTCGCGGCCACAAGTCGGTATCGAGCGATTACCAAGTCGCCGTATGGGCAACGAGCCACGAGAAGCAATGAATTGCAAGTCATGTCGAAAGCGGAAAGTAAGGCTCCTTACGTTGGCGGAACCAAATCCAATTAGCCGAGTTTTTGTTCTTAATCTAACAAGCGGTATTCTCCGTATAGATAAAATGTAATCGACTGCGTCCATCCTGCGAAGCTTGCCAGGTCTTCCAATGCCCCTGTATTTACGGTGCGTGGTCGGCTTTCTCTCGCTTGAGGGGAAGTCCCCTTTGTGATGGGTTCATACAGTGAAGCTAATGGTCGCTCGATATTTATAGATGCTGTACCAAAGAAGAGGGGACCCAAGACAGACGTATTGGAAGCATTGCTAAAGAGAGTAGATGGTTTAGAAGCTCAGCTCAAGGATCACAAAAAGGGAGATGCTTTGCCAAGTACGGAGAAGCTTCCACCTATCAATACGGACGAAGCATCTTCTGGTGGCAGACGGGCAGCAGGAGACGATTCAAACCCCGGGCCGAGGTCAAAGCGTCCAACTCTGGATATCTCTCGAGCGACAGAGATCGCTTCGGAGTCTGCTATATATTCACCTACAATTGCTAGCGAGCCCTCCCCTGGAGTACAGATAGATACGCTCCTTGACACTTACTTTTCACGATTCCATGCGAAACCCTACCACATTCTTGACGAATCCTCGGTGCGACAACGGCTGCAACTGAATCAACTACCTGGCCACTTAATCTACGCCATCTACTCCGTCGCTGCTAGGTTCGATATCATCTCATAACCCAATCAAACGTACACATACTAAGACTTAATTAGATACACAACACATCCTAGTGGGTGTCAGTCTGCTGCCAAGTTGAGCGAAGAATATGCATTACGATCGAGAAGTGAGATTGATGAGGACGAACCGTCCATCGATACTCTTCAAACTCTCCTTCTCCTCGTCACTGCGTTCACGGCAGCAGGAAAGAGTAAAAAAGCATATATGCTCTTAAGTAGGTCTCCAAATGAGAATGAATGCCTTCGACACACTCTTCAGACTCGTGAACTGATTGTCCTATCCAGCGATCGCCATCGGAATGGCCATGGCCCTTGAGTTGCATCGGGAGGTGGATCTACAAGCTAGGATAACAGCTGTAGAACGTGAAATGAGAAGACGCCTGTTTTGGACTTGCTATCTCCTCGATAGATTCATGACGTGTGGCTCAAGACGCCCTTGTCTCATCAGCGACAGGACCATCCTTCTACGCCTTCCGTGCTGGTCTCCAAATCCATCCACTTTACCTGTCGAAGGAGACTTTTTTCAGAACGGGTCGAACCTTCAGCACCTACAAGGGACTGATAGGAAATCTCAAGGGAGCAGCGGGATGCTTATCGACATTAGCCGTATCCTAGGGTTCACAAATCGCTATCTTGCAGCGGGAGGTGTCAAAGGTGATTCCCATTTCCCCTGGCACGCCCTCTCTGAACTTTCCAAAATCAGGCAGGATCTTGATATATGGACCTCGGGGACCGCGGACGTCTTCTCGAGTATAGATACTCTCTTTGGACAACCTGATTCGACTGTTCTTGTTCTCAGCAAACTCGTCTACCACCTAATCCATTGTCTAATTTACCGACCCTTTCTCCCAGTTGACCTTGCGGAGCTGGCTGGAACAGGCCAACATCAATCTTGGCAAATAGAAGCCACGAACATATGTTTCTTGCATGCTAATGCGATAGCCGAGCTCGTCGAGCTTGGTAGACAGATGCCATCCATTGAATGGCCAGCCTTTGTTGGTTATTGCATCTGTACAGCAGGCACAGTCCATATACACGGAGCACATTACCATAAAAATGGAGGGGGAGAAGCGCTGGGTGTTTTGTCATCATCGTCAGAGTTCCTGTCTCGGGAACTACAGCAACTAAGCGAGCTGAGCTACACCTGGGCAAGTGTTCAATGCCAACGCGATACTTTACAAAGCATATATAGCGCTCATGCCGAATTAGTTAAGGGCCTTGCTAACAATTCGATGCGCTATTCCCCGGCTTTCAATCTCGAGGGCTTCTTCGACCGCTACTCAAATATCAGTCGACCGGGAGGTCGTCCATTCTCGTTTGACGCTATGAATCTAAGCCTTTCAGATATTACAACCGGTTTCGCTACGGATACGTATCCAGGTCCCGATTTGTACTCGCCGCGTATGAATGGGGATTTTGAACGACCAAACCTAAAGCGAAAGAATACTGCTATTGGTCAAAGGCGGTCCGACATAAGAAGCCTAACACCAATAAATGTAGAAAATAACAGGCCTCTAACTCCCGGGCTACCTACCCCTGGCGCTCATCCTCGGCACTTCTCTTTCTCGACAACTCCCCTTGCATCCTCGATAGCTCACACATCCAGCTCGCTGCTTTCCCACAGCACTAGCCAATCGGTACGGCAAAGACGCGAAACAGTTGACAGCCAGGCTAGTAGCGCCCCCAGCGGTACCGGAGCCGCAGGAGCCGGGTTCAACCCTGTAAACTATCAACCATCCCAACAACACATAGAACCTATATCAGCAGTCCCCTTCTCCCCGTCATACCAATATGCAACTCCCAGCCCGAGCGGAGACAATGAAAGCAGCCTCGGCGTCGCAAGCTACGACCCGATGTTCGGGACCGTGCCGACCAACACCTTCTCGTCCCCCACGCCGTGGCACGGCGAGGAAGATCACCACCGCAAGCCGCCGTCGCACTTGACCGCGGCTCCGAGCCCCGGGGCGGGAAGCCACAACGGCAGTCCGGCTGCTACCACTGCTACTACTACTACCACCACTACTACTGCTCCCGGCGAGGACAAGGATCCGTTCTTGAGCTTGCTGGAACAGCTTGCCGAGAACGAACACGCTATCGGGCAGGGAAAGGAGCTCGATTTCTTCTTGGTGGGGGTGCAGGAGTAAGCAGGATGCTTCAACGCCCCTATCAATATCCCTACCTAGGTTAGGTATCCTTGATGAATTATATTCACCCAGGTGTAACATAGCATATGATTTGGTTTTGTCTGGCATTGGTCTGTCTTCTGGGGGTTCTTCATAAGCCAGCGAGCGAGCGTTTTTGGGGTTTTTTTTTTCCTTTTGGAGCGATCACGACTTTTTTTTTCTCGTCTGTCTCTTCTTCATAGGTATCGTGTTCATATAACTGCATATATGATACCAGGCTGGGAAAAGCACAAAAAAAAGTAATGGAGAAAAAAGTGTATTTATAGGCTTCGGGGAAATAGGAGGTACCTAGGAGAGACGGGCATACATTACCTAGGTCAGGTAAGGTTAGGAGGTAGTAGGTATGAGGGAGTGGTTTAGTATATATGATTCGCGCTCGGTTACCTTAGGTAGAGCGATATTTAAAAGTCGGTTATTAGGGTAATGCCTATTGCTGTACCGTTCACGCAGTTTTTTAAGTGTTGTAAGGATTTCTGGCGTATATGATGTTGAGAGTTTGGTGTCAAGGGTGTAATCACCGGTTACAGCAAACACCCGTATCATACCGCTTGTTAACGGATTAAAGGATATTAGACTCGAGTCTTGTAGTACGATGAGCCAGGCCGGAGGAGAAGCTTCTATAATACCTATTCCCATAAATACCTCTAATATTGTTAATATAATTTATATTCACCTAAACCACCGTCATCCACATGGATCATCCATGTGGAACGGGAGTGAAAGTGGATAGGTCAAAGGTGGAGTGGTGATTCCAAAATTAGGCTCAATATGATCTGAGATTCATCTAACACCTGTATAGGGGAGGTAACCAATCAACCGTTAGCTATACGGTGAGTTTTCTTAGACTATCAAAGTTATATCTTCGTGTATTTTTAATATTAATATTAGGTACCTTACCTACCTGATAAATCTCAAAAGGGATGGTTTTCCTGATGCTACAATAGTTCATATTCACCATCTACACTCCACGGCCATGATCAAAAGTCAGCGTACCTAGCCCGTAAACATTGGGTATATTCAAATCAGGAGATAAAACGAAAGCGCTATTATATCAAATAAGAGATCTTTCACTCCTCATTAGCAGGTAGCTACATGTTTTTGCTGCGAACTAATTTTGCCAGCCGACTTTCCTACATAGAACCACAGAGTTCAAACTCTCATACAAACACGCCATTCGTATATTAAATGATTTTCTCCTATGTTAACTGTCGCATCCGCATATGGCATCTATCAACGGTATAAACCTCGATCTGACAACCACAACCGTATACTATGAGAGGAAGTAATACATAGTACCTTAAGCGGTAACACTAGGTGAAATGCCTCGGTATAGGATAGCAATCATGAGCTTTTAAATACAGAGCGAGTGTCAGAGCCTACTAGGTCTGAATTAGTAACGCCAGGCTCTCTGCTCTCTTGCAAGGGAGCTGGCTCCCCTTTAAATCGGTGACCAGTAGGCTCCTGTTCTACTCACATATCCCTGGCAATAGTTACTTAGATGTCTTGAGTTGGGTATGGTATTTGTGTGTGAACCCGAACTTTCTACTTGACGACATAGGTAAGACAAATTCTACCGGTACGCTGTTGGTGAATGATATTATGACTGCTACCTAATTGTACGCAATCAGAAAGCGTATGGAGGTAGGTCTCTTCTTTTGTGTCTTTTCTCCGCCTCGCGACTAGACGATAGCGCCTCTGAACCGAACCTCAAGTTCAAGTTTTATCACGTTGCTGGTGATCGGTGTCAACTCAGCATGGCAATTGACCCCCCCCCCCCCCCCCTCCCAATACTATTAGGTAGTAGCAACCCTTATTGGCACCTGCTCCTCATACTTGTCTTCTTAATTAGGGCTTAGTATCCGAAAGTGCCGTTTCCCGCAAGAAAGTGTAAATACGTGTGGTATTGAGCACGCTTTAGTTACTATACAATTTAAAACATGTCACTTCCATTTATCTTTGTACCAGTCTCCTGTATAGAACAGTATATTCCGCGAAATTGTTTAAACTTACCATTCACCGGTAAGTACGAATCTCCACCTCAATGTATAGAAAAATAGCTCTCTAGTCACTAGTATAACACTTAGAGTCACTACCGACCATTCGAGATCAATACGCTGTTAATTATGTCAATGCTAATGATGAGGCCATTAAACAACGAAGGGAATGAATTGCCTCGGTCGACACTGTTTTCTTTTACTTGGCCATTAGGAGGATTTAGGGGCATTGTAGTGGAAAATATGTTCTTAAGTCCCGTAGTCGCGTCACGAGCGGCGCAATATCATCACATCCCTTGTTGGGACAATAGTAGAGATAACTGTCCTATGTCCTCAAGTGTTAACAATTGATAATCTTGAAGCTTGTGGTTTGTTGGTATATGTGGAGACGTATTTGTGCTTAGTTTGCACTTGAGGACATAATCGGAATCAGAGCGAGTCCAATGACATTCACATGCTACCGAAAGAAAAAAAAAAGAAAAAAAAAGCTGTTTGCTATCATTGCTATGACTTGAAAATTAGATGGCCCACATGCAACATTACTTCTAAGCCCATCAGCCATGTCATAGGATGTCATAGGAACTCAGAATCTAAAATAAAACACGTTAATGATCGGAGCGGTTGGTAGATCCGGCTTGGTGAATACGGATGTTCGGCCCCACTATAAATCGGGTGCCGAGTCCTTGTACTACAGGAAACGGCGGAGGAGCGTAGAACTCGAAACACTTATTTGGTAGAGTCAGTAAACTCGTAATGTTTTCAAGCTTGATATTTATTAATCCCTATTGTCGCATAATGTAGTTTCGATATCATACTATTCAATGATCCATTCTACTTGTGTTTAATGCCCTAGGTTTACCAATAATCATGTGCCATGCTGCCATGATAATAGGTCGATGACCGCACACTTGTGTATATCAATAATGCTTTGCAATGGAAGAGCTACGTGATTATTAAACGCGTATTCCAAGGATGGATAATAATTGATACTATTCAAGATGAGCTGAAAAATTGGGTGAAGAAGAGGCGCGGACCACACACTCAGTTCTCATTAGGGACTTGTCATAAACACATTGCCTCGTGGCCTAGGTACCTGCCTAATGGGGTAAATGGTGTATACTGTCCAGTATACACCTAGGAAGGTTAGGTTAGGTTAGATTCCTCTTATCAAACATTGCTATGGACGCGACAATAATAATACTGATCAGGAACAGGTACAGAAACAGGTTGTTGATCTATGCTAATCTTTTCGCCGCGACTACACCTATTACCTTACCCGGTAGACTATTTCAATTCCGTTCTTTCCGATTCCGGACCGAGACTTTAGCTTAATCCCTAGGCCCCAAAGTCCATGCAAGTCCGTCTGGGGTCACCGGTGACTAACTCTTCGCCGGATCATCTTCTCCGCTCACCCCTGAAAGCCAAACAGTATGAGTACCTGAGGTACTTCATGGCCGAACTAGAGAATGCAAAGCGAATAACTAGGAATTTGCACTGCAAAAGTAACTAACCTAACCTAGGTACCTCTATATTCTTAAAAGCCCTGCTTATTAACACAACTCTATATTCCTTATACTAATATATTTGCCTGAAGGACCAAGTAGGTACCTGGAGAACTCGAGCAAAACAATTCACACAAGGGAAATTAATACATTATGATACCTTAGCCAATGTTTATTTCATATGATTATGGTTGTTAAGATTAAATATCAATTGACTAGCTTCGTAGGCTTCTAGAAGATTACGACGGTGCAGAATACTACCTGCTTATATGTAGGCACCTATCTGTAAACATCACTCTGAAGGGACAGTAGGGCTCCCCTAAGGGGTAAGCCGCCGGATGCCAGATTTATATGGAGGACATTTCCTTATCTTAGAAGGGGGTAGGATTAATATGTCACTGTCCAGATACCTATTCAGTTTCTTAGACCCTATCTTCCACTTCGCCCAATAGAACGTCCTGCTAATGGTGAATGAATCAATACTAAACGTCTGAGAAGAACCTTATAGAGAGAAAGTACAAGGCATAGCCACAGTATCCGCTTAATGATATTCTTATATATTATTTCCGTTCAAGCCACCGCCAGACTTGCCCATTGTACATACTAGGCGTGTACAATATAGTAGGATATATTATCATATATTAAGTGGTGTGAACCTACCTAACCTTACCTATACCTCCCTCCTAGGTAGTTTATCCTCGACACGGCATTTCCTGTCATGAAACCTATAGGGCTGTAATGGGTGCTTGTCCGGCAGACCTTTCCCGTAGGCTGATCATAGCATGCTAATGATGCGCCCTTGAGCAGAGAACTTGATCCAATAGGGAGCCCACCGATGACTCCTCGTTCTCTGCTTATGCTATCGTGGAGCGGTCAACGTAGCTATATTTGATCAATTATCTACTCCAGGACAATATCCTTCTGCCTCCTACCAGGCTTGTTCTACCTTTCTTGTCTACGTAAAAGAAGGAGAAGATGGGACCGGACGTAATAATAGACGATGACTCAAAGTCAACTACAAATGTGAAGCCACTATCGCCACGGCGTTGCGGCGCCACATAGGAGCTTGAAGGTCGCAATTAATCTGATGCGTTCCGATTAGCTGAACATCAGATTCAAGCTGACTCGTCTCCCGCCCGGACAAGGCTTCAACGAAACTACATGCGCCAAGAGGGTCCCTATTTTGCATGATGTCACTCACTAACAGACATAGGCACTGCGCAAATGCTAATACTGCTTAGCCGGGTGGTAATTTGAGATTGCGCATAAATCTCTTCCCGTGTATGGGGAATGGGCATTCTTACTGCTGCTACGTCATCTAGTGGTAGTCCAGTACACCGTTGCTTTACAAATGAGACTGAGTCTCGATTCCTATCTGTCCTAACCGCTACCCGAGGTAGCAAAAAGACCTGTCACATATCAACTATCCCTCAGGGTAGGCCGGCCAAAAAGGCTTAAACTCTGAGGCAGATCAACAACACAATGGCACAGGGCAAGGCTCGGCGTATGCAGATGGACGTTTGTAGAAAGATAGGACATGATATATAGGAAGGTCCAGAACAAGCCCGTCCGGATATACGGCGTTGCTCGTCGCCACTCACAGACATACGCACACGCGCATACCCCGGAGGATGGATCGTCGGCGGCG